AGTGATATCATCAAAATTTGCATGGGCGCAATCTTAATTTACGCATAAATACATGACCTCTAGGTCATTGGCTTTGTTTAAAATGGCGCACACAACTGTAAACTGGTGTATTTGAAAATTGTTTTAGGGGCTGAATTTTCTAGTGCTTAGAATCACTATCCAGCTAATTTTCAAAATTTCCCAAAACTTTGTATTACCTTTAAACCAAGTACATAGATCCCACAGACTTATTGTCCTTGTGCTTATGAACCAAAGACTAATGAGCTACACATAGTTTAGCAGCTTCTCTGATGTCCAGATAGTTCAGAAAAAAACTTCACCAGAATCATATTATCAACTAAGGGTCAGTAGGGCACTGATTCCCAATTGATACATGTTTGTTGACATACATGCTCAACTGTAGAGTTAATGCTAGGATGCCTTTCTGGCTCTGAGCAGATGATGCAGGTGATATACTGATTAAAGACTCATTGAATATTGTTTGCTGAGAGCTATAAGGGCACTTCATGATCCTATACTACATTCAGCTACTGCCTACTTGCATCTAAACAACAATTATAGATATGTGTTTCATGCACAAGTGATACTACAGGTCACACAATCATGACTAAAACCTTGTATAATGCTTTGTTCATGAAGGTGCCCTAGTGGTTATGAGGGAGATACTTGTGAGAGGGCTCCTAGCACTCGGCCTCCTACTATAGCTACTACTCTGGAGGGGAGTACCATGGCAACGGAAAACATCACTGAGATGACCAACACCACAACATCATCCCAGACAAGTAAGTTATGAGGGGAGCGCATAATCATTGAGCTTGTGGGGGGATTAGAGGAATTAAGAATGACACACTACTGGATTTATTCAAAGGAGACACGATGGCTCAATGGTAGAGCAGTGGTCTTGTAACTGGGAGGTCCTGAGTTCAAAGCCCAGTTGATGCGTTAGTGCCCTTTGGTTAGGCATTAATCTTTATTACCAAGTCCCTCAAAGAGAACTTAAAGCTGTTAACCTCCTGGACATTTACTTACAAGCATACACATGCTTTGTTTTTGGTCAGGTGAAACAAACCAACTTACCAACCAACCAACCAATCAATCTTGATAGGAACCGTTTATGCATTTTTTGTCTTTATTTTTGCCGTTTAACTTCAGACTCCGCGAGCTCTCTCGCCTTCTTCAGCGTAGGGTCTGCTAACTGCGCTTTCCTAATATCATCAGGAGAAACTTCTGGGATAGGAGACATTACCTTCAGTGGAGTCTGTTTCCGTTTACTAACCTTAACCTGGGATCTCGTCTCAACTGCCATCCCTACCTCAGATAAATTCTTACCTTGATCATCATGGCCTGAAGTAGACGACCCCCAGTTCAGATTCGGAGCATTGGGTGGGAGAACATTTTGGATGTTCCCTAGAATCACATCAAACACTGGTGATTTCATACACAAAGCTACAACACAGCCTACATAAAAAGGACTGTCAACATGTACCTTAGCAGTAGGATACCAACGCACACTGCCATCGATGAGAATACACTGCCTGTGTTTTCCTGTCATCTGATCCTTGGCGGCTAGGCTCCTACGAATCACTACACAAGAACAACCTGTGTCTCTAAGAACTGAAACTGTTTGAGAATTAACAATTCCATCCTTAACTGGCATGAGTGCACGCAACTTACCTGTACAAGCCGCACACATTTCCAGTACTTTCTTCCTCCTCTGTTTCCTTGACGGTCTAGTCCGCTCCATCCCGGCGGCAGACATCGTGACAAACATCCCAACACTCTCGACCTGTGTTGTATCTTTGTCAACCCCTGAATCTTGGGAAGAAGAACATGTTGGACATTCAAAAGATAAGAGTCTGTTCACCTCATCAACTTTTTCATGATTTGTTTGAGACTTGTCCTTACCTGATGACTTCTTAGGATTATGGGATTTTAATCCCATAGCTACAAAACTTCCAACCTTTTGAGGTTTTGACTTAGAAGTTACTGTACAATTTCTTGCAAGATGACCCATTTGGTCACACAAATAACACGGCCCAATCGCCTTCCGATTGGTGGGCTTCTCACTGTGAAAGGGCTTTTCTCTGTGAAAAGCTTCACTCTTTTTCTCTGACCTGTTGGATGTCATTACTTTGTTGTCCTGTCTTGGACCCTTGAAATGACCACCATGTGCTGAGATATAAATCTGAGCAGCGTCAGTCATCTCCCTAGTAGTCTTGAGCGTACGCTCTCTCAAATAGATAGCAAGCCCTGGACTCATCTGTTCAAGAAACTGCTGTCTAATAATCAAATCTTTCAACCCTTGATAAGATTTGTCTGTCTCCGTAAGATCCAACCATCTTTCGAAGTAGTGTTCTAACCTAGCAACAAATTGACCAGCATACTCTCCCGTCTCTGGCGTTGCTTTGTAGAACTTCTTCCGGAAGTCATCTGCTGACATCTGGTATCTGCGAAGGAGGGCGTCCTTAAGCTTGGAGTAATTCTCAGCTTCATCTGGTGCCAACCTACTGTAGACTTCCAACGCCTTTCTGTAGAAGTGCACCTAAATTAATGGCCCAACAATCTGTTTGCCATCTCTGACTACTAGCGTATCTCTCGAAACGCTCTAAATACGCATCCATGTTGTCTCTACTTTCATCAAAGTGAGGTAACTTTGGGATTCTTGTCAAACTATGGTGTTCGCGACTGGTATCTCCTGACTGAGATTCATTTCCCCTTTTGGCCTGTTCTAAGGATATCTGTTTATCTAAAATATTCCCCTCTAGTTGCTTCAAAGCAAATTCTTGTTTCTTATCTTCCCTTACAGCTGCTCTTTCATCACGTGCCTGTTGTTCTCTTTCTTTAATGAACTCCAACAAGGTCTCACCAACTAAACCTAGTTCCTTACCTAAGTTAATCAACTTTTCATCAATGACCTCCATACTGATAACCCAACCTAACAATAAAGCGGGACTATGGTATTGATAGGTGGTGAACCTATCTGGGTAACTAACCCCTTCCCAAATTCGCTCTAAATGCGCAAATTGCTAAATTGTCACTTACCAGAGAGAATCAAGAACACGTTCTGCCGATTTGAATACTTGCCACCGACTCCTGTTCTGTATTACAGAATCGCAAAATATTCCTAGTTCATATAAAGATAACAATGAGACACAAAAGTGAAAAGGTCAATAATGTACATGAGATAGTTAACGCTCTAAAATGTATGCGGTTTCCTTTTACATGTTTTATAATATACAATCAGTTCAAAACACTAAAAGAAAACCTAATATTCCTGCGAGAGGTCCCGGGTTCGACTCCCGGAAGAGCCCCCAAAATGTCACAACTGGGTAAACTCAGGTGACTTTAATTCGTGATCTAGTTAACTCTCTTATCGTCTCACAGGGAAATTTACACAATAAACAACGAATTCAAATTCTGTTAAAGTGTATCAAAGGATATCATCTTCTTCTTATCTTTATTACATTACTTCTTATCACAATAGAAATGCATATAAAGATATAAAATATATATTGAACCCAACCCTGAGGTTGTATTCTAAGCTGTCACAAAATCACACCTTTGTACAGAGTATCGTCACTGAAAATGGTCGTAAGTTTATCGTACGTCTGGAAATATAAATAAAATAACCCACTTTAGTGATGCAATCACTCAAGATGTGATAATAAAATATTGTTCATGGGAACAAAGAAACCATAGTTGTTACTGTTGCTGGAACTTGTCCCGTGTAACGAAGGGGTTGCTCCATCTGTAATGGCACCTTCATCTCTCCTTAGTCGTTACAGGTAGAGATCCACCCATTGTGGCATGAACTTGGATACCGGACTTGCTCTGTACGTCCTAGCCGGAACACCATCTAAAATTAACATTAACCCAGGCTATTAATAGTCTACGGAATAATACTAAATTATTCATCATCTACTTAATATCTTTTAACAAGACTATAACCATCATCAGGCAATACAATAACATGCATTACAGAAAAGGCTTCTATCATAATGATTTACATTGCATTACAAATATCCTTTCAACATCCAAAAGAGCCTGAATTACTGAGTGCAAATCCTGCGAACATGTACTTTCAGTTATTATTCAGAAATGAACAATATAATGTATAAAGAGTTACATTATTACTTTAGAGAAATGATTTGCAGTCTTCATTATTCATCCCTAATGCAAAGGTTCACTTGTGACCTTGACTGTCTCAATGACAAATGAACACACCCAATGTATCATTATAAAAAGGAATACAAATATGGATTAAACTTGGATTAAACTTACAGTTTGACTGGTTGACTGAAATGCAGAAAATCGGGGCAGGCCTCAATGTCGGTTCTGGTGATCGTGACTCTCTATGGAAATTGGACTTGCAGCGCAAAATGCTATGAAACAACTTTCATTTACCTCCAACCCATAGGTCCTATGAAACAACTTTCATCCACCTCCAACCCATAGGTCCTGCCTGTATGACTTGTGTGCAGATAGTGACACTACACTGCAACGTAAGGCAACCCACCCACTATAGCTATGCATCACCTGTTTGAGCTACAATGTATGTAGAGTGCAGTGGAGCCTAACTACGCAATGCATTCAACCCAATGCTGTAATCTACATAACAATTAAGCGGGTAGCATTGAGGGGAAAGGTTGAATCCTAACACCTACCTGCATATACTTTGCATATGTTCCTTTATTTCTTGACCAGACATGCATTTTGTAGAAAAATTGTACATATCACACTAAATTTTATATTTTCTTATTACCTTTTATCATTGAAACCTAGGTGTCATTGAGTCTCATGATGTAAATGCCATTAGCGTACAGTATGTTGATGAGATACTGAATTATTTAGTTCATAGCAATATTTCTTTTTTAGAATGCAATTGCATAATCTTCTGTAAGGGATTCTCGTAAGTGTATGGTTGTGCCTAAACATTGTGAGGTACATATTATTTATTTAATTGTATGTCATTTTGTTTTACTCCTTTCTTTTTGAATCAGATATCAATGAATGCCAAGATGGAAGTAACACATGTGATACAGCATCTCAGATATGCATTAATACAGTGGGAGGTTTCATGTGTCAATGCATGACCGGATTCGTACAAAATGGATCAATTTGTCAAGGTAACATACATGTGTTTTATTTCTATTATTTATTGCAAGAGTATTTTGTTGTGCAGTTTCCTCAATACAATAATAGAAGATTTTTCTTTTTAGGATAGTTTTAAACTATTTTGCTCAATCTCTGCACATATCCTTCTTTCAAAAAATTTGAGTTTGTTTGTCTTTTTTCTATTTTTATATACTCCTTGTTTTCCTAATAAATAAAGAAATTCACCATCCAGTGAAACGCTTTTTTATTACACTGTGCTTGAGCATTCAAGATGTTTTTAGAAATGTTTATAGGTGTTTTACTTGACTAACCAATTAAGAAGAAATTTTCCTCATTATTCTTTAATAATTATGGGAGAACTTAATAACTTCTACATGTTTTTGTTTCCTTTTAGACATCGATGAGTGTGCTGACAGCAGTTTATGTGGAACAAATGCAATGTGTATCAATTCTTTTGGCAGCTACATGTGTAGTTGTGTGAGTGGTTATGATGGAGATGGGATCACCTGTCTTGGTGAGTTTGATATGGAATTCAAGTCATTTACTTTCTCATTATGATATGATAATAATCTATGAAGAACAAAACTAACATGAACAGGATTCCTTGGGTCCTTGGAAATCCTTGGAAATTCTTGATTTTTCAAAGTTGTCCTGGAAAAACCCAAATGTGATTTTATGGCTGGAAACCTGTTTTATAAAGTAGCTGTTATTATTGAGGTAGCAGTCAAAATCAATAGTAGACACTTATAACAATAAACTATTATTTAGTATGGCTTTGATTTTATGTTTCCACCCCTCTAACAAACACCAGTGGTGATTTGATAAAGAAATCATATTTCTCAAATGTACACATTTTAATGGATGATTCCTTTATTACTTCAGTCATAAAAAGGTGATCCATTTGTATCTAGAGAAAATAAAGATAATAATAATAACATTCCTTTCTTGTATAGAACATATCACATTATCACGTCCCTATGCACTTCCAAAGTGCTCTGGAAATTATTACCCTAGCTTTAGCTCCGTCACCTGTTATCAGCGCACAGTGCATGTCAAGGAATATTTCTACTCGGTACCTATTTACCACACCTGGTCTGAGTGTGGCAAATGTAGATTAATGTCTTGCCAAAGGACATTAGTGCCGCGGCGGGACTCGAACCACAGACCTTGTGATCCGCAGTCCGGTGACATATGCACTCGACCACAACATTTTCATTTCAGTACTTATATTGCTTATTCAAGATTAGTTTTTCAATTGATCCCCACTTTCTTATTACATTCTAGCTTACCCATTGATAGATTAATACTTTTGTCATGTTTGCATAATGAATCTTGCAACAAATTGTAATGTTGTTTTGCCCTTTTCATTCTGTTCTATTCGAGATCTCTACACTTCAGATGGTGCTGGCTCATCATTAAGCAGTGTAACTACAGCTGTTCCTCTAGAAACTTCTACATTTTCTATGGCAAGTCAGGTCTTGACTACAGATAAGTCAGTCACCTCACAAATTCAAACCACCAATAACTTACCATTTGTAACATCAACCCCTGGGGAATATACCTCACAGATGAGTACTTCCACAGAGCTCTCAACTGGGACTGTTATTCTTTCGTCTACCACGATTGATGTAACTTCTGAGAATTCTGTAACTGACCCTGAATCAACTGTCCAATTTACTGAGGATACTACCACAAGTGTTCAAGGTTCAACCACAACAGTTGGTACAGGAGGTATCTCAGCAACTGCAACAACCACTCAGTCTTCTATGGAAATGAGTACTGGTGCAGATACGACAGAGATATCGACTTCTGATGTAACATCACAATCTCCTACTACTTCAGGATTCACAACCTCAGGTTTGAGAACTGGTGCAGAATCAACAGAGCCAGGGACAAGGACTACTGAGGAGGAATCAACTAAAGCAGGAACAACTGAAGGATTCACCTCAGATGTAACATCTACTGCTTTACCAACATCAGTGATCACCACCAATGGTCTGACTACCGAGGAGGAGACAACTGAATCAGGAACAACTGAAGGATTCACTTCAGATGTTACATCTACTGGGCCGTCAACTTCAGATATCACCACCAATGTTCTGACTACTGAGGGGGAAACAACTGAATCACAAACAACTGAGAGATTCACCTCAGATGTTACATCTACTGCTTCCTTAACATCAGATATCACCACAGACATTCCCTCAACTGGGCCGTCAACATCATATATCACCACCAATGGTCTAACTACTGAGAAGCACACAACTGAATCGGGAACAACTGAAAGATTCACTTCAGATGTTACATCAACTGGGCCGTCAACATCAGATATCACCACCAATAGTCTAACTACTGAGGCGGAGACAACTAACTCGGGAACAACAGAAGAATTCACCTCAGATGTTACATCTACTGCTCTACCAACATCAGATATCACAACCAATGGTCTATCTAATGAGGAGGAGACAACTGAATCAGGAACAACTGAAGGATTCACTTCAGATGTTACATCTACTGGGCCGTCAACTTCAGATATCACCACCAATGTTCTGACTACTGAGGGGGAAACAATTGAATCAGGAGCAACTGAAGGATTCACTTCAGATGTTACATCTACTGGGCCGTCAACTTCAGATATCACCACCAATGTTCTGACTACTGAGGGGGAAACAACTGAATCACAAACAACTGAGAGATTCACCTCAGATGTTACATCTACTGCTTCCTTAACATCAGATATCACCACAGACATTCCCTCAACTGGGCCGTCAACATCATATATCACCACCAATGGTCTAACTACTGAGAAGCACACAACTGAATCGGGAACAACTGAAAGATTCACTTCAGATGTTACATCAACTGGGCCGTCAACATCAGATATCACCACCAATAGTCTAACTACTGAGAAGCACACAACTGAATCACAAACAACTGAGAGATTCACCTCAGATGTTACATCTACTGCTTCCTTAACATCAGATATCACCACAGACATTCCCTCAACTGGGCCGTCAACATCATATATCACCACCAATGGTCTAACTACTGAGAAGCACACAACTGAATCGGGAACAACTGAAAGATTCACTTCAGATGTTACATCAACTGGGCCGTCAATTTCAGATATCACCACCAATGTTCTGACTACTGAGGGGGAAACAACTGAATCACAAACAACTGAGAGATTCACCTCAGATGTTACATCTACTGCTTCCTTAACATCAGATATCACCACAGACATTCCCTCAACTGGGCCGTCAACATCATATATCACCACCAATGTTCTGACTACTGAGAAGCACACAACTGAATCGGGAACAACTGAAGGATTCACTTCAGATGTTACATCTACTGGGCCGTCAACTTCAGATATCACCACCAATGGTCTAACTACTGAGAAGCACACAACTGAATCACAAACAACTGAGAGATTCACCTCAGATGTTACATCTACTGCTTCCTTAACATCAGATATCACCACAGACATTCCCTCAACTGGGCCGTCAACATCATATATCACCACCAATGGTCTAACTACTGAGAAGCACACAACTGAATCGGGAACAACTGAAAGATTCACTTCAGATGTTACATCAACTGGGCCGTCAATTTCAGATATCACCACCAATGTTCTGACTACTGAGGGGGAAACAACTGAATCACAAACAACTGAGAGATTCACCTCAGATGTTACATCTACTGCTTCCTTAACATCAGATATCACCACAGACATTCCCTCAACTGGGCCGTCAACATCATATATCACCACTAATGGTCTAACTACTGAGAAGCACACAACTGAATCGGGAACAACTGAAAGATTCACTTCAGATGTTACATCAACTGGGCCGTCAACATCAGATATCACCACCAATAGTCTAACTACTGAGGAGGAGACAACTAACTCGGGAACAACAGAAGAATTCACCTCAGATGTTACATCTACTGCTCTACCAACATCAGATATCACAACCAATGGTCTATCTAATGAGGAGGAGACATCTGAATCAGGAACAACAGAAGATTTCACCTCAGATTTTACATCAACTCTGTCGTCAACATCAGATATCACTACTAATCGTCTGACTACTGAGGAGGAGAGGACTGAGGGAATAACCTCAGATATGACATCTACCGCTCTACCAACATCAGATATCATTACCAATGGTATGACTACGGAGGGGAAACAACAATCTCGCAAACATAGCGATTTTGTACTCTTATATATAAGAGCAGAAATTTGTAAAGAAATCATGATCAGTACAGGTCAAAAGTTGATATCTACTTTAGATAGGAGTATTTGTTTCCCATTTATAGAAAAGTATGGCATGATTGACAAAATTGAAGTAATCAGTTGGGTTGTTTTTGAGTGTGTATATTGTTGACTTGAGGTTCAATTGGTTTGAGAGTAAGTTAGCATCTGCTAAAGATATCAATATCACATTCAGTAGAATAAAAACAAAAAAATATTGAACACTTTGAAGTAATTATGAATTGATAAAAATTATGATAATTATAATATTGATGTTAACAACAATACAAAGTATTCATAATCAGTGTTTATGGGCATTAGTATTGATTTACAGAGAATTAAGAATAAGTCAACATCTTCTCTAGATTAACAAAAAAATAATGTGGGATTCAATGCTTTTTATATATCCATGTTGTCTTTGATATATTTTAAGAATCTAGATGTTTTGTCATATTAAGTAGTATCAAGAAAATTTTCCATTTGAAATGAATATACTTTTTTCAGTTATCTAACTTTGCGTTTATACCAGATGAAAATGAGTGTGCATTGGTATCATTAGTTGCTTCCAGGAGGGTAACAACACCACCCCTGCTCCAAAACCTTGATGGTGGTTAAGGTTCTGAATTGTTTCAAGATGTTGTAATTTTAGCCCATAGCTTATGGAACTAGTTGTTTTGTGTAATAAGCTTATGGGACTGAGACAATTCAGTAGTTAACAGGTTAAATCTCTTGCATTTAATTATCATCTTTTCTATGTGTTTATACGAGATGAGGATGAGTGTGCCCTTGGTATTAGTGATTGCCCCCAGGGGTGTAACAATACCACCCCAGCTCAGAACCCAGATGGTTTCAGTTGCTACTGCTATGAAGGCTTCATCGCTGACCTGCAAGGCAACTGTGTCCGTAAGTCAATTCAATTCAATTCAATTCGCATTTATTTCATTCTCGATTAAAAATCATATTGATACAAGTACCAAAGAGTTCGCTAAACTTCTGGCCATATGTTGCACAAAGAATCACAATGGATTACTAGTCACATTACTTTGAACCAGTCAGGCATCATAATAATCTTGATTTATGTTAATGACACAAACTTAATTCTAACAGAATAGAAGAAGAAAATGGACTGGAACACAGAATATCCAGCAGACAAAATAAATAATAGCACTCCAACAATTTCGATAGAAAATGAATGATTGCCAACCAAGTAAGGATGTGCAGTTCATTTATCCTTGTTTTTACAATATTTAATTCTAGAAAAATCTTGTTTTCAGGGGTGCTCCTTCTCATGACCCCTCTTCAAGCTCAGTCACCCGTCTTTCAGGCTAATTAGGTGATAATGTATAATAAGATTGGTCTCCCGTTTCATTTTCAGCGGAAACAAGCTGCATAAGTACTGTATGTAGCAATGCAGACTGTGTTAATCTCAATGGAATGGAGATGTGTGTTTGCTACAATGGCTACAAATTCAACAGCTCCGACATCACATCTTGTATAGGTAAGCACTATTCTGTTATTACTATTCGTTACTTTGTATTGCCTGTGCCTTGGATAGAGATAATTGAACTTAATCACTCTGACCCTTGACCCTTGGGTCCCTCCCCCCAGTATAACTGATGGGGATGTACAGGTGAAGCCCTATACATGGGTCACTCTACTCTTGGCGAGGAGTGCAGTGGGTTCTGAACGTGCATCAGGATTACTTTCCTACACTTGAGATCTCTTTTTGACATCGTGTATGAGAGACATCAATCACATTGTTTTACATTGTTTCCTAGTGTGCATCTACATGTATGAATCAGGGAGAGGGCTCATTTCACAGACAACACTAGCTCGGAGTCATCAATCCAAGCTGGGAGGTGTTTCACAAAGCCTTTTTTCAATGAAAAATGACAGAAGTCAGTGACAAATCTGCTGATAACCAATCAGAATCAAGCATTTCAGTAGCTTATAACAAAGCTGTCATTTATCACTGATGACAAGTTTTGTGAAATATCCCCCTGATTTCTAATCATGATCTGTGGATTGACATGAAGACACTTTACTAATTGAGCCAATTCCCTTTAAAATCTCAATTCAACTAAATTACCATTCTCCTTCCTTTCTAGATATTGATGAGTGCACTGATGTAGAATACAGCAACATGTGCAATCAGGACTGTTCCAATACCATCGGAGGGTACAACTGCTCTTGTTTTGAGGGGTATTCCCTTATGACTGATGGCCGCACATGCAATGGTAAGATTTGCAAATCATTGACCTTTGACCTTGTAAACTATGACAGGCATACATTCGTAAGAACTATGCGTAAAGAGATGCGTAATAAAGAATACAGTTTTTTGTATACCTTGTACATTCATGTCACGTACATCATTGAGGTTCTGTATCATACCCTTAATCCATTTCCATGAAGTACCGAAGCTGTGACATCATAAAAATCTATTCTTAGAATTTCTCAATTTTTTCATTTTCCGAAAGAGCATAATAAATAATGTCCAAATGTCGAAAACCAGTTAAAAAGGTTAAGTATTGGCTGAGATATCACCATCTGAATGAATAGATTTCCTATAGGAAACTGTGTTATATTGCTCTGGTTCATAAAGTTTTGAGCCAGAGCATATAACACTGAGCAGGAACAGGATGACTCCTGGGACCCGCTTCACAAAGCCTTTTTCCAATGACAAATGACTAAATTCAATGACAAATCTGCTGATAACCAATCAGATGAAAGGATTTCACTAGCTTATAACAAAACTGTCATTTTTTCACTGATGACAAGTTTTGTGAAATGGGGCCCTGTACTAATGCCTATGGGAAGAAAAGAAATCAGGAATCAATGGGTTGATATAAGCTCTGAGTTAAAGATTTTGAAGATAAACAGAAGTGTGTACCTTTAAAGTTTGAGTCATCAAACAGAATAGATTTCCTACCTGCATGCACGTTGATATTCCTTTATTTCTTGACTGCATTTTGTATAAAAATTCACACTAAATTTTACCTTTTCTTACTGATTTTTATCATTGAAAATTAGGTAAAAATCAGTCCCATGAAGTAAATGTTATTGTCGTATGTTTATGAAATACTGAATGATTAAGTTCACAAGCAATATTTCTTTTTAAGAATGCAATTGAAAAATCTTCTGTAAGGGATTCTCATAAGTGTATGGTTGTGCCTAAACATTGTGAGGTACACGTTATTTATTTAATTATATTTTTTTGTTTAAATTCCTTTCTTTTTTAATCAGATATCAATGAATGCCAAGATGGAAGTAACACATGTGATACAGCATCTCAGATATGCATTAATACAGTGGGAGGTTTCATGTGTCAATGCATGACCGGATTCGTACAAAATGGATCAATTTGTCAAGGTAACATACATGTGTTTTATTTCTATTATTTATTGCAAGAGTATTTTGTTGTGCAGTTTCCTCAATACAATAATAGAAGATTTTTCTTTTTAGGATAGTTTCAAACTATTTTGCTCAATCTCTGAACATATCCTTCTTTCAAAAAATTTGAGTTTGTTTGTTATTCACTCTGTCCTTTTTTCTATTTTTATATACTCCTTGTTTTCCTAATAAATAAAGAAATTCACAATCCAGTGAAACGCTTTTTTATTACACTGTGCTTGAGCATTCAAGATGTTTTTAGAAATGTTTATAGGTGTTTTACTTGACTAACCAATTAAGAAGAAATTTTCCTCATTATTCTTTAATAATTATGGGAGAACTTATACATGTTTTTGTTTCCTTTTAGACATCGATGAGTGTGCTGACAGCAGTTTATGTGGAACAAATGCCGAGTGTATCAATTCTTTGGGCAGCTACATGTGTAGTTGTGTGAGTGGTTATGATGGAGATGGGATCACCTGTCTTGGTGAGTTTGATATGGAATTCAAGTCATTTACTTACCCATTATGATCTGATAATTATCTATGAAGAACAAAACTAGCATTAACAGCATTCCTTGGGTCCTTGGAAATCCTTGAAAATTCTTGATTTTTCAAAGTTGTCCTGGAAAGACCCAAAATGTGATTTTCTGGCTGGAAATCTGTTCTATAAAATCACGCCATGTTCAAAGGTTCATTATCCTATTTTCTGAATAATTCTTTTTCAGATGAATTGTGTTTTAAAATAACAAAAAGGTACAACATTGTTATTAACGTCAGATTTTGGGGCAGTTTTTTTTAAAGAATCTATTTAATTGTTGTAAAAACCTATACAATTCTTTCCTTAGCTCATCATGTGTAGTGCATAATGTAATGAATCTTCTTTTCTTCACTTCCATACCTTGATCTGTAGTTGATTCATGTAAGCTATTAACTGTTCTTCTCTTTCAGATGTTGATGAGTGTTCAAATGGGAATGATTGTCATGAGTTTGCACAGTGTGTCAATACAGAGGGACCCTATAACTGTTCTTGTTTGAATGGTTACACCGGAAATGGAACATTCTGTGAAAGTGAGTATTTCATTTTTAAGGAATTAATTCAGTGACAATTTTTGTCATGCATAAATAAACATACTTTTGGCATCAGAATCATTGTCTTATGTAGGCTACCATCATTATCTGTACGTCATAGGTGATAGTGTAATAAAAGTGTTATCAAACTTCCTTTACATTACTATGTATCTTATTTGATTAAAGATGAAAATCGTTTCTTTTGGTTGAATAGGACCACTATTATGTTAAATTGAATTGGATGTATCACTGTAAATATACTCATACTATTGCATATGTTACTTTATTATGTCGTTGCACTCAGTATGATTTATTTTCAAAGCATTTTTTTCATTGTGCAAGTAATCTTATTTTTTAGCAGGCTTCCGGATGCACCATGTGAGAGAGAGAGGGAGGATTGAGGAGTCCTAAAAAGGACTTTTGGTAATCTTTCTTGAGGGTGTGTAGTCCTGAAAAGGACTATTGGTGTAGTCTTGAAAAAGCCTGTTGGTTATCTTTCTTAGCTTATAGTTCTAAGGAGAACTATAGCGCTTGGAGAGGATGGGTGGTAGGAGTGGCTTGACGTATCGAACAGGTTGACTATCCGTCGTCAGGAATAATCTTATTTTGTTGTTTAAGTTAACTTCCTGATATTTTATATATTTGCTCATTACTTTTGTTATCCTGAAAAGGGGCATGCAATTGTGATTTACTTGGATCAAACTTATTTCCCTAACAGACATCGATGAATGTGTAAACGACACCACCTGCATATCACCAGCGGTCTGTGTTGACACCTCTGGAAGTTTCATCTGTGAATGCCCCAGTGGATATGACCCTACTGGAACCAGCTGTATCAGTAAGTTAGGAATATGGTTCAGACTATTTACTCCTCATACCCCCCCCCCCCCCCCCCCCCAAGGCCCCATCTGGCATTCAGTATTACATCCAGAGCTGCAGATCTTGTTCAGTGCCTCTATACCCTTTGATGCAATCCTCCATAGAATTTAAATGAATTTGTTAGATAATTGGGTATTTCATTACTCAATCATTACATGGAAAACAAATCAAACAAGCCGTCATGGGGTCACAGCTGTTTCAGAGAATTTGTTTTAGGATGGCTGATAAGATATTTTCTCACATTTCTTGTTCACATTACTTGTAAATGTAGCTTTATTTACATGTATATATTGAAATTAAATATTTTTGTCACAGTTAATATTCAATAAACATACTTGTACAAACAATGTTTAATCTTTTCAATCATTTTCTGATTATTCTTCTACAAATTTCAATACAAAGGCCACAATTTCTTGTAACTTTAAACTGATATCTATCACTAGTTTTCCTTGTGTACATTAGAATAAGATTACAGTAATTATTTAATTCTCTAATTTCTTTCTACCCAGACATCAACGAGTGCACCCTGTCTCAGAATGACACTCGTCGTCATGAGTGTGACTCCAATGCTGCTTGTATAGATCTCCCTGGGAGTTATAACTGCTCCTGCTTAGCTGGTTACCAAGGCAACGGACTCCAGTGTGAAGGTGAGTGAATGGAAGTTGTGAGACCACTGATTTATCAGAAGTTGCAGTGATAGTTGATTATTGTACACAGCATTATTGTCTGTTAAGTAGCGTACATAGCTCAGTGTAGTGATACATTAAGATGTGTTCGGCATACAAAAATGCATGAGATCTGTTGCAAAGAGACAGAGCTATAATTTAGCTGTGGAGCTTGCATATACATACCTCTAATACATGTACCTTGATTAATTTAAATAATACCAAATCTGGAAATCAGACGGGCTTTATGTGTTTAGATAATCCAACATCACCAACAACTAATGACCATGGATTGAAAATTTACTACTGGGTACTTATTTCTTCCCATAGACGTTACACAAGGCCCGCTTAATTTGCTGCATGCACTGTTTCAAAGTTAAATGGTTGTGTTAAAAAGTACTGTCTCTTTATTGACCTGGGTTTGTCTTTATATTTTGCATCAAATTTCTCCACTTTCAGATATCAACGAGTGTAACACACCAGATGCATGCGTCACCAACTCCCAGTGTACTAACATGAACGGGTCCTACATGTGCACATGTGATGCTGGTTACCGTGGTGATGGTCGCATCCAGTGCAATGATATCAACGAGTGTGATGAGAATCGTATCATCTGTGATGAGAACGCCAGCTGTAACAACATGGTTGGTAGCTACACCTGCACATGTAATGATGGATTCACATCTAATGGAACTGCATGCACGAGTAAGTACAAATCCCAGAACTAGTCTCTCAACTAAATAATAATAATAATATTTAGCTTTTATATAGCGCTTAATACAAATGTCTCTAAGCGCTTTATAAATATACTATTACCCCGGTCATTGGATACAGTGCATGCCCGCACACAGTGTATGCATAATCTCCACTCCCTGGGGAGCATTCCAGCCAGCCAATATGTTGAAAAGAGTTGCTTATGATCCAAATTAATAGCAATTAAGTCCCCGAATCAGTCACAAACCTTTACCAGAAATAAATGAGTAAATAAAAAACAAATAAATATTTCCTTTTATCTTTTGACATACATATTTTAGAATAATATCAATTTCATCCTTTTAATACAGTCAGACAGAACCTTGGTTTTTATTGTTTCGAGCTTGAACTGTACTCCTGATAATGAATTATAACCTGTTTTTTCTCCCTACCTTATTTTCAAGATCCCAAACTCTCACAGAACCCCTGATATCTAATCATCATTTTACAATTATTGCAATCCTTTACCTTATCAAATATGTATTTGTAATGTTGCATTATCTTCTCCCCAGAAAGGGCCTTATAGATTTAACATATCTGAAATGAACGCTTGTTAGACATTTTTACCCTGTGCAAGATGGACAACAATTGATCCTTTGACTGCTGCATCATCTCAGTACCGTAGATCCCATTCTCATTGGCAAAGGGTGACAAAACAAAAAGTCATTCTTTCGGTTTCCGGATGAATAAAAGTTCCACTGGAGATAGTGAGGCCTTTGTAGCCATGTGTTTAACACAGTAATGATATCTCTTGTTGCCTTCCAGATGTTGATGAATGTGTAGAGGATACCCTGAATGACTGTCATCCCCTGGCTACCTGCACAGACACCATAGGAAGCTACATCTGTACCTGTCAGACTGGATTCATCTCCCCTGAAGGAGCCAGAGGCAGATCATGTAATGGTGTGTATTTCAATAACAATTCAAGGAAAATAAAAATGAATTCATGTATAACAGGCAACAAAAGATATTATATACCTCACTTAAGAAATCCAGCCATCTGATTGGTCGAATTGCATTCATAAACTTCAACTGTTCCTGTAAAATTCTCGGTAACCATGCTTAAAACATTTCAATATTTTTAATAACCATGGTTATTAAAAATAGTTGGTCAGCCTCCATGGTTACCCCATAGGTTTACATGTTAAAAAATGGTTTGAGCGATGGAGGATGCCGTATGTGTGCGAAGGATTGGTCGGTAATTTCAATACAATTGAATCTCGATCGATCTTACCGACAATTTTATCTTGCATTGTTGACATGAAGACGAAAATAAACTTCCAAAAACAAAAAAACAACATCTGCCGATAGATCTTGATCTAAGTTCGTGCCAATATGCATTGCAAAAGTAAAAGAAGAGTCCGTATATGGAGCTTTTGCGAAGCATTCATCACACGCGAAGCCGGTTTCAATCCATTTTAATGTATATATTGGAGAAAACTGCCAAGCATGTTAACGGCGGGCCATAGCCGAGTGGTCTAAGCGTTGGTTTTCGGTACACCTCTTGTTGTACGCAAGAGTTCGAATCCCGTCTTCGACAAAAATGATAAATATTTTTAATTTGTCATTTTTTAGTCTATTTTTTTTCGGCATATAAAAGTATTAATGACTGCTTTAATATTCGAGAAATAGTTGTTTTCATACGCTCTCGGGAAGGTTACAATTGGGCTATTCCCCTCGGCAAGCCTCGGGGAATAGCACAATTCTAACCTTCCCTTGAGCGTAATAAAACAACTATTTCTCTCAAAGCAGTCATTAATACTATAAAATATACCAACCAAACTGAACATGGTAGTTTAGTCACAGCACTAGAATGGAGAGTACATGGTTCTGGGCCCTGTTTCATAAGACTTGATATCAATAACAAGTTACAAGCTACTGTTATAGGCTACTGAAATCATGGCATCTGATTGGCTGAGAGCAAATTTGTCATAGAAATTTAGCATTTGTTATAGATAAAAAGTTTTATGAAACAGGCCCCTGGTCTAGAAACTATCAAGAGCTCTGAAGAAGAAGAAAACAAATTATTGCTTTTTACTGAGAAAATCCAGAAAAGGCTTCTGTGAACCAAAAAGTGATTAATTCTCTGATTGTCTGAAGTGTTGTCAATTTGCACTGGTCTTTCGCTTGTCTATGAAAGTTTGTGTATATCAAAGATTATTTAAGGGTTCCTAGCTATTGTACAAGAGATGCAGAAGCTATGAGAAATGTCTTTCCATAAAAGACCACGTTGAAGTACATAAATAATAGACAACAGCTTTATATCACAAAGCTTTATGTTTTGTTTCAAATCAGCAATAACCATCAGCATCATCACAATTATTTTTTGTTCTTTAATATTGTACATCAGATCTTGATGAGTGTTCACTAGGTATCAGTACTTGTGATGCAGTGATGGAAGATTGTTTTAACACCTACGGAGCCTTCACATGTAGCTGTGCTGATGGCTATGCACTCAGCAGTGGACAATGCCAAGGTATACATTGGTATTGCTCTCTACTTCCCCATTAGGCTGAATTATGAACATATGATTTGAGTGATGAGAACTTATTTTCATTGAAACAGGGTATATGAAGAACAGATGAATCTTTGAGAGAGCCTTCAGATTATATATATCTGCTATGTATAGTCATCTTGAATACATAAGTACAAAGTTTTGTTTAACATGATTTCAAACACATTTAATACCTCCCTTACTAAAGGTACAGCAACACAATGCTCAACTCAGAATGAACCTAGAGAATCCTCAAAGTTGAAAGAATCATACTTTTGAAGCAATATTTTTTACAGAAGGCCACTTGTTTACATGCAGGTGCCAAAAGTGTTTCAGAACATCAAGTATTCTTGATTATGATAATGCTACGAGACCAATCAAAGAATAATACTTCCTCAGTGATTCATTACTGTATTTATTCATTCCTTATTTTCATTTCTTTGATAGATGTTAATGAATGTCTTGATGACCCTTGTGATAGCCAGGTGAACACCCGATGTGAGAACCTACCTGGATCATACCAGTGCGTCTGCAGGACAGGTTACTATGTCGTCAACTCTCAATGCTTGCGTAAGTATATGCATAGATATCATTCAAAAAGTTTTTGATTAGTATTTATTTCCTATTAGTATTTCTATTCCCCCACAAATCATGAATATAACACATCCTGAAATAGGAATGATTAAATTTGGTCATATGACCAAATAAGTTTTATTTTCTATCTATGAGAGCTTTATATACATGTACTGTACTGCATTCATTTGAACTGTACTCATGCATGTATCTGATTCTTAGACAGGACAATTGTGATAACCAACATAGTGAAAGAGGATTGTAATTGTTAAACATTCGTGCTAGATACAAGAGCCTATTACAAATTATGATGGAATATGATGCAAATGTACATTGACTGCCTTTTAGTAAATTGTGTTTAAAACGATGTCATACTTTACTGCTCGTTTAAGTGTGGTAATTCATTTCTTCCATTTTACCCCCAATCCATCCATCCATGTTCCACCTATCTGTTCACCAATCTGCTCACCAATCTATTTATCCGCTTCATCAATTAATTTAGTCCTTTCTTCATCCATCTTCTATCTTTGGTTTATCCATCCATCAATCCATCTAACTATTCATCTGTCAAAACAAACCACCGATCGGTTCACCTCATAGACAACTAATGGAATCCTTTTGATGAGAACTTTCCCTATTATATATTATGTATATTTTGATCACAGCTGCCATGTCAATGCTTCTCTCTGCGACCTTCACTGATATTGCTGGATTGGAGGTGCTCGGACAGTACTTTGTTTACAATGATTTTGCTTTGTACATACCCCAGCTTGAAATAGATGTGAGTATAATTATATGTTTTTAAGTCTGATCATTAACAAAGATGTAATATTATACAGATATTGACTGGCAGGGGAGGGGGGGGGGTGATATTATATATAGATATTAGATAGCTTAGACAGATATCGAGATGTGATTGTTTCAGAGCTCGTCACATGATATCGATTGCGAGGATCTATTTTCTTTTCTCCCTTGAATTTTTTTTTCTCCCTCAAAATGTTTTTTTTTTGAGAAATTTGTTTTTCTCTAATTTTATTTTCTCGAAAAGTTTTTTTGATAATTTTTTTCTCTCAATTCTCCCCCCCCCATCTTTTTTTTCTCCCTAATTCCCCTCCCCCCCCCCATTTTTTTCGTCAATTTTTTTTCATCTCACTTTTCTGACTAAAATGTCTTGTTTCAAAAAAGGAAGGAAGATAAAAATATAGTGAAATGTCTACAATTTTCTTGGATATAGTCATTTGGAATCCACAAGGTGAATAGCACACTGATTTTGTGTTTTGATTATCCTTCTTGTAAGACAAATGTTAATACTCTCCATTCATGTAAATTGTATATCTCCTGGGAGGCGTTTCACAAAACTTTACATCAGTGACAAATGACAGTTTTTGTTATGAGCTACTGAAATCCTTGCTTCTGATTGGTTATCAACAGATTTGTCACTGATTTTTGTCATTTGTCATTGAAACAAGGCTTTGTGAAACGGGTCCCTGATGAGAGCCAGAAGGGTATTAACTTACATCCTTTACCTCAGAGTACTAGTAGATGTTCTTCCTGCCCTCAACAGATGTTTCCTGTCCTGTAATACAATGTTTGTTTCTGTAATGATCCTGACTGTCACTAATTTCCTCTGAAAATACTTTGTCCTCTAGGTGGACACCCTCCTCCAAAGCGCCGGTCTGACCAACTACACGGCTGTCTCCGTCTCTACCTCTCGTCTCCAGACATTGGGAGTTGAGGTCGAGTTCATCCTGGACTTCCTTGCGACATCTACGACCACGAAAGATGAGATTCTAGTGGCTTTCCTGGCAGGGCTTCAAGGGAGAGATGATATTATCCTGCCAGATAATGTCATTATCAGGAGTACTGTGTTTGTTGGACAGCCAGGTTAGTCCATAACAGAATTTGTTATTTGGTACCGGATTTTTTTTCAGGCTGCAAAGGCCATTTTTGCAAACAATAGACTTTTGGAGTAATCAGGATTTTGATGTTGAGCAACATTACCGTAGTAAATTAATCTATGAAACTTTAACAATACATCCAGGGGGGTGTTTCACAAAGATCCCAAGTTGAACTTATCTCTAAGTTGGACTTAACATTTATGGAAAGCCATTAGCATCTTTAAAAATATTTTGTAAAAGTTATTTTAAAAGGCATGAAAAGTTGATTTTGTTCATTCATATTTTCCATTATCTAGGAGATTTCATGTTCTTGATGTGGAATTTATAAAAAGTCTAAAATACTTGAATTTTCGCTTTTGAATATATTTTATTTTAAGGCTACAAATGGCTCTCCATAATTTTTAAGTCCAACTTAGAGTTAAGTTCAACTTAGGATCTTTGTGAAACACCCCCCAGATATTATATGAAAACTCTATTTTTTCCTCCTTGGAAATCATGATGGTAACTTTTGGTCAATTTATAGAGATAAGCATTATTAGGTCAATAAATTGACAGTACTTTTGAACATTACCATTGAACTTTGAAATGGAAATTATTTCAATGAAGTTATATCATTTTTTTTACACAGATACAAATCTTAGTTGGTGTATTTCACATACTCTCTTTTCTTAAGTTAATTCATTTAAATACTGCACATGTAGTAGTAGTAGCTGTCTGTCGCGAAGCGACAATGACCGCCTTCATTTTCACTTTACAGCTGTTCTCCATACAGCTCGCTGGCCTGCAGCAGTTGTCCAAGTCTTGGTTTCAATTTGCCTCCGCTTAAGGTTCCTCTTGATCGTGCCCTTGTAGCGAAGCCGTGGACGACCAATCCCTCTTTCGCCAGCGGGTAGTTGCGAGAATAGTACTTGCTTTGGTAACCTCTCAGAGGGCATCCTGATGACATGGCCTGTCCATCGTAGGTTCTTCCTGATGAGCAGGTCCTCCATAGAAGGAAGGTTTGCTCGCTCTAGTACCTCTTTGTTGGTCACCTTGTCCTTCCAACTGATTCTCATGATTGCTCGAAGGTGTCTCATCATGAACGCGTGAAGTTTCTTTACTTGACTTTTGTAGAGAGTCCAGCTTTCCGCACCGTATAAGAGAGTGGATAGGACGATAGCCCTGTAGATTTTGCACTTCACTCTTGTTGAGACATGATGGTTGTTCCATAGCCTGGTTCGCAGTCTTCCAAAGGCACTGCTGGCCTTTGACATTCTTTTCACCAGCTCAGAGTCGATGCGTCCGTCTTTGGATATAGTGCTGCCGAGATAAGTGAAGTCATCTACCTGGTTTAGGGCTGTCCCATCCACTAGGATCTCCTCCTCCTCTCGGTGGTCTGTACCTGGTTGGAATAGTACTTCAGTCTTTACTCATAAGAGTAATTGTAATCGCCTCATTCTTTTAATAATTGTTAATTGGTTTTTGCCATGCTTAGTTGTAACCACTGCCCTGTGGTTCAGGTTCTCTTTAGAATCTAACTAAGGCTAAGGGAGCAAACCCTAACAGAAAACCATGCCACCGTGACAGCATTGAGGGCGCGATTGACGATACGGAACTCCCGACATCCTTCGACCAGTCACTGCAGGGTCTAGTGGTTCACACCCGTCCTGGTTTGTCCTCGCCGGTGTGAAACTGCCACCAGTTCCCCGAGAGAGTGCCGGTAGTAACTTGCAAGAGCTACCGGTACTTATCCACCTTTGCAAGCAGCCTTCATTATGCGCAACAGTATGAAACTTCATACCGGTTCGGTCGTCTTCCGGGTTAACAAGGACCGCGCTGTTAGATCAGGACTTCCGTCGACAGTGCCAAGTATGCTAGGAAGCAAACAACAACAACAAAAAGATGACACCAGCGGAATTACTACAATGACGTTTGGACAGTGGAATGTCAGGACACTCCTCGATCGGGAAGGAACTGGCAGGCCAGAGAGAAGGACTGCCCTTGTAGCCATGGAGCTGGAGAAGTACAAAATTGACATTGCTGCTTTGAGTGAAACACGTTTCTCCGAGTCAGGTAGGCTCGATGACATGGGCTACACATTCTTCTGGAGCGGCAAGCCGGACGGGGTACGACGAGAGGCTGGAGTGGGATTCGCCATCAGAAAAGAGATCTGAGCGAAGCTCACAGAAATGCCTAAAGCGGTGAATGATAGAATTATGACAATGACAGTACCACTGATGAAGAAGGGAAATGCTACTCTCATCAGTGTATACGCACCAACCATGACGAGTCCGGATGAAACAAAGGAGAACTTCTACAATCAGCTTAGACGAACGTTGCGGGACACCCCCCGGACTGACAAGCTGATATTGATGGGAGACTTCAATGCCCGGGTAGGACGAGACTATGAGAAATGGCAGTCGGTGTTAGGCAGGCACGGAATCGGTAAATGCAACACCAATGGTGAGCTACTTCTAGCGCTGTGCTCTGAGTTCGAACTCCTACTGACAAACACCGTGTTCAAGCAGAGGGAAGAACACAAAACCACCTGGATGCACCCTCGCTCTAAGCATTGGCACCTGATTGATTACATCATAACAAGACAACGAGACAGAATGGATGTTCACAGCACAAGAACTATGCGTGGAGCTAACTGCTTGACCGATCACCAGCTACTAAGATCAAAGATTGCATTTGCTTTACGTTCAAAGCGTAGGAAGCAAGGAGCTACTAAACTTGCAAAGCTGAACACAGACCGGCTACACGTCAACACACAACGGCTAAAGCTAGTGCAAGATATGGAGAAAGCTCTGGCGACTTGGGGAGTGCAAGAGGGAATGACAGTTGATCAGACCTGGGCATCACTCAGCAAAGTAGTATATGACACAGCGAGCAACACCCTCGGTAAACCAGAGCGAAAACACCAGGACTGGTTTGACCCAGAAGACTCCGAGCTTCTGATACTCATGAAGAAAAGGAATGAAACACACCAACGTGTATTACAGACTAGAAGCACCAGGTCAACCACCACCGCGTACAAGGAAGCCTGCAGACACTTGCAGAGGTACACACGGAAAATGAAAACCACCTGGTGGGAGAAAAAGGCAGAGGACCTGCAGCGCTCCGCAGACAATAATGACATGAAGTCCTTCTACACTGGACTGAAAGAAGTCTGGGGCCCCCAGACTAGGAGTACAGTTCATCTCAAGTCCCTGGACGGTAACACAACCTTTTCAGACAACAAAAGGGTGCTTGAACGATGGTCGCAGCATTTTGAGACACTACTCAACCAGCCAGGAGATATCGAGCCTGCAGCGCGTGATAGGATCAACCAGCGACCTGTAGTTACTGCACTCGATGATATTCCAACACGAAAAGAGCTAAACCTGGCAATTGCCTCCTTGGGTGATGGCAAGGCACCCGGAGTGGATGGGATACCAAGCGAGATATGGAAGCACGGAGGAGCCACACTAACCAACAGTTTACTAATGCTGATACAACAAGCATGGGCAGAAGGCTCCGTACCTCAGGAATGGAAGGATGCTAATATTGTCGCCATCTTCAAAAAAGGAGATAGAACTCAATGTGGAAACTACAGAGGAATATCGCTATTGTCAATAGCAGGGAAAGTTTTTGCCAGGATCCTTCTGAACAGATTGAATGCCCACATAGCACCAGATATATTGCCGGAGACGCAATGCGGATTTAGGAACAACCGCAGCACAGTAGATATGATCTTCTGCCTCAGACAACTACAGGAGAAGTGCATTGAGCACAACCGATCCCTCTATGTGGTTTTTGTCGATTTCACGAAAGCCTTTGACACTGTTGGTAGGACAGGTCTTTGGGAACTACTACGAAAGTACGGATGTCCCGAGAAGTTCACCGGAATGGTAGAGTCCTTACATACGGGTATGATGGCTAAAGTCAAGGAAGCAGGCGAAACATCCCATAGCTTCCCTGTAAGTAACGGTGTAAAACAAGGATGTGTGTTGGCCCCTACGCTGTTCTCCATCTTTCTCTCGGCGATGCTGGAGGAGGCCTTTGCGGACTTTGAGGAAGGCGTTTACATACAATCACGTCAAGACGCCGACCTATTCAATGTCGCACACTTCAAAGCTAAGACGAAGTCTACACAGATTCTCGTGAGGGAACTCCTCTTTGCAGATGACAGTGCTCTTGTTTCTCATACACCAGAGCAGATGCAACATGTTATAGATGTATTTTCATCAGCATCAAAGAAGTACACATGTACACATGTATGTATGTATGTATGTATGTATGTATGTATGTGTGTATGTGTAGGCAAATTGAGGCTTGGTTGAATAAGAAGAATGAAATTTATGGGGAAATATGATTCATCTTAAAAATTGTACAATGCTACATGGTCTGTTGTCCCCATTATCCATTAATAAATTACAAGAGTGAAATATTGATGAATTTGTACAAAGTTGAAGGCTTTTCTAAGTGATGGATTTTCACAGATATTTTGTGACTTCTGAAAATGATGGATTCTGACAGATTTGGTGACTTCAGAAAGTTATGGATTCTAAAAGATTTGATGAAACCTGATAAATTTGAAGACTTTTTTTCTTTCTTCTTTTCTTGAATACAGTGATTAATCCATGTGTGGAGGAGACAGACAACTGCACAACAAACTCAGACTGTATCTTCCTTGGTACCTCTGGAAACTATACTTGTCAATGTCAAGATGGATTCATGGGAGATGGATTCACAACCTGTACAGGTACTGGATGAACAATTGATTTTTAATACACCAGGGGCAAACTACTCACGAGTTATGATTGATTCAAATCAATCGCAACAGTGCCATAGTTTACTTAAGATATGGGAGATTGTAAACTTGCAATTGATTGAGGACTAGAGATCCAAACAGATCAATGGCAAGTCTCTATCAGTCAGGGCCCTGGTATACTATATGGCAGTACATTGTGGAGCATGTACATGAGATGTTAACTTTTAAAATGACACCAAGTTTAAGAACATGTATCTCAAATTTAATTGCTAGAGACAGATTTTTAATCAATTTTTATTTTATTTTGATGAAAAGATTTTCAGTGAAAACATTGTTCCTTCATATCAGTGTTCACATTTTATCAATATTCTTGAAAAGAGAAATTCAAGTTTTAGCTTTTTAAGTAGCTAAGACCTTCATTTGCAAAGAAAGAATTACTCAGTTTTGGGCAAAACTTGTTTATATTCATATGAAAGATGATGGATGGCATACTCTGAGGAAAAGTAAAGATAAGATAAATAAAAACCTGACTTTGGGTATTACAGTAATCACTTGGCAGTCAAGGTCTTCTTTAATAATCTATACATTTTTTAGGCATAAAGATGTGTCATATGTTTAAAAGTTGTTCATGCGTGGGTATATAGTCGTCAAGAAGTAGGCAACTTGGTGATCACTACATAACACTGAGATAATGGGCATAACACTCCCATGCCCTCTATATGCCCACACTTGAGAAACTGCAATATGACTATTTAGTCTTAAAATAATTTGAAGTTACTTTCTTCCCCAATGTTTGGTAATCCAATAAACTTTCCTGCTTCAATTTTCCTTATGATATTTTTCTGCTTTTCTGATCATATCCACATCTGTTTGAGATGTATTGTATTTATCAACATTACTTTCTTCTACACAGACATCAATGAATGCCTGAATGACACGTCATGCACAAATGAAGGAGAGAGGTGTGTTAACACTGCCGGAAGCTATTCTTGTGACTGCATGATAGATAGAGGTTACATTGCTAACGATGGAGTATGCACATGTAAGTCTCTAGTAGTTTGTAGGCTGATCTTATCTGTAGTCCCAGGTAGTCAAAATACAGTCTGTGTGAAACAGGTGCATTATAATTTTGCTCACAAAACTACCACCCCTGTAAAATTTCCAAATAGTCTATCAGAAGATGTAATGAGCAATAAGCTGCTACGATTTGTTGAGTGCATATTTTGTCTAAAATTCAGTTCCATGGTAACTGAAGCACACCTTAAAGAAGTTTAGACTAAAAGTTAACAGCCCAAATTAGAGTAACTGACTGGTTGGCAAAGGGAAAATAAGATATGGAGATTAATGATCTCGGTGATTTATAGAAGTTGGGTGGGACAAAGGAGGCGTGATTGCTCAGTGGTAGATACATGTAGCAGTGGTTGCATAACTTGGATATCCCCTTGTTCGAAACCAAGTCGATGTGCTAGTGCCCTTTGGTAAGGCATTAATCCTCATTACTCAGTCCCTCGGAGAGGACTTAACGCCGTTGGTCCCCTGGTTGCTTACTGACAAGCACACCCATGCTTTCTTAGCAGTCGGGTAAAACAAACACACCAAATGACATTGGACCAAATGACCATATACCTTTGCAGAATTACTTATCTAAGGTAGATATTAAGTCTATCAACCTCTTTTATTCCCAACACAGTATATGAAGTATACCGTGGCCAGCTCACTGTCAATTTTATCAGCGGTCTCCCAGCTATTTTCACTTCAGACCTCACTGACTCCTCTAGCCAGGCTTACTCGAGTCTAGCTTTCTTAGTCAGCAATGCGGTAAGTTTATGTACAGAATATGTACAGTGTATCATTTGATGATTTCTGCAATGTATCTTTCGAGTTAGTCAGCTCATTAATATACATTTTTGTGGTTTTGTTTTCCAATTGTTTTTGTACAAATAAATCTTGCAGGAAAGTATGTTTAACCTGTTACTTACTTGAACCAGGAGACTCCTGTATTAAGCCTGTGGCAATGAGGAAATTCAGTAGTGGATTAATATTCAGATTGCTCTTTGTATGCATGTAAATAATCTTGCATGATAGTGTCAGAAGTACTCTCTTTTTTTCTCTCATTTTTATGATGGCTCTTTTTGGATATTCGATAGTAAAAAATAATTTGTGGCAATTTGTGGCAATTTGTTTATGTTTATACCTCACTGTTAGTTTACCAATGCTGTTTAAGAACTAAATCACCCATTGCTGGCATGTATCTTAAATTTTGGCTTGCCGTATAGAGGTTTGTGGATAAATAGATGTTCATGTGCATGGTATAGAAAAAAAAGAGAGATAAAAGAATGTGTTTTTATGTAACCATTTCAGATACGATATCTCTTCCTACTGGAGCCAAACCTGCAAGACTTCTTCCAGTCTTGCACGGTGTCTGGTTTCACCAACGGCAGTGTGGTGGCGACATACTATGTTTCCTTCACCCAGTCGGTCAATACTTCAAAGAGCTCCCTCACAGCTCTCGTTGTGAACACCCTTGAGACTGGTGTCATTCTTACTACAGGCATTGCCTCTCAAGGGAATATCAATGTAGATATTAACTCTGTGGAATTCACCAGTAAGTAGACATTTCACTGTTAAATTCTTCCGAGTATTGTACTACCAGTACTGCATTTACAGTGTACATGTAAATAGTTGGTATTTAATTCAATACTTCAGGCAGAAATATTTGAATTTTACTCAGTTAGGAAACATTAGAATTCAATTGCATTGTTTGGCTTTCATACATACCTGTATTTAACCTAAAGTTAAAATCAGACAAAGCCAATTGTTTTGAAAACCTGGAAGTGCATCCGTTATTCTTGTCAAAGAAATACTGTAATTTGATGATATTGTTTGACTTTTTCAGAAATTACCCAAGAGTGCACAATCACTTTCTGTTTCAATGGAGGAATATGTTCTTTGCAGAATGGATTGAAAGTCTGCCAGTGAGTATAAGCTCATTTTTATTCTTTTCATATAAAGTTACATGTGTTTACCCATCTCGCCCTACTTGTATTCAGATTTTAAAGTGCACAGTGGACTTAAAGGTATAAGACAAAGTTTTGGTATGGGGTCATGAATTTGGTTCAAATGTTCAGTGATCATTGTCGCGGTTGAAATCGAGTCTAAAGTTATGAAATTGTAAATCATAATCTCGTTATGTTGTATAGCTCCCTCTCAAGGTCAAGATATTAATAAAGCTATAATGCAACTAACTCCCATCTCGCCTTTTATGTGCATTTTATGCAATTTTAATATTGCAGCTTTTTTTTTTTTTTTTTTTTTTTTTTTTTTTTTTAATATAAAACCATATCACTATTAATTTCATTTCACCAAAGAAAGTCGCTCGTGGGCTTGATTTCCGAAGCCCACGCCAAAGCTATACACGAAATTGACTGGCGCAAATAATCTTTGAGATTGAAGAGCGCCATCTAAACGAAGAACCAACCAACCAACCTATAAAACAATGTTTCTTGACTAAAATCGACCGATTAGCTATTCCCGTTTGGAAATTATATTTCACAACTACATATTCTGAGATTTTCATGGTCGCAGCTACCATTGTATGGCCGCGTAGGCGCTATTTGAAAATTGTTTTAGGGGCTGAATTTTCTAGTGCTCATAATACATCCACAGGGGAATCCAAATATTTCAAAATTGTAAAGAATCACTATCCAGCCAATTTTCAAAATTTCCCAAAACTTTGTATTACCTTTAAACCAAGTACATAGATCACGGGGTACCGATGGTCACCGATTAGGCATTATTTGTTATATAGAGGGCGCAAGTAGCTACAAGTAGTGCAGTGTTGCTTTAAACCAAGTAGCCATACAGACTTATTGTCCTTGTGCTTATGATCCAAAGACTAATGAGCTACACATAGTTTAGCAGCTTCTCTGATGTCCAGATAGTTCAGAAAAAAACTTCATCAGAATCATATTATCAACTAAGGGTCAGTAGGGCACTGATTCCCAATTGATACATGTTCATTGACATACATGCTCAACTGTAGAGTTAATGCTAGGATGCCTTTCTGGCTCTGAGCAGATGATGCAGGTGATATACTGATTAAAGACTCATTGAATATTGTTTGCTGAGAGCTATAAGGGCACTTCATGATCCTATACTACATTCAGCTACTGCCTACTTGCATCTAAACAACAATTATAGATATGTGTTTCATGCACAAGTGATACTACAGGTCACACAATCATGACTAAAACCTTGTATAATGCTTTGTTCATGAAGGTGCCCTAGTGGTTATGAGGGAGATACTTGTGAGATTGCTCCTAGCACTCTGCCTCCTACTATAGCTACTACTCTGGAGGGGAGTACCATGGCAACGGAAAACATCACTGAGATGACCAACACCACAACATCATCCCAGACAAGTAAGTTATGAGGGGAGCGCATAATCATTGAGCTTGTGGGGGGGATTAGAGGAATTAAGAATGACACACTACTGGATTTATTCAAAGGAGACACGATGGCTCAATGGTAGAGCAGTGGTCTTGTAACTGGGAGGTCCTGAGTTCAAAGCCCAGTTGATGCGTTAGTGCCCTTTGGTTAGGCATTAATCTTTATTACCAAGTCCCTCAAAGAGAACTTAAAGCTGTTAACCCCCTGGACATTTACTTACAAGCATACACATGCTTTGTTTTTGGTCAGGTGAAACAAACCAACTTACCAACCAACCAACCAACCAACCAACCAATCTTGATAGGAACCGTTTATGCATTTTTTGTCTTTATTTTTGTCCTTTAACTTCAATATTTGAATGATATGAAATCAAAACCCCATACACTTTGATTTACATTGGACTTATCAGTCACATTATTTTATTCACAGTAGGATTTATCTCATGGTGCTATAAAGCAACATCTTAGATCAGTGGCTCTTAACTTGATATACCATGCATGTTCCAGAGACTCCAGTCTGAGCTTAGCATTCACCTTGGTAATTTTGATGGTCCCAAGACTCCATCAGATGTTTTGAATCAGAATCATGACTAAATCAGAAATTCTTACCAGGATCTAAATCCCTGAAATATGCTTCATTATATTATATAGGATTCCAATGAATGTGGTGAATTTGTGTCTGTAAAATGTCCTGCTGGAACTCCAAAACAAGCCCAATGGAGGTCATGCCTAACAATTAACCCCTAGGTTAATCAATACTCATTGTCCTGCTTTCATTAGTAGTTGTCGCTCGAGTTCATTCTGCTACTCTTTGTTAAATTTGATAGCTGGCCTTTCTGATGCTCAAATCATCGGCATCGTCTTTGGCATCCTGGGTTTCATCGTTGTCGTGTTCCTATTCATCGTTTGCTTCTGCGCCGTCATCCGCCACCGCCAGCGCAATATGTTGCTCTACTCCAAGCCCCAGTCCTACGACATTGCCGATGATCGTCAACGTGTCCTGTACAATGTTCCTCGTGCTCAACGTACCGGACGCTCTGACTTCCGCCACAATGATGGCTCCGAGCAGTACAGGCTGCCATCCTATCTCTTTGATTCAGAGACTGACTCCAGCGACAGGACAAGCGATATCACGGAGGAGGATCGTCACATGCAGCAATTGGCAGAAGTCATCACACAATCCCCCTACCTCAATGTGAGTTCAGACTTTGATTGAAATCAGCAGAACTTGGCTTATTTTGAAATTCAATATTTTTAAGGATTTTTTGCTTTATAGCTGCAATTTAACATACCGGTAGATGTAGCTTGATCCTATAACCAGTAGAATAACATTGTTTAATTTGTTTTGATATTGAAAATGTGCAAGGCTCTTTTGCTTAAAAGTTGCAACTGGACTTGGCTTTGATCAAATTCACTGCTTTCCATTTTATATCTGCCAAGGTCTGAAAAATGTCACTTCATGTCTGTAAAATTGTAAATTCATAAGGATTGTAAAAGAAACCATCATGTTGTAATGTATGTACAAAGTGTTTAGTTAATCTTTTTCTGTTTGTGGCATCCATGTTACTTTAAACATTGTCTTGTACTTGCTTATTTCTTGTTTTGTATATGTACATGGATAAGTGTAAATTCAAAAATCAAATTCATCAAATTAAATTCTTTTTATTGTTATACTTCTTGCAAACAACAGGAACGGATGCGATCCCAGATTACGGATATTGCTGGCAGGTCTGGTCACAGGCCGCCCCAACAGTCTGAATTTGTGCGGCCCTATGTGGCGTCCGGTCGAGAAGCAGAATTCTTATCAACTGTAAGTACTCACAAGCATGTACTGTTTATGAGGAAAATGGGTGTTCATGTAGATCTATTTTTCTTAATTTCCCTAACTATATTTGGGCAGCAAATCCCTCCCAAGAAATTAAAGTTTGAGACTACAAATGGCTTCCCCAAAACAGAAATAAGTACCTACATTGTACCGTTCATGCCCATTGAAGATAATTTATGTCCAGTCCAGCAATCAATATTTTGAAAGTTCATTTACATACTTGTACAAATTGTTTAGAAACTAGATGGTTCATGATTCTTCTTCTATTTCATGTCATACACATTAGTATTATGCAATTATATCTATTTGCAAGTAAAATTGTTTCTTTCATATATATATATATATATACATTATCCTTTCCCATTTCAACATTTCTGTGAATAAAACAATTTATATGCTTTCTCTTTCAATGAGGAATGTAAAATACCATTTGACTCAAACAATGACCTTTGACCCAAGCAATGACCTCTGACCTCTGCTTTCTGTCACTCTACAGGCTAGCGAATCAGGAGACATTATCAGTCCAACCAGAAGGTTCCAGATACCAAGAGCTCAAGTTCCATAGGGTCTTCGAGAAAGCCACACATAAAACTCTAATGCAAATGATTCATGTGTTTACTTTTAGATATTCTCATAAGTACTTATTAAAGACCGTCAATACTGCTGGGTCAGAAGAGATTACACCACCCAGCCAGGTCACTGACAGGTGGTTATCTCATCAACTTAGCTCTCAACTAACATAAGAAAAAGAGGATCATGGGGGACGTCAAGAAAGTATACAGAGAATATTTAAAATGTAAGTCAAATGAATAATGTATCAATTTTTATGCCTCCGCCACCGAAGGTGGTGCCGGAGGCATCATGTTTTCGGGTTGTCCGTTGGTACGTCCGTACGTCCGTCCCGTTTGACCGTTATCACAATATCTCAAGAACCATTTAAGATTTAAACTTAAGACTCGGGAATAGTATTTATCACCATAGGAAGACGATCTGATTAGATTTTGGAGTACGTAGGTCAAAGGTCACAGGTCACAGAGGTCAACTTATGAAATTCCTTGTATTGAGTTTGTTAGCGCGATATCTCAAGAACCATTTGAGATTTAAACTTCAAACTTAAGGATAGTAAGTATCACCATAGGAAGACGATCTGATTAGATTTTGGAGCACGTATGTCAAAGGTCAACGGTCACAGAGGTCAACTTATGAAATTCCATACATTGAGATTGTTATCATGATATCTCAAGAACCACTGGAGATTTAAACTTCAAACTTAGTGATAGTGTGTATCACTATAGGAAAACAATCTGATTACATTTTGGAGCACGTAGGTCAAAGGTCAAGGGTCATAGAGGTCAACTTATGAAATTCCATACATTGAGATTGTTATCATATCTCAAGAACCACTGGAGATGTAAAAACTTCAAACTTATGCAAGGGTCACTCTGTGGCCTGGACCCACCCTCCTCAGAGGTCGCCAAATATCGACGTCGACTCGACGCCTAAGCCTGACCCTGACCTATTTGTTGTTGTAGTGAAGTCCTAACGTTCGTTTTTCTTCATTGGGTGAAGCTTTACTATACAAATTGATGAAATGTGTGAAGCTTTGACGAGTAATTTGTTTTTTCTGGTGATGTGACATCGAATCCAATCGGTCGCCTTGTTTGTTCAGGTGATGTGACATCGAAGCCACTACCGGTCGCGTCGAAAATATGTCGAAATCATGTCGAAATCGTGCGTTTCAAAACAACTATTTAATTTTTATTCCGGTCACTCATGCACTCGCAGAGTGATCGTCCTGAGGTCACCGAACTTTTCTCCAGCGAAACTGATTTCGAGATTTCACGAGATCGTTTTCGAGTAGTCTACTAGTCTCCTACACATAACTAGTTTTGTGAGTATTCGCAGTATACGTGCCTGAAAGGCCAGCCTCAAGTCTGGAAACGAGACTAGTAGCCTACGAGCTGTCGGTATTGTACCCAGCATGCGCAGCGCAGATCGTGCCAAGTTTTGGCCCCAAGTTTTTGCGAGGTGAGTTGAAAAAAAATAGAAAGTTCAGAGTTTTCCGATCATTTTGAGACGGTACTACTCCGACCCTGTTTTACGATTGATTATTAACGAAATCTGTGCATTAAACTTAGCCTATATTTTCGCGAGATTTCAATGTTGACGTATTCCACAAAGGTATTACGCCACAGCAGTGCCGTGCGCTCGAGTCGAAGCCTTACGAATTCTGCGGATATGCACTGTATACTGTGTACGTTTGTGATGGTTTGTGTTAGTCGTGTATTGTTTGTTGTAAACATCTTCATCAATCCATCATGGTAAAATAATAATAAACATTGGATGATGTATTATTTTAATTGTACACAACAATATCGCAAGCTTTTTTGTGTGTATATTGTTGATGTTTTGTTTACCTGTAGGCTGTAGTGTAGTTTAGTACAGTAGTATAGAGTATGTATCAAACCAGAGAAGCATCTTCTCTGATCAAACCAATTAAATTGACATTGTTGACTGTAGTAATATTGATTATTATTCATTCATAATAATAATCCAGTGGAATTACTATACTGTGTTCTAATTCACAACAACAACAAGTCAACAGTAACAACAGGGCTATTTTACTAGGTTCATTGACATTACAACAATGTTCTGTTGTAATTGTCCTCATCAGCTGGGCATATTTTTCTTTTTTTTACTCAGGTAGGTCAATTTTATTTTTTACCCATCAGGTGGGTCATTTTTTTTTTTTTTATAGTAAAACTTCCATCCCCCCCCCCCAATTAATATAATTGGTGTTCATATTTATTTCTAGTAGGCCGTATCTGCGTAGGCCGTAGCGGCGTAGGCCTCCACAAATTTAAACATCTTTGGAACTTGCGTGGAGGGTACAATTTTTATTTTATTAAATCGTCTTTTAGACTTTCATAATTATTAAAAATAAAATTGTGATATTGTTTTTTGTTTTTTACATCTCGACCAAACTTGGTCAGAGTCATACCTGGTCCTACCAGTACTAGCTAGATGATGTATGTACTGCACTACAAAAGTAAAAGTTCAACCTTGTGGTCAGTTCCTGTAAACCTCATGAATGCATTTAGCATGTTCAGAGTTGGCTGTTTGTAACTATATTGGTGCTTATAATAATAATAATAATAATAATAATAACGTTTTATTTACCCAGGGTAGCCACTTCAGTTATAAAACTGCTCTCCCAGCGGGCCCTGCATAACATAACATGTTACTATTACCCTTCTCCAATCTAATATGCTGAGCGCCTAGCTAGAAGGCAGAAGGTTCCATTGTTATAAGTCTTTGGTATGACTCGGCCGGGGATCGAACCCACGACCTCCCGTTCATGAGGCGGACGCTCTAACCATTGAGCCACCATGTCCGGTTGATCCCATTGAAATTGCCTATATGCCTATACATATGTATGCTTATGTGATGTGATCAAGCAAAATCAGTCGGAAGTCTGAAATATTGATTTTGAGATATAGCCAAACAAAGGAAGTATTTCCTTTTGTTTCCTTTTGTTTTGGAAACTCTTTATTTGCTGATATCTTTTGAACTGGTTGTTCAATTTCAATGGGATTTTCTGCAAAATGTAGCTTTGCAAATGCTTGTTACAATCCAATAAGAAACTGAAAATTGAATATGACCGACTTCAGACTGATTTTGCTTGATCACACCACATATATAGTGTGTGTGTGCTAGACAGTTATTTTATATGATTATTTATACCCGATTATTCTATTTTATATAGTAGTATACTAAACATTATTATTTATACTGTGTAATAATTATAAAGTACTCCCTGAATAAGAAGTCGGGACTGGCGTACCCGACACATAATGTGTTCACATCATCCCATTGATCCTGCGGTGACAACAGAATAAGGTCAAAGTTTAATGCACATGTTATTTCAAATGTGTCTGATTTTTTATGCAGCACATATATGCGATCAAGCGAAATGAGTCTGAAGTCGAAAAAATAATTTTGTGTTTTTTTGCATTTTCTATCAGGATATTATTTATGTGAGTGTGCTAGACAGTTTATGGTGCTTTCATTCCAAAAGCCTTACATGTATACCTGGCCAACTTCATGCTAGAATGCCGGAATCCTGTATTGTATACAAATGCAGTCCTCTAAGCTGTGTATTCCATCCATGTTTTTTCATCTGATTAATGTATGTAGTCCTCCGACGATCGCCTATTGGCTGAACTCACAGTAACGACATCCACTCTGGAAGGTCTTGACTTGGATTTATGTAGTTTATAGCATGCAACAGGTTCACTATTGAATGAATTGATCGGGAAATTGTTCAGGTGTTGTCAATGTCATAGTTAAAATATGAAATGAGAGATGCTTGCCAGTCAAGTATACATGGTCTTAAAAATGCATACAATGTGTTTGATAGCTGGAAAGTTCTATACTTTGTATTATGTTGGTATGTTGACTTATTGACTGTTTCTGGACAATTTCCCCATCAAGTTTTATTCATAGTAGTGACCACGACTAAGTAAGCAAAGCATTGAGTACACTTTGATCATGCATATTACTCTCTATAATTAATGCTCTCATTTCATAAATTCTCAGGTAATGAAGAGTTAACTTCTTTTTTGGTTTGCTTTGCTTGAATAGTTTCGGACCAATTATAATTAGTGTGTTATGGGCAAGGCTGAATTGTGTGGTCCATCATCAGGTGGTCGTACAATACCCGGCCAAAAGTTTCTTGAATTCAACTACAACAAATGAGGTGTAACCAAGCTATTGTGAATAGGAAATTTGATAAGCTAACATTTTATAAACCAGACCAAAAATGAGTTTTAGCTTGGTTTATCTACACTACAAAAATAATGTGACAGTACTGCCTGTATAAAAAGAAATGTGCACTTGTGCAACTTCATTATTTTTATAGTGTAGTTTTAATGAACACAATGTCAAAATCTAACAACGCAAACCTGAAATTTGTCTGGAATGAACATTTTCTTTCATTTCCAAGTAACAGAGTTTAATAGGTAACAGGAGTTAGTGTTTATAGTTAACAAGAGTTAGTATTAGAAAACAAGAGTTAGTATTAGAAAACAAGACTTGTAGTTAAAACAACTTTTGTATAAACGTTTTAAGTTTCATAACAACATATCTGTAGAAACATTGGATTGACAAAATAAACATGTTACTGTATCTTTGAATTGAAACCTGGTTGACTTGGTACTTATTGAGCAGTATGGAATTACTATCATGACTATAGACCATTGCAGTCATGGTCTACTATTATAAGTAAACATTGGTGGAGCTTGATTTCAAAACGTGAAGCTTGAAATATGTAATGGCCAATATGGTGAAACAGTGGTGAAGCTTGAACTATGCAAATGGCCAGTATGGTGAAACAGTGGTGAAGCTTCAGACCGGCCGAAAACTTACAAAAGTGAAGCCTCACCTATGGAAAACTGACACAAGTGAAGCCTCACCTATGTAAAACTGACAAAAGTGAAGCATCACCTATGCAAATAATTCAAAGGGTGAAGCCTGGACTAACACATTTGCTGATAAGAGTGATGCTTTGCCTTTGTTTTTTGTAAAGCACATGAAGTGATGGTGAAACCCTGAGGTTACAAATAATTGGCTCAGGTGAAGAAAGGTGATGACCTGAGGAGGGTGGGTCCAGGCCACAGAGTGACCCTTGCATTAAGGATAGTATGTATCACCATAGGAAGACGATCTGATTAGATTTTGGAGCACGTAGGTCAAAGGTCAAGGGTCACAGAGGTCAACTTATGAAATTCCATACATTGAGATTGTTATCATAATATCTCAAGAACCACTGGAGATTTAAACTTCAAACTTAATGATAGTGTGTATCACCATAGGAAGACAATCTGATTAGATTTTGGAGCACGTAGGTCAAAGGTCAAGGGTCACAGAGGTCAACTTATGAAATTCCATACATTGAGATTGTTATCATGATATCTCAAGAACCACTGGAGATTTAAACTCCAAACTTGTTTAAATTGCTCTATGGCGGAGGCATCATTTTCGACTGCACGCAGTCAAAATTCCATCTAGTTTTATTATGAATTTCAAGTTAGAAAACATGATTTAATAATGAAAACCTGTATTGTCTAGGGAACAGGAGAAAGATTTTTTTTAATTCATGAACTTAAATATTGTATCAGTATTTATTAACGTATCAGTATTAATCAGTTCTATCTATTCTTATGATTTGTTTTTGCATTTTTTAAATATTTTTATAATAATATTTGATTGATATATTCTTGGTGTAACCATATGTATTTATGTTCTATTTTACCTGGATTAAGTGTAATTTTTTGTTGAAAGAAAAGTTGTAAACTTTATTACCGAAAATTGCTTGTAAGCTATCATGTATTGTTTTATTTTTAAGTCTTGTAGATATTAATGTAAATTTGAAATAACACGTTGTAAAAGCTTCAGTTATGCAAAAACAATCATGGTCTTGAGGAAATTTGTTGTTAAATTCAAATACGCAATTTAGCTAAATAATACCTGACACGTACATGATTAAAATGTAACTTATATTCCTGGAAATTCAGATTATATTCATGTATATTTCTAGATAGTATCTCATTGATGATAAGCAAATAGATCACTTCCGATTATATTGACTCCATTTCAACATTTACTAATTAATTAAATAATGTATTTGTATACTCTTTATTTCCTGCAACTTTTAATTTGATGCTCTCTAATGTTTTTACGCAGTATCTAAAATGAGAAATGATTCTAATCTGTGCTGCAATTTATTATTTTCTACATGCATATTTTACATGAAATTACAAAAAGATGAAATATATAATGCTTTATTATATTTTTATTGTGTATTATTTTTCTGAATTATGTTAATATTTTTCTTCTTTAAATTCTATTTTCCTGTCATATTTAGATGCATATCATTCTTGAATAAAGTTATGAGGAAAAAAAAATCAAGTTTTCACATTTATTGTTTGTTGATTTATTATAACAAATACATTTGAATGCTACACTTGACATACTTTGAAAAAGTAATTTAGGTGCTTTTAGGATATTTGAATTACCTGATACAAAAACAAGCATTAGTTTCAAACATAGTATAATTGAAAAATATATGTTATGCATTTCCATTGAAACTGAAATATGAATTACCTCCAATGTTAAAAATTTAATAAAAAAATTGATAAAATAAAAAATGATTTTGAAAAATCCAAACAATCAAATTCACTTTTTTTATTGCGAAACTTGGTTGGGGAATAAATAATAATTAAATGTGTTTATCGGGTGCACACCGGAATATTACTGGCCATAAAGATCATGTGGCATAATACTGAAACTTTAGCTTTAAAAACATACATAATATTCTGAACACGTACGGAATCTGTTTCCCCTGCATACACTTGAGGTCTTCTTCATCGTCATGTTTTCTCGTCTGAATCCTTAAAGAGGAAAGCAAAACCCTGCAGGTCTGTCATTACATTGCAGTCACTTTCACTATCCCCAGTGTTCCTTGAGTCTATACTATAACATTCCTTGTTTGTAAAGCTCTTGGTATTCTCATAAACATCACTCTGACTAACATCCAAGTCTTTCTCAGTGTCACTGGTATCTGTCTGGGTGAGTTTGTGTTTGACTGGATGACGCTCATTTAATCTTCTTCCATGTTTGTTTTTCCTTGAATTGGGATCAGCTTCGTTTTGCTTTTCCTCTCTGAACATGGCTTGGAGGGTATCTTGGAATCTGAAAAGTACAAACACACAGAAACATGACTTCTATCCTACATCCAAACTTCTTGATTGATTGATATTATCATAGATGATTCAAGATTTATCCATGGAGATGTATTTTATTCTACTCAGTGTACTTTCATCACCAGTAGGTACAAACTAACATTGGACTCAATGACAAGTGTATTGGAAATATGTTCATGGTTTCAAAATGTAAAGAGGATGATTAAAGATAAAGTTGAGTTCTGGTCATGTGATTGCATTGTGAAAGAAGCATTGTGGAATTGATCAGAAAAGGTTGATCATCTAGCAATAGCATATAGGTATTGGTGTGTACTGCAAGGTACTGGAATGATCAAAATGATAACAAATTTGGCCCAGTCTTGGTAAAGTTACAAGCACTGTACACAGAAAGATGTATATGGAGCTACGCAATATCTATCCAGGCCGGATAGATATGTTACCAAATATATGAATTAGTAGGCGGTTTCCCAGCAAAATTTGTATCATCACGTATTAGTCAAAAAATATTCTTTTACATGATTGTTATAAGAGCTTCCATTTCTTTTTTTGAGAGGGGGGCGTTTCCAAAACTGGTCTATACCTTTATCCCTTTGCTTACAGGAACCTGGTGGTCTCTGTGTTAAGCTTATTGGACCTATACAATTCAGTAGTCAACAGAATAAATTAAACATTAACAAAAAAAAAGGGCTATCGTGATGACTACAGTGATGGAGACATCTCTATTACATCAACAGAAATACTTGAAATAATAACAATTTGTCACAATACCATCCCCTCTCTAGTCTCTGAATGACAATGACTGAGTACGGCAATTGCACAGTCATTAAAAACATCACGCACCCGCTTCGTAACAGTTCATATTTAATGTATCACATCGATTTTAAAATGCACATAACATAGAGGAAACTCACTTCTCGATCCTGTTGAAGTTTTCCTTCATCTTTGAGTTGGCAAGGCTAACAATAAAGTCTATGTAATCCTCAGAAACTAGCAGTCTACCTTCCTTTGTGAGAGGCACCTCCAAACCATGAGTACTGCGGATTGCCTGTTGGTAATAAAAGCACCAATTGGCACATTAATTCTCTTAACACCACTTTATGCCTCCTGTTTCTTATTCAATTTCATTTATTTCCACAGATTCATAAAAGACAATGTAAATTACAATAAAATATAAAAGTATTACAACAAAAGATGAACCGGCAGAGGGGGTGATCAAAAACCACAGAGGTTTATCGGGGGTCATCCCCTGATTAAAATTACAATATAAAAATACAATAGTTTTTTTTTAATTAAACAATAACACATACATGTACAAAAACATATATAGATATTAAATGCAAATCTATGCGTGGGGTGAGTAGTAGTGGGTTGGTGGTACCAAGAAATACAATATAAAGAGGAAATGAATGATATACAGGAAAGAAATATTGAGAACAATAGAAAGAAACACCGTACAAACTATATCTTATTTTCTTGTTGTTTTTGATGTTTTTAATTTAGGATGAATTTGAACTGGTTCAACATTTAGGTAATGGAGGAAGAATGTATTTCATTGCCTTTACAATCAACGGAATAAAGAAAACACAATTCTGAAGGGAGTTTTAATAATGTTAAACATGTTTTTGTATTTAAAAATTAAAAGGGATTAGATAATAACATTTTTAAATAAAGGACTTACTGCCATAATCTTTCCTCCATTTCCAATTGTGATTCCTGAATTTCTGAAGCCAGATGCCACTGCTGCTTGATGCTGTTAATTGAGACAACATAAATGAAACTGATGATATATCAGTCATGATAAATGATACATAATGCAAGGCTTGTATTTCTTCATTCCAATTTTCATTATCCTCTTTCTTCTCCATCTTTCTCTTTACACCTCTCTTGTTCATCATCACCATCACCACCACCACAAGCACAATCATCATTATTATCATCATTGTTATCATCATCATCATCATCTTTACCATCACCATCACCACCACCACAAGCACAATCATTATTATCATCATTGTTATCATCATCATCATCACCATCTCCATCACCACCACCACAAGCACAATCATCATTATTATCATGATTGTTATCATCATCATCACCATCACCACCACCACAAACACAATCATCATTATTATCATCATTGTTATCATCATCACCATCACTATCACCACCACCACAAGCACAATCATCATTATCATCAACTCTCTCTCTCTCTCTCTTCCTCTCTGTTAAGGTCTTCTGGTGGTGTGAGGTTCCTACCATCTTTCTGGCATGTTCTGTTGTTTCACATTGGACATGAAGAACGAATGGCTCAAACTTGAAAACAGCCTCTCCCTTTGTTTCTTCTAGATCTAGAGCTGAAATCTGTTACAAGAAGATAAAGGAATTAATCATTAATGTTTTGAAATTTAGAGCGACAATCACAAGCCACAGACCTTACAAAGGCATTTCTTTCATTGGTGGTAGCAGCACTAGGTATTAATAACCCCTTGCATTTATGCTTCAGATAAACATCACAATAAGGTCTTTAAAAAAACAAATGTTGTGTTGCCCTTTAGGTGCCAAAACATGGGTCGGTCGGTCGGAAATCTTTTTTTTCTTTTTTTTTCTCCCTTTTTGGGCTGATATTCTTCAGTTTTGAATGTTTTCATATTTTTCTTCTCTAAAAAGTAGTATAAAAAAACTTTTAAAAAGTCAACCATAGATTTCAAGACTTTGGGGTCGGTCGCAAAGGGCAATACAACATCTTGTTTTAAAGCCTAATGTACATCTCTAATCTCTAGACCATTAATCATTAAAATTCTTCATGGAAAAGGTTGGGAGATGGAAGTGGATGGCATAAGAGGGAAATGAAGACAAAAGAAGTCAAGGGAGGGAGTGTCATGGTACAGAATTTCATTAACTTCTATATTTTCAACAGGGCAAATGCTGACTTTGCTAATAATAAATAATGATTATAATGATGAACAGTTATAAAATAAATGGATGAATTTATTTGAAAAGAACTTACAATGTCTGCAGTTGAAGCCGATTCATGAGACACAAAGAGCCACCGACAACCTTTTTTCCTAACACTATATTCATCAAGACTCTGTAACAAAAATACACAAAATGTATAAGATAACTTGTCTTTTATAGAGGTTTAATTTAAATTACAGTTTGAAAATACTAACACAAGGCAGTTATTGTAATCTGGTACATCTACATGTATACGGTATCAGACTAAAATTATGATAATGATATTGATAATGATGATTGTGACAATTATCAATAATAACAACAATGGCAACAACTACAATAACAAAAATATTAATAATGACAGTATTATTATTACTTAGAACAATTAGTAGAAATAACAATTATAATCAATACTAATAATAATAATATCAATAATAATGCTAGAACCCTACAGGGTAGGGTGTATACCTATTCTAAATCTAATTATAAATAGACCTAGAAATAGATCTAGAGGTCTATTACTACAATAATATAATAACTCCATTGATAATATCTACTAAATAATAATAATGAATGAACGAATGAATAAATAAAATTAAACCAATAAATAGAAAAAAGATAGAAAACAAGGCAGCATTTCACAAAAACGTCATCTAAGTACAAGTTCACTGACATCCTACTTAAATGCTCCAAAAATTGTACTAGAAGTAGGCCTACCCCACACATAGGTGCATTTCTATCCTGGCTGTGTATTAAAAGCTGTGCTATTGATTCTCAACATTTCAAACACCAATGTACAACTAGAGTCTAGATCTACAAAACTCAACTGATTTCACTCAAAAATGGTACTTTAGTGACGATTGATGACACCTAAATACTCACAGTAAAATACAATTTTTTGAACTTTCCGATGTTAGAAAGAGTAATTCAAAAATTCCAATAGTGAGTCCACTGTCAAACTTGCCGATCAGCCGCATCGGCATGATTGTGTGCATCTGTGTGTTATGAATGTAATGTATCAACTTTTCATGTATTCAATGCTTTGCTGGAGTGGCCTACCCGAATGTTGACGTATGGGACTAAAGTGAAAAATACTCGCCTCTGAAAACAAGATTATCCGTCCAGAACAAGAACTTGTCGTGAAATAACTGTCATGGTTATTGATGATTTCCACAAGGCTAATTATAAACTGATCTATTTCACCTTTTCGACTAAAATCCGTGCATTTAAGGCGACTTGCCTTTGTTTTGGAAAATGCCATTCCTTCTCTCGGTAGTACGAAGATGCTAGCCTGGCGGCCTCATGAATAAACATGATTACTTGACGTCACGATACGTCATCCCTTCGCTCCCTATAAAAACATATTTTCGTAATAGTGGCCTAGGCCTATATGTTTCATTTTGAAGAACTTCAGTCAGTGTTCTCGCTCATTAATTATCAACTCCATATATCTCCTAGCATGATTTCATTTAAACTTGTCACAGGCTTAGGAAGATTTTTAGGATTGGGGGGGGGGGGGGGGGGGGGGGGGGGGGGGGGGGGGGGGGAGGGGGGGCTCCATCATTTGTTTTTGACCCGCCGTTTGAAGATTTTTTTTTACCCCCCCCCCCCCCCCCCCCGTTGTCACCATTTTAGACAGTCCAAAATTTTTAAAGGTACACAAAGTTTTGGGAAATTTTGAAAATTGGGTGGATGGTGAATCTTTACAATTTTGATATATTTTGATGCACTGAAACATTTATCAAAATTTACTGGGAGCACCGGTAAATTTTTCTCGAAAGCAGAAGTGTTTTAGGGGCTAAATTTTCTAGTGCTTCACTGGTATTATGAAAAATGTATTGAACAGGTGAATAAAAATGCTCAATGTACCCCCTAAATTCGGAATAATTTCTCAGGAGTCCAAAGACTGAGAGAAAAACAGAAAAAACACCCCCTTTTTAAAGAAGTCGCCCGAAAAGTTTACCGGACACTTTGGTAACACGCATGCAGTCATTCCGACCCCGGAGTGGGGGGGGGGGGGGGCCGGGGATGTTAGTCAGAGTGATGTATATGAGAATACCAAGAGCTTTACAAACAAGGAATGTTATAGTATAGACTCAAGGAACACTGGGGATAGTGAAAGTGACTGCAATGTAATGACAGACCTGCAGGGTTTTGCTTTCCTCTTTAAGGATTCAGTTGAGAAATCATGACGATGACGAAGACCTCAAGTGTATGCAGGGAAACAGATGCCGTGTTCAGAATATTATGTTTGTTTTTAAAGCTAAATCTTCATATTATGCCACATGATCTTTTTGGCCAGTAATATTCCATTTTTAGTATTATATCATTAATCAGTGTGCACTCGATAAACACATAATAATTACTATTTATTCCCCAACCAAAAAAAGTGAATTTGATTGTTTGGATTTTTCAAAACCATTTTTTATTTTATTAATTTTTTTATTTAATATTTTTATTTAATTTTTAAAACTGGAGGTAATTCATATTTCAGTTTCAATGTAAATGCATAACATATATATTTCAAATATACTATGTTCGAACTAATGCTTTTTTTTGTATCAGGTAATTCAAATATCCTAAAAGCACCGAAATTACTTCATCAAAGTTGATTTGCAGAGTAGATATATGTATGTACTATGTACCCCTAGTGGATGTCAAGTGTAGCATTCAAATGTATTTGTTATAATCAATCAACTAACAATAAAGGTGAAAACTTGATTTTTTTTTCTTCATAACTTTATTCAAGAATGATATGCATCTAAATATGACAGGAAAATATAAAAAATAGAATTCGATTCAGAAAAATATTTATATAATTCAGAAAAATAACACACAATGAAAATATAATAAAGCATTATATATTTCATCTTTTTGTAATTTCATGTAAAATATGCATGTAGAAAATAATAAATTGCTGCACAGATTAGAATCATTTCTCATTTCTCATTTGAGAGCATCAAATTAAAAGTTGCAGGAAATAAAGAGTATACAAATACATTATTTAATTAATTAGTAAATGTTGAAATGGAGTCAATATAATCGGAAGTGATCTATTTACTTATCATTAATGAGATACTATCTAGAAATATACATGAATATAATCTGAATTTCCAGGAATATAAGTTACATTTTAATCATGTACGTGTTAGAAATTATTCAGCTAAATTGCGTATTTGAATTTAACAACAAATTTCCTCAAGAACATGATTGTTTTTGTATAACGTTACTGAAGCTTTTACAATGTGTTATTTCAAATTTACATCAATATCTACAAGCCTTAAAAATAAAACAATACATGATAATAATAATTATCCTTGCTTATATAGCGCCTTACACTTACTTTATCAGAAGTCTCTAAGCGCTCTACAATAATGCAGCATAATTACACTGGCTTTAGCAGTGCAGCTGTTACGCACGCTGCGTTTCAAGGAATAAATTCCTGCCAGGTACCCATTTACTTCACCTGGATGGAGTGTGGCAAATGTAGATCAATGTCTTGCCAAAGGACATTATATGAAAATATATATAAACAAATAGAATCAAATTCATTTAAAACTTTTAAAAAATGAAGAAAAATATTTATATAATATATATTTATATAACTTAAAAATAAAACAATACATAATAGCTTACAAGCAATTTTTGGTAATAAAATTTACAACTTTTCTCTCAACAAAAAATTACACTTAATCCAGGTAAAATGGAACATAAATACATATGGTTACACCAAGAATATATCAATAATCAAATATTATTATAAAAATATCATGAAAATAGAGTTATTACTGATGGAGTTGTTAAAATTTGAATTTATAATGCAAAAACGAATCATAAGAATAGATAGAACTGATTAATACTGATATGTTAATAAATACTGATACAATATTTAAGTTCATGAATTTAAAAAAATCTTTCTCCTGTTCCCAAGAAAAGACAGGTTTTCATTATTAAATCATGTTTCTAACTTAAAATTTATAATAAAAAAATTGATACATTATTCATTTGACTTACATTTTAAGTATTCTCTGTATTATCATGCACTTTCTTGATTGTCATAGGGTATATCGTTTACAAATTTGAAGAAAGACAGAGTGATAGACCATGGAACCTTGTTATAGTAAACACTTTGGGAACAAGGAGATTATTTGTATGTTGAAAACTTGTTAACTGTATAACCTGTCCTAAAGAAACGTCATAAAAAATAAGGGGGTATGGTAAAAATATGTTATGTTAAGAGTTTGTTTTAACAAGATTCCACTGTAATCAGTTGTATAATGCAAGCTAATTAAATAATAATGATTGCTTGATTTTACAGTCTCTAACTCTCTATCACCATCTCGCTTTGCGTGTACATGTAAATATTCAAGAATTACAGCTTACTTTGCATAAGTTGAAGTCGCACAAGTTGAAACAATCATTTTGACCAAACTATGCAAAACTTGATATTAACACTTCTAAAGCCAAATTTTGCATAACTTAACTATTGGTTTGCTGTCTGAACAGATTGGCCTTAATATGCAGAGTTAAGTGTATTTGCAACACTCAAAGAAATATAACCATAAGCATTTCCTTAAAGCCCCACTGTCCTACTTGTAGCTACTTGCTCCCTCATATATAGAAAACTTCCCCAATCGGTGCCTGTTGGTCCCCCATGATCCTCTTTTTCTTATGTTAGTTGAGAGCTAAGTTGATGAGATAACCACCTGTCAGTAACCTGGCTGATGTCTAATCTCTTCTGGCCCAGTAATATTGACGGTCTTTAATAAGTACTTATGAGAATATCTAAAAGTAAATACATGAATCATTTGCTTTATAGTTTTATGTGTGGCTTTCTCGAAGACCCCATGGAACTTGAGCTCTTGGTATCTGGAACCTTCTGGTTGGACTGATATTGTCTCCTGAGTCGCTAGCCTGTAGAGTGACAGGAAACAGAGGTCAGAGGTCATTGCTTGGGTCAAAGGTCATTGTTTGGGTAAAATGGTAATTTACATTCCTCAATGAAAGAGAAACAATATCAATTGTTTTATTCACAGAAATGTTGAAATGGGAAAGGATAATGTATATATATATATGAAAGAAACAAATTTTACTTGCAAATAGAAAGAAAAAAAAGCTAATAACTGATATAATTGCATAATACTAATGTGTATGACATGAAATAGAAGTAGAATCATGAACCATCTTGTTTCTAAACAATTTGTACAAGTATGTAAATGAACTTTCAAAATATTGATTGCTGGACTGGACATAAATTATCTTCAATGGGCATGAACTGTACAATGTAGGTACTTATTTCTGTTTTGGGGAAGCCATTTGTAGTCTCAAACTTCAATTTCTTGGGAGGGATTTGCTGCCCAAATATAGTTAGGGCATTCAACAAAAAAAGATCTACATGAACACCCATTTTCCTCATAAACAGTACATGCTTGTGAGTACTTACCGTTGATAAGAATTCTGCTTCTCGACCGGACGCCACGTAGGGCCGCACAAATTCAGACTGTTGGGGCGGCCTGTGACGAGACCTGCCAGCAATATCCGTAATCTGGGATCGCATCCGTTCCTGTAGTTTGCACAAAGTATAACAATAAAAAGAATTTAATTTGACTGAATTTGATTTTCAAAATTTCATATACAAAACAAGAAATAAGTTCAAGACAATGTTAGAATTTAAAGAAAGTAACATGGATGCCACAAACAGAAAAAGATTAACTAAACACTCTGTACCTACATTACAACACGATGGTTTCTTTTACAATCCTTGTGAACTTACAATTTTACAGACATGAAGTGGCATTCTGCAGGGCTTGGCAGATATAAAAATGGAGAGCAGTGAATTTGATCAAAGCTATTAAAGTCGAGTTGCAACTTTCAAGCAAAAGAGCCTTGCACATTTTCAATTTCAAAACGAATTAAACAATGTTGCTACTGATTTGAGGATCAAGCTACATCTAAATTGCAGCTATAAAGCAAAAAAGCCTTAAAAATCTTAAATTTCAAAATAAGCTAAGTTCTGCTGATTCAATTCAAGGTGGAACTCACATTGAGGTACGGTGATTGTGTGATGACTTCTGCCAATTGCTGCATGCGACGATCCTCCTCCGTATTGTAGCTTACATTATTCACAGAATAGCTCTCATCTGTATAACTGCCCATGGTCCTGAAGATATCACTTGTTCTCTCGCTGGAGTCAATCTCTGAATCAAAGAGATAGGATGGCAGCCTGTACTGCTCTGAGCCATCGTTGTGGCGGAAGTCAGAGCGTCCTGTGCGTTGAGCGCGAGGAACATTGTACAGGACATGTTGACGATCATCGGCAATGTCGTAGGAACGGGGCTTGGAGTAGAGCAACATGTTGCGCTGGCGGTGGCGGATGACAACGGCGCAGCAGCAAACGATGAATAGGAACACGACAACGATGAATCCCAGGATGCCAAAGACGATGCCGATGATTTGAGCATCAGAAAGGCCAGCTGTTAAATTTAACAAAGAATAGCAGAATGAACATGTGCGACAACTAATGAAAGCAGGACAATGAGTATTGATTAACCTAGGGGTTGTTAGGCATGACCTCCATTGGGCTTGTTTTCTGAGTTTCAGCAGGACATTTTCAACAAATTCATTAGACTCCTAAATAATATGATCAAGCATATTTCAGGGGTTTAGATCCTGGTAAGAATGTCTGATTTGGTCACGATTCTGATTCGAAACATCTGATGGAGTCTTGGGACCATCAAGATCAACATGGTGAATGCTAAGCTCAGACTGGAGTCTCTGGAACATGCATGGTATATCAGATTCAAAGTTTACCTAACAAGTTAAGAGCCAGAGCCACTGCTCTAAGATGTTGCATTATAGCACCATGAGATCAATCCTACTATGAATAAAATAATGTGACTGATAAGTCCAATGTAAATCAACAGCATATGGGGTTTTGATTTCAAATCATTCAAATATTGAAGTTAAAGGGCAAAAATAAAGACAAAAAAGATTTTTCAAGATTAGTTGGTTGGTTTAAAGTTGGTTTGTTTTACCTGACCGAAAACAAAGCATGTGTTTGCTTAAGTAAATGTCCAGGGGGTAAACAGCCTTAAGTTCTCTTTGAGGGACTTGGTAATAAAGATTAATGCCTAACCAAAGCTAGGGCACTAGCGCATCAACTGGGCTTTGAACTCAAGACCTCCCAGTTACAAGACCACTGCTCTACCACTGAGCCATCGTGCCTCCTTTGAATAAATCCAGTAGTGTGTCATTCTTAATTTCTCTTAACTCTTCTGCAAAGCTCAATGATTATGCGCTCCCCTCATAACTTACTTGTCTGGGATGATGTTGTGGTGTTGGTCATCTCAGTGATGTTTTCCGTTGCCATGGTACTCTCCTCCAGGGTGGTGGTTATAGTAGGAGGCTGAGTCCTAGGAGCAATCTCACAAGTATCTCCCTCATAACCACTAGGGCACCTTCATGAACAAAGCATTATACAAGGTTTTAGTCATGATGGTGTGACCTGTAGTATCACTTGTGCATGAAACACATATCTATAATTGTTGTTTAGATGCAAGGAGGCAGTAGCTGAATGTTGTATAGGATCATGAAGTGCCCTTATAGCTCTCAGCAAACAATATTCAATGAGCCTTTAATCAGTATATCACCTGCATCATCTGCTCAGAGCCAGAAAGGCATCCTAGCATTAACTCTACAGTTGAGCATGTATGTCAATGAACATGTATCAATTGGGAGTTGATGAGATAACCACCTGTCAAGTGACCTTGAAGGGTGGTCTAATCCCTCCTTCACACTAGTACAGATGGCCTTTAAGCCCACTGTGCACTTTACTATCTGAATACAAGTAGGGAGATGGGTAAACACATGTAACTGTATATGAAAAGAATAAAAATGAGCTTATACTCACTGGCAGACTCTCAATCCATTCTGCAAAGAACATGTTCCTCCATTGAAACAGAAAGTGTTTGTGCACTCTTGGGTAATTTCTGAAAAAGTCAAACAATATCATCAAATTACAATATTTCTTTGACAAAAATAATTATGCGTTGCAGATATTTGCTTGTGCTAATCTTCATAACCTTCATATTGGATGCACTTCCAGGCTTTCAAAATAATTAGCTTTGTCTGATTTTAACTTTAGGTTAAATACATATACATGTATGTATTAAAGTCAAATGATGCAATTGAATTCTAATGTTTGCTAAGAATTTTATCTGGAGCCAAGCTAAGTACTATGCAAATATTTCTGTCTGAAGCATTGAATTAAATACCAACTATTTACATGTACACTGTAAAAATGCGGTACCGGTAGTACAATACTCGCAAGAGTTTAACAGTGAAATGTCTACTTACTGGTGAATTCAACAGAGTTAATATCTGCAGTGATATTCCCTTGAGAGGCAATGCCTGTAGTAAGAATGCCATCAGTCTCAAGGGTGTTCACAACGAGAGCTGTGAGGGAGCTCTTTGAAGTATTGACCGACTGGGTGAAGGAAACATAGTATGTCGCCACCACACTGCCGTTGGTGAAACCAGACACCGTGCAAGACTGGAAGAAGTCTTGCAGGTTTGGCTCCAGTAGGAAGAGATATCGTATCTGAAATGGTCACATAAAAACACATACTTTTATCTCTTTTTCTTTAAATACCATACACATGAACAGCTATTTATCCACAAACCTCTATACGGTAAGCCAAAATTTAAGATACATGCCCGCAATGGGTGATTTAGTTCTTAAACAGCATTGGTAAACTAACAGTTAGCTATGATATAAACATAAACAAATTGCCACAAAGTAATCTGATTATTTTTACTATTGAATATCCAAAAAGAGCGTCATAAAAAATGAGAGAAAAAAAAGAGAGTACTTCTGACACTATCATGCAAGATTATGTAAATGCATACAAAGAGCAGTCTGAATATTAATCCGCAGACTACTGAATTTCTTCATTGCCACAGGCTTAATACAGGAGTCTCCTAGTTCAAGTAGGTAACAGGTTAAACATACTTTCCTGCAAGATTTATTTGTACAATAAACAATTGCAAAACAAAACCACAAAAATGTATATTACTGAGCTAGCTAACTTGAAAGATACATTGTAGAAATCATCAAATGATACACTGTACATATTCTGTACATAGACTTACCGCATTGCTGACTAAGAAAGCTAAACTCGAGTAAGCCTGGCTAGAGGAGTCGGTGAGGTCAGAGGTGAATATAGCTGGAAGACCGCTGATAAAAGTGGCAGTGAGCTGGCCGCGGTATACTTCATATACTGTGTTGGGAATAAAAGAGGTTGATAGACTTAACTCATATCCTGCCATGAGACTGCTAGCGCGCTATTGTTATAGTGCTCTGTGCACACGAGCGCGCTATCGATTGATTGCTACGTTCAAGCTAGCGAGCCACCGCTTGTCTGCTTTGTGCACGCTAGCGCACATATGTAATAACAGTTATTGTTCATGCCAGTTGCACCGTGCTGAGTGCTTTTGCAGCGCTATTGAAAGTACCATCGCGTGCATCAGATTATCAGCTTTGGATTACGTGTCTTTGTATACAACAGTCAGATTGGACTTTCTCGAGTAATTCAGCGATTTATTTTTGGTAAAGATTTCAATAACACGCACTTGAACCAACCCTAAAATTAACTTGGCACACAGGAGATTTGTGACTGGCACAATAGGGATTAGCACTGTGGCATTGGGTGCATTGTATGGGTGGCAGCTTAAGAGTTAATATCTACCTTAGATAAGTAATTCTGTAAAGGTAAATGATCATTTTGTCCGATGTCATTTTTTTTTTTAACCTGACTGCTAAAAAGCATGGGTGTGCTTGTCAGTAAGCAACTAAAGGACCAACGGTGTTAAGTCCTCTCCGAGGGACTTGGTAATGAGAATTAATGCCTTACCAAAGGGCACTAGCACATCGACTTGGTTTCGAACAAAGGACATCCAAGTTATGCAACCACTGCTACATGTATCTACCACTGAGCTATCACACCTCCTTCGTCCCACCCAACTTCTATAAATCATTATTTACTTGTCTTCATCAAGATCATCAATCTCCATATCTTATTTTCCCTTTTCTCACCAGTCAGTTACTCTAATTTGGGCTGTTAACTTTTAGTCTAAACTTCTTTAAGGTGTGCTTCAGTTACCATGGAACTGAATTTTAGACCAAATATGCACTCAACAAATTGTAGCAGCCTTATTGCTCATAGTCATTACATCTTCTGATAGACTATTTGGAAATTTTACAGGGGTGGTAGTTTTGTGAGCAAAATTATAATGCACCCGTTTCACACAGACTGTATTTTGACTACCTGAGACTACAAACAAGATCATTGCCATGTTGCATAAAACTTACCATTGATGGTAAGTTTGTCATCAATAGCAACTACCGTGGTAACAGGGCTCAACAGCCAATCAAAATCGAGGTTTCCATGGTAGTTACCATTGATGGCAAAGTTACCATCAATGGTAAGTTTTGTGCAACAGGGGCCCTGCCTACAAACTACTACAGACTTACATGTGCATACTCCATCGTTAGCAACGTAACCTCTTTCAATCATGCAGTCACAAGAATAGCTTCCGGCAGTGTTAACACACCTCTCTCCTTCATTTGTGCATGACATGTCATTCAGGCATTCATTGATGTCTGTGTACAAAAAGGTAATAATAATAATAATAATAATAATAATAATATTGAATATTTAGGAGCAGGCTAAAAACAATAAGTACCATAGCACTTACAAATACAAATATATGAAAAGAGGTCTCACAGGAAGTAGATCACTGGAGAAAAAGGTAAGTTTTGATGCTGACAAATACACGGTACGTACATTGCACTTGTACAATACAATAATTCGTAAACAGATGTGAATATGATCAGGAAAACAGAAAAATAACAAAAGGAAAATTGAAGCAGGCAATTTTATTGGATTACCAAACATTGGGGAAGAAAGAAACTTCAAATTATTTAAAGACTAAATAGTCATATTATGTGTGTGTGTGTATTGGGTTTTTACAGACGTGTATCAATCAGATATGATTATTTACGTCTGGGACCGACCTTTAAACGTCACCATCCGAAAGACGTGACTCAGTTTCGAACCTGCGTCCTCGGCTGAATCAGTTTGTAACTTCCACTTTTTAGCTGGATTACAGGCGCACGCCACAGCGCCTAGTATATTACAGTTGCTCAAGTGTGGGCATATAGAGGGCAGCACATGGACGTACACACAGGAGTGTTATACCCATTATCTCAGTGCTATGTAGTGATCGGCAAGTTGTCTACTTCTTGGACGACTATATACCCACGCATGAACATCTTTAATATATGACATCTTTATGCCTAAAAAATGTATAGATTATTAAAGAATACCACGACTTCCAAGTGCTTACTGTAATACCCAAAGTCAGGTTTTTATTTATCTTATCTTTACTTTTCCTCAGAGTATGCCATCCATCAAATTTCATATGAATATAAACAATTTTTGCCCAAAACTGAGTAATTCTTTCTTTGCAAATGAAAGTCTTAGCTACTTAAAAAGCTAAAACTTAAATTTCTCTTTTCAAGAATATTGATAAAATGTGAACACTGATATGAAGGAACAGTGTTTTCACTGAAAATCTTTTCATCAAAATAAAATAAAAATTGATTAAAAATCTGTCTCTAGCAATTAAATTTGAGATACATGTTCTTAAACTTGGTGTCATTTCAAAAGTTAACATCTCATGTACATGCTCCACCGGCAATGTACTGCCATATAGTATACCAGGGCCCTGACTGATAGAGACTTGCCATTAATCTGTTTGGATCTCTAGTCCTCAATCAATTGCAAGTTTACAATCTCCCATATCTTAAGTAAACTATGGCATTGTTGCGATTGATTTGAATCAATCATAACTCGTGAGTAGTTTGCCCCTGGTGTTTTAAAAATCAATGTTTCATCCAGTACCTGTACAGGTTGTGAATCCATCTCCCATGAACCCATCTTGACATTGACAAGTATAGTTTCCAGAGGTACCAAGGAAGATACAGTCTGAGTTTGTTGTGCAGTTGTCTGTTTGCTCCACACATGGATTAATCACTGTATACAAGAAAAAAGAAAGAAAAAAGGCTTCAAATTTATCAGGTTTCATCAAATCTATCAGAATAAATCACTTTCTGCAGTCACTAAATCTTTCAAAATCCATCACTTTGAAAAGCCATTAACTTTGTCTGAATTCATCAAATTAATATTTGACTCTTGTACTGTGATTCATTAAAGTACAATGGGGACCAACAGATCATATTGTAGCATTGGACAAATTTTAAGATGAATCATATTTCCCAAAGAATCTCAATTCGTCTATATGTATCTCATTGATTTAACCTGAGAAAAGAAAGTTTGTGAATTACAGCTAATGTGAATTGTACCTGCGTAAAACAAACGATATAACTTCATTGATCATCACTCCCACTTTTCTTGTTTTACAAGCTCTAATAATGCCTATATCTATGAATTGAAGAAAAATATTACCATTACGATTTCAAAGGAGAAAAAATAGAGTTTTCATATAATATCTTGATGTATTGTTAAAGTTTCATAGATTATTGTGCTACAATAATGTTGCTCAACATCAAAATCCTGATTACTCCAAAAGTCTATTGTTTGCAAAAATGGCCTATATGCAGCCTAGAAAAAAATCCGGTACGAAATAAAAAATTCTGTTAGGGACTAACCTGGCTGTCCAACAAACGCAGTACTCCTGATAATGACATTATCTGGCAAGATAACATTATCATCCCTCCCTTGAAGCCCTGCCAGGAAAGCCACTAGAATCTCATCTGCCGTGGTCGTAGATGTCGCAAGGAAGTCCAGGATGAACTCGACCTCAACTCCCAATGTCTGGAGACGAGAGGTAGAGACGGAGACAGCCGTGTAGTTGGTCAGATCGGCGCTTTGGAGGAGGGTGTCCACCTAGAAGACAAGGTATTTTCAGAGGAAATTAGTGACAGTCAGGATCATTACAGAAACAAACATTGTATTACAGCTGGACAGGGAACATATCTGTTGAGGGCAGGAAGAACATCTACTAGTACTCTGAGGTAAAGGACGTGAGTTAATACCCTTCTGGCTCTCATCAGGGACCCGTTTCACAAAGCCTTGTTTCAATGACAAATGACAAAAATCAGTGACAAATCTGTTGATAACCAATCAGAAGCAAGGATTTCAGTAGCTTATAACAAAAACTGTCATTTGTCACTGATGACAAGTTTTGTGAAACGCCTCCCAGGAGATATAAAATTTACATCAATAGAGATCGAGTATTCACATTCGTCTACAAGAAGGATAATCAAAACACAAAATCAATGTGTCATTCACCTCTTGGATTCAAAATAACTATATCCAAGAAAATTGTAGACCTTTCAATATTTGTTTCCCTTCCCTCCTTCATTTGTCTCTGCGTACATACTAATAAAGGTAATTCTGCTTGATCAAAAAACAGAATTTTTGTCACCTCCAAAACAGTATATTAGATAAATAGTGCAGATCCTATATTTACAAATATTAGACGGATCCTGAGATGTGATTTGTCCAGAGCTTGTGACATAACAGCATTTGCGAGGATCGTAATTGTTATATTGCCCATCCGGTTGCTATATTGACCGGCTGTGAAAATTAGTATATTTTTCTAACATTTTTGTCGCCCTAAAGGCCCATTCACTACAGATTTCAAGGAAATCTATTTTTTTTTCTCATCAATTTTTTCTTCTAATTTTGTCCTCAAAAAAAATTTCGGGCAAAAAAATGACCCCCCATTTTTTTTTTAAACCAAGGCTTTCAAATATAACAGAAATTGACTGGCAGGGGGTATATAACATTCTTTGGACCGGAAGGGAGTTATATTTCCACTTGGGAAAATATAACTCCCTTTATCGGTCCAAAGAATATTATATTACGTCCTCTGCCAGTCGATATCTGTATAGTATTACATCTTTATTACTGATCAAACTTTAAAGCATATGTACTCACATTTATTTCAAGCTGTGGTTTATACAAGGCAAAATCATTGTAAACAAAGTACTGTCCGAGCACCTCCAATCCAGCTATATCAGTGAAGGTTGCAGTGAGAAGCATTGACATGGCAGCTGTGATCAAAATGTACAAAATAACCTTTGAATCAAGTGTATTAAAAACTGAAATTTCATTCTACATAACACATTTCATACTTTCATACAAAAAAATTGTGTGCAATGAATGCAAGGACCAGTTTCAGAAATTAAATGCAACTCTCTAAAAGTATCAAACTAAATCCTTTATTTGAGAAATAAAACATTTATATCCAGTGGATACAATGATAATAACTACAATGTTAATAATAATAATGACCATTTCTTATAAAGCACTTTACCAGTTAACTGACAAAAGCACTTATAATATTATTATTACCCTGGTCACTGGATTCAATTATGATTTTGCACTTAACCAATATTTAAATGGTGCACAAAAACCACCACCCAAGGTGTTCAATGTATCTACACTGTGGTTTGAATTAGACCGATTTACAATGACATCAAAGAACAATACAGTATGTGTATGGACTTACATAAAATTATACAGAATGTATAGATTTCCATGATTCTTTTAAAGCCCATCTGTACTGGTGAACAGGAGGGATTAGACCTCCCTGCAAGGTCACTGGACAGGTGATTATCTCATCAAATCAGCTTTCAATTAACATAATAAAAAGAGGATCATGGGGGACCAACAGCCACCAATTAGGCATTGCTTGCTACATAGAGGGCACAAGTAGCTACAGTATAAGTAGTACAGTATAAGTAGTACAGTGGGGCGTTAAAGAATGAGATTAGATTACCACAAATGGGCACAAAATGATCCCAATAGAGTCAGTGTATCAATGAAATGATGTACTTACGTAAGCATTGAGAGTTGACCACATAGTAACCTGTCCTGCAGACGCACTGGTATGATCCAGCTAGGTTCTCACATCGGGTGTTCACCTGGCTTTCACAAGGGTCATCTAGACACTCATCAACATCTATCAAGGAAATGAAAATAAGGAATGAATTATACAGTAATGAATCACAGAGGAAGTATTATTCTTTGATTGGTCTTGTAGCATTATTGTAATCAAGAAAACTTGGTGTTCTGAAACACTTTGGCACCTACATGTAAACAAGTGCCCTTCTGTAAAAAATATTGCTTTATAAGTATGATTCTTTCACTTGATTTCACAGTCAACTTTGAGGATTCTCTAAGTTCATTCTGAATTGAACATTGTGTTGCTGTACCTTAGTAAGGGATATATTAAACGTGTTTGAAATCATTACAAAAAACTTTGTAATTATGAATTCAAGATGACTATACATAGCACACAAATGTAATCTGAAGGCTCTCTCAAAGATTCATCTGTTCTTCATATACCCTGTTTCAATGAAAATAAGTTCTCATCACTCAAATCATATGTTCATAATTCAGCCTAATGGGGAAGTAGAGAGCAATACCAATGTATACCTTGGCATTGTCCACTGCTGAGTGCATAGCCATCAGCACAGCTACATGTGAAGGCTCCGTAGGTGTTAAAACAATCTTCCATCACTGCATCACAAGTACTGATACCTAGTGAACACTCATCAAGATCTGATGTACAAGGAAAAGAACAAAAAATAATTGTGATGATGCTGATGGTTATTGCTGATTTAAAACAAAACATCAAGCTTTGTGATATAAAGCTGCTTTCTATTATTTATGTACTTCAATGTGGTCTTTTACGGACAGACATTTCTCATAGCTTCTGCATCTCCTGTCCAATAAGAACCCTTAAATAATCTTTGATATAAACAAACTTTCATAGACAAGCGAAAGACCAGTGCAAATTGACAACACTTCAGACAATCAGAGAATTAATTACTTTTTGGTTCACAGAAGCCTTCTCTGGATTTTCTCAGTAGAAAGCAATAATTTTGTTTCTTCTCCTTCAGAGCTCTTGATAGCTTCTAGACCAGGGGCCTGTTTCATAAAACTTTTTATCTATAACAAATGCTAAATTTCTATGACAAATTTGCTCTCAGCGAATCAGATGCCATGATTTCAGTAGCTTATAACAGTAGCTTGTAACTTGTTATTGATATCAAGTTTTATGTAACAGGGCCCAGAACCATGTACTCTCCATTCTAGTGCTGTGACTAAACTACATTGTACCATGTTCAGTTTGGTTGGTATATTTTATCTTTTGTTGCCTGTCATACATAAATTCATTTTCATTTTCCTTGAATCATTATTGAAATACACACCATTACATGATCTGCCTCTAGCTCCTTCAGGGGAGATGAGTCCAGTCTGACAGGTACAGATGTAGCTACCTATGGTGTCTGTGCAGGTAGCCAGGGGATGACAGTCATTCAGGGTATCCTCTACACATTCATCAACATCTGGAAGGCAACAAGAGATATCATTACTGTGTTAAACGCATGGCTACAAAGGCCTCACTATCTCCAGTGGAACTTTCATTCATCCGGAAAGAATGATTTTTTTGTTGTTTTGCCTTTGAGAACAGGATCTACTGAGATAATGCATCAGTCAAAGGATTAATTGTTGTCCTGAACATCTTGCACAATGTCAAAAACATCTAACAAGCATTCATTTCAGATATGTTACATCTGTAAGGCTATTGTAAGAATTCCTGGGGATAATGCAACATTATAAATATATATTTTATTGGATTATGATATTTGTGAAATGACAATTAGTTCTGTAAGAGTTTGGGATCTTGAATCTAAGGTTGAGAGCAAAAACAGGTTATAATTTAGTATCAGGAGTACAGGTCAAGTTCAAGACAAGGAAAACCAAGGTTCTGTCTGACTGTATAAAAGGATAAGATTGATATTATTCTAAAATATGTATGTCAAAAGATAAAAGGAAATATTTATTTGTTTTTTATTTACTCATTTTTATCTGATATAGGTTTGTGATTGATTCTGGGGCTTGCTATTGATGTGGATCAAAAGCAACTCTTTTCAATATTGGACGTAGTTGAAAGACTAGTTCAAGGATTTGTACCTGGCTGGCTCAATGGTTGGAGCGCCCGCCTCATGAATGGGAGGTCGTGGGTTCAAACCCCGGCCGAGTCATACCAAAGACTTATAACAATGGGACCTAATTCTGCCTTCTAGCTAGGCGCTCAGCATATTAGATTGGAGAAGGGTAGTAATAACATATTACGTTATGCAGGGCCCGCTGGAAGAGCAGTTTCATAACTGAAGTGGCTACCCTGGGTAAATAAAACGTTACTTTTATTATTATTATTACTTACTTGTGCAAGCAGTCCCATTAGATGCAAATCCATCATTACATGTGCAGGTGTAGCTACCAACCGTGTTATTACAGCTTGCGTTCTCATCACAGATGTTCGGATTCTCATCACACTCGTTGATATCATTGCACTGGATGCGACCATCACCACGGTAACCAGCATCACATGTGCACAGGTAGGACCCGTTGGTGTTAGTACACTGGGAGTTGGTGACGCATGCATCTGGTGTGTTACACTCGTTGATATCTGAAAGTGGAGAAATGTGATGCAAAATATAAAGACAAACCCAAGTCAATAAAGTGACAGTACTTTTTAACATAACCATTTAACTTTGAACCAGTGCATTACAGGGAATTAAAGATGAAGTTGAGTTCTGGTCATGCGATTGCATTGTGAAAGAAACGGTGTGGAACCGACCAGAAAAGGTTGATCATCTAGCATATAAGAATTTGTGTGTATTGCAAGGTTCTGGAATCATCAAAATGATAAGAAGTGTGGCCAAGTCTTGGTAAAGTTACAAACACTTGCACAGAAAGATGTATATGGGACTACACGAACACGAGGCGTAAAAAGCCGGCCCCCGATTTTTACGATGTTACATGCATATTTAGAATATGAAGGCATTTGAAGAGCCATGCTTTTCAGGGAACATGGCTTAACTGATGTTCTTCCACACTTGCATACTAAGAATGAGTAATGCTCACAAATTATTTTTCACCTCTTCCCAGAACTCAACCTTCTCTTTAAGCGGGTGTTGTGTAAAGTCTATGGGAAGTAGTCAATAGGTTCATTCAACTAAGATGGAAATTTCCAATGCATGATCATCAGTTGTTGGTGATGTTGGATTACCAAAAGAAAAATTAAGCAACTTTATATCTGAATTACAGATTTTGTACTATTTAGCCAAATCAAGGTACATATATTAGAGGTACATATATATATATATATATGCAAGATCCAAATGTAAAATAATACAGCTCTGTCTCTTTAAAACAGATTTTATACCTTTTTTTATGCCGAGCACATCTTAATGTGTCACTACACCGAGCTACGTAAGCTACTTAACAAACAAGAATGTTGTGTACAATAATCAAATATCATAGACAGATTGTATGCCATTTTTATGCCGAGTACATTTGAATGTGTCACTACACTGAGTTACGTACGCTACTTAACAGACAATAATGCTGTGTACAATAATCAAATATCACCGCAACTTCTGATAAATCAGTGGTCTCACAACTTCCATTCACTCACCTTCACACTGGAGTCCGTTGCCTTGGTAACCAGCTAAGCAGGAGCAGTTATAACTCCCAGGGAGATCTATACAAGCAGCATTGGTATCACACTCATGACGACGAGTGTCATTCTGAGATAGGGTGCACTCGTTGATGTCTGGGTAGAAACAATTTAGAGAATGAAATATTTACTGTAACCTGCGTGGCAAAATATTTTAATGCAGAAGTACACAAGGAAAATAAGGGATGCATACATACAGTGTACAAGTTTAAAGTTACAAGAAATTGTGGCCTTTATATTGAAATTTGTAGAAGAATAATCAGAAAATGTTTGAAAAGATTAAACATTGTTTTTACAAGTATGTTTCTTGAATATTAACTGTGACATATTTAGTTTTCAATATACATATAAATAAAACTACATTTACAAGAATTGTGAACAAGAAATGTGAGAAAATATCTTGTCAGCCATCCTACCACACATTCTCTGAAACAACTGTGACCCCATGACGGCTTATTTGATTTTTTTTTTCCTGTAATGATTGGGTAATGAAATACCAAATTATCTAACAAATTCATTTTAATTCTATGGAGGATTGCATCAAAGGGTATAAAGTCATGGAACAAGTTCTGCAACTCTGGATGTAATACTGAATGCCAGATGGGGCCTTGGGGGGGGGGGGGGGGGGGGGGGGGGGGTATGAGGAGTAAATAGTCTGAACCATATTCCTAACTTACTGATACAGCTGGTTCCAGTAGGGTCATATCCACTGGGGCATTCACAGATGAAACTTCCAGAGGTGTCAACACAGACCGCTGGTGATATGCAGGTGGTGTCGTTTACACATTCATCGATGTCTGTTAGGAGAAAGAATTTTGATCCAAGTAAATCACAATTGCCCCTTTTCAGGATATCAAAAATAATGAGCAAATACAAAATAAAATAAGATTACTTGCACAATGAAATCAATTCTTAATGCTTTCAAAATGGATGATACTGAGTGCAATGACATAATAGAGTAACATATGCAATAGTATGAGTATATTTACAGTAATACATCCAATTCAATTTAACATAAGAGTGGTCCTATTAAACCGAAAGAAACAATAACTTGCACCTTTAATCAAATAAGATACATAGTAATGTAAAGGAATTTTGATAACACTTTAACAACACTTATCACCTATCACCCAAATATAATGATGGAATATTAGAGGATGATTATTTTACATTTCACTGAATTGAATTTCTTTAAGATAAAATACTCACTTTCACAGAATGTTCCATTTCCGGTGTAACCACTCAAACAAGAACAGTTATAGGATCCCTCTGTATTGACACACTGTGCGAACTCATGACAATCATTCCCATTTGAACACTCATCAACATCTGGAAGAGAAGAACAGGTAATAGCTTACATGAATTAACTCCAGATCAATTACGGAAGTGAAGAAAAGAAGATTCATTACATTATGCACTACACATGACGAGCTAAGGAAAGAAATGTATAGGTTTTTACAACAATTAAATAGATTCTTTAACAAAAACTGCCCCAAAATCTGACGTTAATAACAATGTTGTACCTTTTTGTTATTTTAAAACACAATTCATCTGAAAAAGAATTATGCAGAAAATAGGATAATGAACCTTTGAACATGGCTTGATTTTATAGAACAGATTTCCAGCCAGAAAATCACATTTTGGGTCTTTCCAGGACAACTTTGAAAAATCAAGAATTTTCAAGGATTTCCAAGGACCCAAGGAATCCTGTTAATGCTAGTTTTGTTCTTCATAGATAATTATCAGATCATAATGGGTAAGTAAATGACTTGAATTCCATATCAAACTCACCAAGACAGGTGATCCCATCTCCATCATAACCACTCACACAACTACACATGTAGCTGCCAAAAGAATTGATACACATCGCATTGGTTCCACATAAACTGCTGTCAGCACACTCATCGATGTCTAAAAGGAAACAAAAACATGTAGAAGTTAATAAGTTCTCCCATAATTATTAAAGAATAATGAGGAAAATTTCTTCTTAATTCGTTAGTCAAGTAAAACACCTATAAACATTTCTAAAAACATCTTGAATGCTCAAGCACAATCTAATAAAAAAGCGTTTCACTGGATTGTGAATTTCTTTATTTATTAGGAAAACAAGGAGTATATAAAAATAGAAAAAAGGACAGAGTGAATAACAAACAAACTCAAATTTTTTGAAAGAAGGATATGTGCAGAGATTGAGCAAAATAGTTTGAAACTATTCTAAAAACAATAATCTATTATTGTATTGAGGAAACTGCACAACAGAATACTCTTGCAACAAATAATAGAAATAAAACACATGTTTGTTACCTTGACAAATTGATCCATTTTGTACGAATCCGGTCATGCATTGACACATGAAACCTCCCACTGTATTAATACATATCTGAGATGCTGTATCACATGTGTTACTTCCATCTTGGCATTCATTGATATCTGATTAAAAAAGAAAGGAGCAAAACCAAAACATATAATTAAATAAATAATATGTACCTCACAATGTTTAGGCACAACCATAAACTTATAAGAATCCCTTACAGAAGTTTGTTCAATTGCATTCTTAAAAAGAAATATTGCTAGTGAACTTAATCATTCAGTATTTCGTCAATATATGCCAATGGCATCTACATCATGGGACTCATTTACACTTAGTTTTCAATGATAACAAAAGAATAAGAAAATGTAAAATTTAGTGTTATATGTACAATTTTTCTACAAAATGCATGTATGGTCAAGAAATAAAGGAACATATACAACGTGCATGCAGGTAGGGAAATCTTTCTTGGTTTGAACTTTAAAGGTACACACTTCTGTTTATCTTCAAAATCTTGAACTCAGAGCTTATATTAATAACCCATTGATTCCTGATTTCTTTTCTTCCAACAGGCTTTTAGTACAGGGCCCCATTTCACAAAACTTGTCATCAGTGAAAAATTACAGTTTTGATTATAAGCTAGTGAAATCCTTTAATCTGATTGGTTATCAGCAGATTTGTCATTGATTCTAGTCATTTATCATTGAAAAAAGGCTTTGTGAAACAGGTCCAAGGAGTCATCCTGTTTCCATAGGAAATGGATTAAGGGTATGATACAGATCCTCGAGGATGTACGTCACAAGAATGTACAAGGTATAAGTTCACAAGGTCAAAGGTCAATGATCTTACCATTGCATGTGCGGCCATCAGTCTCAAGGGAATACCCCTCAGAGCAGGAGCAGTTGTACCCTCCAATGGTATTGGTACAGTCCTGATTGCACATGTTGCTGTATTCTACATCAGTGCACTCGTCAATATCTAGAAAGGAAAAAGAACGGTAATGGTTAGTTGAATGTCAATTGAGATTTTAAAGGAGGCGAGTTGGCTCAATTAGTAAAGTGTCTTCATGTCAAACCACAGATCATGATTATAAATCAGGGGGTGTTTCACAGAACTTGTCATCAGTGACAAATGACAGCTTTTGTTATAAGCTACTGAAATGCTTGCTTCTGATTGGTTATCAGCAGATTTGTCACTGACTTTTGTCATTTTTCATTGATAAAAGGCTTTGTGAAACACCCCCCAGCTTGGATTGATGACTCCGAGCTTGTGTTGTCTGTGAAATGAGCCCTTTCCCTGATTCATACATGAAGATGCACACTAGGAAACAATGTAAAACAATGTGATTGATGTCTCTCATACACGATGTCAAAAAGTCCTGATGCACGTTCAGAACCCACTGCACTCCTCACCAAGAGTAGAGTGACCCATGTATAGTGGTTCACCTGTACATCCCCATCAGTTATACTGGGGGGAGGGACCCAAGGGTCAAGGGTCAGAGTGATTAAGTTCAATTATCTCTATCCAAGGCACAGGCAATACAAAGTAACGAATAGTAATAACAGAATAGTGCTTACCTATACAAGATGTGATGTCGGAGCTGTTGAATTTGTAGCCATTGTAGCAAACACACATCTCCATTCCGTTGAGATTAACACAGTCTGCATTGCTACATACAGTACTTATGCAGCTTGTTTCCGCTGAAAAAGAAAAGGGGACCAATCTTATTATACATTGTCACCTAATTAGCCTGAAAGAGGGGTGACGGAGCTTGAAGAGGGGTCATGAGAAAGAGACCCCTGAAAACATTTTTCTAGAATTAAATCTTGTAAAAATAAGGGTATATGTACTGCACATCCTTACTTGGGTGGCAATCATTAATTTCCTATACAAATTGTTTGGGAGATATTATTTATTTTGTGTCCTGGACATTCTGTGTTCCAGTCCATTTTCTTCTTCTATTCTGTTAGAATTCATTTTTTGTCATTAACAGAAATCAAGTTTACTATGAATAATGATGACTGACTGGTTCAAAATAATATGACTAGTAATCAATTGTGATTCTTTGTGCAACATATGGCCAGAAGTTTAGAGAACTCTTTGGTACTTGTATCAATGTAATTTTTAATCAAGAATGAAAAAAATGTGAATTGAATTGAATTGAATTGACTTACGGACACAGTTGCCTTGCAGGTCAGCGATGAAGCCTTCATAGCAGTAGCAACTGAAACCATCTGGGTTCTGAGCAGGGGTGGTATTGTTACACCCCTGGGGGCAACCACTGATACCAAGTGCACACTCATCCTCATCTGGTATAAACACAAAGAAAAGATGATAAACAAATGCAAGATATTTAATCCTTTAACTACTGAATTGTCTCAGTCCCATAAGCTTAATACAGGAAACATCTACATGTAGTTCTGTAAGCTATGGGCTAAAATTGCAACATCTTGAAACAATTCAGAACCTTAACCACCATCAAGGTTTTGGAGCAGGGGTGGTGTTGTTACCCTCCTGGGAGCAACTAATGATACCACGTCATAGTCATATTCATCTGGTATAAACATAAAGTTAATGATTAGATAACTGAAAAAAGTATATTCATTTGACCTTGTATCATTTTCTTGATACTACTTAATGTGACAAAACATCTATATTCTTAAAATATATCAAAGACAACATGGATATATAAAAAGCATTGAATCCCACATTATTATTTTTTAAATCTAAAGAAGATGTTAACTTATTCTTAATTTCTTTGTAAATCAATACTAATGCACATAAACACTGATTATGAATACTTTGTATTGTTGTTAACATCAATATCATAATTATCATCATTTTTATCAATTCATAATTACTTCAAAGTGTTCAATATTTTTTTGTTTTTATTCTACTGAATGTGATATTGATATCTTTAGCAGATGCTAACTTACTCTCAAACCAATTGAACCTCAAGTCAACAATATACACACTCAAAAACAACCCCACTGATTACTTCAAATTTTGCAATCATGCCATACTTTTCTATAAACTCTGATGGAGACGATATTCATATCTAAAGTAGATATTAACTTTTTATTTGTACTGATCATGATTTCCGTAAATCATGCAGAATACTAAGTACTTTCAGAGATGTGACTATAATAAGTCCTACATTAAGAAAAAGCATTCAACTTTGACCCCTCTTCCTAGATACTACTGATTCGGACCTAAATGTGTATGTACATGTATGTACATCTTAGGTAGATGTAAACCTATTCTAAAACAAATTAATATCGAAATACGACATTACACAAAGGAAACACTAAGATACTGACGATATATAATATAAGTGTGCCATTATATAATACACTTACCAAGACAAGTGTTTGGGAGCGAGAGATCGATTCTGTACCCATCTGTGCATGAACACTCAAAGCTACCCACAGTATTGGTACACACTTGCTCACAGTCATCAGCCTGGGTTTGACACTCATCAATATCTACACAGAAATGATAAATTGAAAATATGTAACATTCCTTTTCTTCTTTAAATTGCAAAAGCTCACAAATATGTTGAATCTGATATGCAGGTGAAAGTTTTTTTAAATCAAGAAAATTTGGATATTGGTGGCAAACTTGCGATAAAGGAAGAAATAACATGATAAGAAGTTAAAATGAACTACATGTATAAACATTTCTATGTCACAACTGAATATGATTTTAATGGGACAAAATTGAAATAATTCTTATCATATTGTCAGATTAAAAACTTTGGTAACTCTCATTTTAAAGTATTTCCTTAAAATATATATCAATTTAACAAGTAATCTTAAAGGGATATGTAGAACAAACGTAAAAGATTTATCTCTGCTCATCTCAATTCAAACTGGTGATTATTGAGTCTTAATTGTATCCTAAAATCTCTACTTTGCAGTTCATTGACTTTCAATTATTTATGAATATCTAACCGTGAAATAAAGCTGTATTAATAACGTAATCTGACAAACCTTGACATGTCCTGCCATCCCCTGTATAGCCAGACACACAGGAGCATGAGTAGGAACCAACAGTGTTTGTACAGATACCCAACGTTGAGTTACAGTCATCAGTACCAACAGCACATTCATTCATATCTGAGTGAGAAAGGGAAAGAAGAAATTGAATAATATTTTTGTTTTTTTTTAAAGAAGGAAAGAGTATGCAAGCCTAAATTATGTTTCTGCCTTAAACTTTGGTCAATATCACGAATAAGAATACATAATACATGTACATAAATCATTGTGAACACATGATTTTTAGAAATACAAACCCAACGAAAAACATAAAATATTATAAATACTAGAAGATTAAATGTAATATTTATGCTATAACAGGTTTTTAATAAGCTGGTTTGGTAATATTCAGTCAGGATCTCTCATTGTTTATGATATACCAAATATGAGTTTAAAAGATTATGTACAGATTAATAAGTTCTTTTCCCTTATCCTTGGTTCTACACGAACAACATACACAAAAGAATGATAATGCAGCCATGCCCCAAGCCAAAATCCTGTTTGGAACAGACTTTTTCAAATGCATGAAGGCTAAGCATGTTCCCAACAAAGATTTAATGATATACAAAAACATTTAGCCAAACAAACAACTGCTTTAAAACTTATTTTAAAAAAGTCTCATTTACAAAATGAATGGCAAAGTAAGGGTTAAAAGATAAAACAACAAGAAGACTGACTTACCCACACAAGTCACACCATCCCCTGCGAATCCAGGCTTGCATTGGCAGCTGAATGATCCCACAGTATTATCACATAGAGCATTGCTGGAGCAAACAGATACATTGGATCTGCACTCATTCACATCTGTATAAAAATAAACAATATTCTGAGCTATGTACTTTGGAAATGAGTTCTATGACACATCCAAATATGCTAGGACTCGGTGAAGCCATCTGGATTAAGAGAACACCAGGCAACATGCATAAGGACGGTGGAGGGGGGGGGGGGGGGGCTAACCAGTTGTATGACATCTATGACATGGCAATCACCAAAGGATGCCGTTTAGCTTTCAGAGATGTGACTCAAATGAGACCTACATTACAAATAGCATTCAGCCTTTTGACCCACCTTCCTAGATTCTACCAATTGGACATTCATGTAAATATATACATATATCTTAGGTAGATCTCAACTTATTCTCAAAGTAAATCTGTTCTTCTAGTTATACCAGTACATTTATTGAAGAACTTTGACAAACAACCAATATAATTCATTGCACTTACCCTCGCAAGTAAAGCCATTTCCAGAGTAACCAGTGTTACAGCGGCAGTCATATGATCCTTGGGTGTTCAGGCAGAGGCTTGAACCCTCAGCACACTCATCTAGTCCTGTGATACACTCATCAATATCTGCAGGATGATATTTATATAAATCCTTTTATCCTTTCCCTGATAAAAAAAATCATCAACACTACATAGAAATGAACATCAAATTTGTAGAAAGTTTCTCTTATTCTTTGAATGCTTCCAACAGGTGCTTATTTACAAGCATGTGCTTTCTTTCTTAAAAGTCCATCAATCACCTTCGTCGTCATTTTCATCATCATTATCATCAATATCAACATCATAATCAACCGACCGACCCATGTTGTGGCACCTAAAGGGCAATACAACTTTTCTTTTTAGGCCTCATCATTGTCATCATCATAAAACATATCAACATAATAATTAATCATCATCATTGTCATCATCATCATCATCAATATCCTCCCTCCATATCCTCCTCCTCCTTCTCCTCATTATCTTCATCTCAAATCTAAAGACCTACCAACACAAGTGATGCCATCCCCCACCAGACCCACAGGACAGGTACAGAGGTAGCTTCCCAGGGTGTCTTCACATGTAGCTCTAGGGTGACACTCCCTGGATGCAAGCAGACACTCGTTGATGTTAGAGCAAGACGTGATGCCATCCCCCTCCCAACCAGACTCACATGTACAACCATAGGAGCCAACAGTATTGGTGCAAAATGCATTGATGTTGCAGTTGTCAAGGTTACGAGCACACTCATCGATATCTGTTTGTAAAGGAATAATCAAAATTTGTTTGCATCATAAATACACTTGCAGTTGTGGAAAAAATGACTCTATGAGATATATTTATAATGAAGTATATTACACTCATTCATCTTTAGAGACAAGTAAGCTTAATTAAGGATGCTAGGTTCATAAAAGGCTGAATTACTCAATACATGTAATAATGTCACTTATTCTCATGGATATTCTATGACATTCAAGTATTGCATCACTGATGAACAGTCTTGGCATAAAGTGACAAAACCCTTGATGAGAATCAGCTGATAAGAGCCAGAAGGGCGTTAACTCTATTTGCTGTGCGTGTATGTTGTCAACTCTTTGCAAGAAGGTCATTACTGCCATTAAGACTAGATAGCTGTTAGAGCCTTCTTGGCTCTCCTCAGATGATGTGCACAATGAATGAAGACTCTCACCTGAACATGATTGTCCATTCCCCTCAAATCCTGCAACACAATCACAAACGTAAGAGCCAGGGATGTTCGTGCAGTCAGCATTAGGATCACAAATTTGAGTAACCTCTAGACACTCATCGATATCTGGATGAAGGAGAAAATTAATACCAGGGTTCAGAAGTATAAACACGTATTTATTTGTGATTACCATTATGTAAATTCTTCATAAAATACCCCCTTAAAAATCTAAATACATGTAGTTAACAAAACTGTTGTAATTGTAATACAATTTTTATTCTGATCATTAGCATCATTGACTTTGCAATCATCTCTATCATTATCATCATCACTTCCATTATCATTCCCCCCCCCCCTCCCCCTCCTCCTCCTCCTCCTCCTCCTCCTCCTCATCATCATCACGGGTAAGACCCTCATCTCCTTCCTCTTTGACTCACCTGTACAGCTGACCCCATCTCCTCTGTAGCCATCCAGACAAGAGCAGCTGAATGATCCTACTGTATTGACACAGTCTGCATTCACATCACAGTTATCTGTTCCAAGTTCACACTCATCCATATCTACAATGAAAAGAATAATGATACTATAGTAAAGGAAAAACAACTAAAATAGTTTGAGAGAGAGAGAACAGAGACTTACATGGAGGTACAATGCATATTGGACATTTAGAAACGTAAATATTTTCAGAAAGAAAGAAAAAAAAACATCACATTATAAACAATTCTCCAGGTTTTGAGGTTTAATGTCAAATTCATTTTTGTATTTTTTTTCTTCTAAATTTCAAGAGACACACATAAAGCTGTAACAAAGTAAGAGATAATCCTAAGCTTACCGATGCATGATCTAAGATCTGGATGGAGCTCATAGCCAGGATCACAGTTACAGGAGTAAGATCCTAGGACATTGATACAGATCTGTTCACAAGCTGGTCCTCCATCCGCGGCTGATCGGTTGGCCCACTCCACACATTCATCAAAGTCTGAAATAAAGTTATGCACATTAGTCATGCGTGTATTGGGCTCTGTTTCATAAAACTTGTTATCAATAACAAGTGTCAACAACTGTTATAAGCTACTAAAACCATTGCATTTTGATTGACTGAGAGCAAATTTGTCATAGAATTTTAGCATTTGCTATTGATGAGAAGATTTATAAAATGGGACCCTAGCTGGTCTAGTGAATAAGTCACTGGACTGTGGACTGCATATTACAGGGTTTTAATCCCTGCCATGGCACTAATGACAGGCTTTCACCAAGGCATTCATTTACACTTGTCACTCTTAATATCATGGAAGTTGACCTAAAGCCAATTAAGGAAGTAAATATTATCCGAGACCACTCACAAGATAATAATTATAATAGTTCAGTTCTTGTATAGCGCATAATACGTTATGAAATAACATCTCTATGCGCTTCCAAAGATAATGGGGGATACATTTGAAAGGGATGTGATGGAGGGCATTTCAACCCCATTTAATAGCCCTAGATGACAGCAGATAAATTCTCATCAACCCTTTCAGTACTGTAGGCTGTCTAAATCCCCCGCAGTGTGATATTGTTTCACATGGATAATGTTTCTATAAGAGGAACAATGGAAAAGGAACTTTGGTTGGAAAAATTGTCTCTTGAATATTCCATGGGTGATATATATTTGTATACTTGGTGGCTATAATAATAATAATAATAATAGCTAGTTCTTATATAGCGCTTTTCAGGACCGAAGGCCCTCTCAAAGCGCTTTACAGATATATATATATTATTACCCCGGTCATCGGATTCAGGCTTACCCGCACACAATGTATGCACATTCTCCACTCCCTGGGGAGCATTCCAGCCAGGCGTCATTTTTACAAGCGCACACTTGCTAATCTAAGCACATTAATTCCACTGAACTACATGTAATTACCTGCACATTTGAATCCATCCCCAACTAGCCCATTTGGGCAAGTGCCTGATCCGCAGAGGTTACCCGTACTAGGTGCCATGCTGTCAATGCATGTTACTCCCGGAAAGCAAGGGCTATCAGTGCAAGCATCATTATCCAGCTGGCAGAAATCACCCGTCCAACCCGGGCTGCACACGCACACAACAACCTAAATTAAAAACACAACCAAATGGGGACGATGAGTACATATGATAGATACATGTATCAATAATAGCTATATTTTATAGCACTTAATACTAATATTTCTACAATTAGGTACAGTCTCATGTTATTACAACTACCCCGTCTTTGGATTCAATTGCTTTTTTGCACACAATGAAGTGCACACTCTCCACTCCAGTGGGAGCATTCAATGTAGGACGTACACTGTGATGGCAGGTAATTAACGACAATAATGTAACACACACACATATCCTAAACTTTTGATCAAGATGGAAAAATAATGAATATGCAAGTTATATAAAGCTTAGGAGATGTTTTTAATGTAAATTTGAAAGCAAATTTTAGATATTTAAAAAAAAAAAAAAAAAAAAAAAAATCGTTTTCAGTTGTGTTTTGAATTGTTCTGTTAAATAGAAATGCAGGAGATGAGAAGGAAGAGAGTTCCAGAGAATGGGTGCAGCTTTGGCGATTCAGTAATATTCAGTAATATTTCATATTGCACTGATCAAAGCACTCACCGCAAATCTATCATTGATGATATTGGAGTCGTCCGTGTACTGGTCATACACGCAGGTTCCATTATTCTGGCAGTCACAAATCTTGACCACTGGTTCAACAGGGCTGTAGACTTGACCGTCTGAAGCACGGATGACCAGACTGACCGGCGCGGTGGACTGAGGTGTCCAAATAAATACACCACCTAAGAAGCAGAAGATATAAAGAATACATTGTAAGTGGGCATATCAACTATGGGTAGGAAATCACTGCAGTCTTCACTAATAAGTATTAACCTGTTGAAAACTAAGTATAAGATACATGTGACTTTGGCTTGAGTCTGTGAGAAATGCGCATTATACCAAAATCAAATTGTATCCAACAATTTAGGATTGTAGTTTTTGAGAAAAATACTGATAATGGCACTTGATTTGCTTGATATTTATCTCTTCATATATTCTTTCCATCTCTCATTTCTTATATTTCTATTTTTTTTCTTCAATTATTTTTTTCTTCAATTATTTCAATACATACTCACCAAATTGCTAAATTCCCTGTTTCTTATTTTGTGTGTATTTACAACCAATTCCAAAACTATTTGGATAATCTAATCACAAATGAAGTATGGTTAAAGAACCATTCATTAGACGAAATTCATCTTACAATCAAATTGTCTTACTTAGAAGAATTAATCAGCATGCGTAAATGTCAAGGAAAACAACTATGTAAACATGTGACTTCTATAATCTATCATAGCATTCATTCAAAAAGCGGTATGGCTGGATGCATTTGATCTTACTTGAACTGTTGATCTCTGCACCAGGTACATCATTCAAGAGGTCAAAGGTCACATCACCGCCTTCAGGATCTGTTGCCATGACAGTAAAGTTGACTGGATTCCCAACCTCCACCTCGAGGTTGTTACTAACTCCTGTGACGTTTGGTGGGAAGTTCACTATTCATGGAGAAAATGGGGGAAAGAAGTTTGAATCAATAAATAGGAGAAATATATGTATGACAATATGAGAAATACTGCAAAACATCACAAATTCTTTAACTAAAATAAAGTTTTCTTTTACAGTTCATGGTGAGATCTCTGTATATAGTTTCATGGATGTATTTAACTTAAAAGTATCATAAGTGAATGTTCACTTTTCTCCTCGGTTTTATTAAAGGGAAATCATATTGTTTCTCAATTTTGAACTAAATGGTCACAAATACAAATGATCACAATTTTTTCGTCAATTGAGCGGTAACTAACAAATGACATTATCATTTATCAAAACAGATAGACCTGTATGGGTTCTCCTAAACAAATTATTTCTTTTTTTCACAAATTCTTGTATAAATCTATTCTGGGTGGATTTAATTATGACCCATTTAGGTATAGACACTGAATATATAAATAGGTATTGGTGATTGCCGCTAAAAGCAGTAAAGTGAAGGGGGAAAAGGGAGCCATGATGTGACACAGTCTAACAGATTACAAGCTAAAAAGCAATAAAAAGAGGAGATCAAATAAAACCTCTACCACTGTTTCCTACGATAGTAAAATGAAAATAAAATTGAATGAAAAAGATTTTGAAGACTTACAGAGTATATCATTATTGGTAATGAAGGCCTCTTCCGTCAGTTTTGTTGACATCCCGATGGCATTGTCTCTGGTTGCTAGGGAATCATAAAGACACTCTCTGCTGCTGCCACAGGTGTCTTGGGCTGATGCTAGGAAGGCAGGGTCACTCTGCTCTGTGGCTGCTATCAGGTCATCCAGGAAGACCGGGGTGAAGGTCACGTTATTGAAGGTCACCCAGCTCTGTCCACTGCGGGTGTAGTTAAAGAGGGACTCACTGACCAAGATGCGCCCTAGAGGAATGAAATAGGAATTGAAAGTCACTGATAATACATACACACTTCTGATTCTTAACCCATTGACAATGACTGTAGACATATGTATGCTCTGGTTGCAATGATGCTCCATGGTCAGTTTCTAACAATCAAAATCTGATGTTGATACCTAACTCTAACCTGAAACCTAACCTAAAACATGTATTGATAATAATATTTTGCTTTTATAGCACTTAATACATTGACGATGTCTCTATAAGCACTTTACAAATATATTATTACCCCGGTCATCAGATCTATAGCTATAGGCTTGCCCGCACAAAATGTATGCTCCTTCTCCACTTCCTGGGGAGCATTCCAGCCAGGCACCATTTTATAGAAGCTCACAATGCTGAGCAAACTACACTAAGGTTGCATCCTACCGGGTCCCATTTAACACATGTGTGGCAAATGTGGATTATTGTATTGTCAAAGTACGTTGGTGCCGGGCTGGGATTTGAACCCTGTACCTTGTGATCTGCAATCGGGTGACTTACCCACTAGACCACAACACCTCTACAAACCACGGTACCTCACTTCCCATAACCTCATAACCTTATAACTTTAACAAAATAAAGCTCAAAAGCAAATGTCGCTGACTCAAATGTATAGGATCACTTAACCGTGTGAGCATAAGAACAATGTACACATAACACATACATGTACATGTATAGTGTAACACAAATAAGTAGAATTTTAGATGGAGAAAAAACACTCACATGATTCTCCAAAGGTGAATAGATCACTGTCAGTATAGTTGCCCTCAGGTCCTGTAGCAGTCTGCAGTAAACCATCTGATCTCATGAAGTCATTCCAGATATCACCATCCCACACACCTATAAATCAAAAGGACAAAACAATTTTTTTTGTTGAAAATATACCTTTCATTACATAATTACTTGCTTATACTCAATGTGCTATTAGTTTAATTAACAATTACAACACATACATTTTCATTAGCACACTTGAAAGCTACAAATTAATTCCATAAATTCAGGCTTCTTAATGCATCAAGTAATTTTGCCCTGTTTTCTTTCAATAAGAATAAAGTCACCATTCTTGGGTAAGAATTAAGGCATTCTGTACTGAAAAGGTAACTTTTGACTATTAAAAATCCTAACCATTGCTTCACAAGAGACCTTTAGGGAAATCCAGTTCCAGTTACTGTAACATTTTTGAGACATATTTTCGCTATTCAAACAAATCTTATTCAGAAATCGGAAATTCCTTCCTTGTCAATTTAAGATGAGTCGATTACCCTGACACTTCTGACTCTCCATCTATTTTTAATCCTTTCCTGTCACTTGTCGTGCTCAATATTATTCTGATTAAACCAGAATTTAATTGATACGAGACCAATTTTTGAACATACCCAGAAGTCCTCGAGTGACGCCGGTCTTGTAGCTCTCTGGAGCTGAGAAGACGATATCAAGGAAACCCTCAATGACGCCGACGTTGATGGACATCCCGACCTGCCAGTAAGCAACAACTCTTAGTGATCCATTGCTGATACGCTGCTGTAGGGAGAAGCCTCCATTCACATATGCCCCTAAAATCCGACACAAAATGAGAAATAATCAATGTACAGTTAAACCTGCGTTAGTGACCACCTGTCTACAAAGACCACATTTTTTGTTTCCCTTGAAAATGGTTTCTCATTGAAACATGTGCTATAGGCACCTGTCTACAAAGATCACTTTTCTTGTCTCAATTGGGTAGTCTTCATAGACAGGTTTCAGTGTATTAGGTTTGAAGCAACTAACTGAAATCATTCATAACATTGGTAACACGCCTCCATTTACATAATGCTCCTAAAATCCAACACAAAATGAGATAATCAATGAATTACCGTAAATCACAGTGTATAAGGCGCACTTTTTTGCCGCTGAAAAAATTTGAAAGTCGGGGGTGCATCTTATACACAGGTACAGAAAAAAAAGTTTCGATTTATGGCGCTATATGCCTGGCAATTTCTGCCAGCTCAGTAATCAGTGTGTTGACTCACCACTCGGAAACTACAACAACACTCAAATTTGTCTGTCATGTTGGTTTGAAAGTACTGAATCTTTCTAATAGATCTCAATATGTAGTTTATAATAATAATTCCTCGATTTTTTTTTCTATTTATATCATGCATGACTATTGATGTTTGGCATAGAACACAGTGCTTCTGCTAGGTGATGTGATGAGGCTGGTGTGGGACACTTGGTATCATGAAGCCTTAGAGTCTGGACCTGTTTTTAATTTACATTAATGATCTTACACATTCTTCTACAACGACATTGTTACTATTATTTGTGACAAGTTCACAACTTCAACTGCACCTCGATGTAAAATGAAGGTCCTTCCCCGCGTGGGTTTTCGGCAACAAAACAACAACAACAGCAAAACAAAAAACTTTTTTTTTTCTTCTTTTTCCCCTCAAAATAGGGGTGCGCCTTATACACAGAGATTTACGGTACCGGTAGGTTTGAAGCAAGTAACTGATATCATTAATATCATTGGGAACAAGACTCCACTCACATAGCCCTCTAAACCCAAAATAATTGTATTAGTTGCAGTGATGAACTTGAACACTTAAGCGCTGGTAACATGGAGAGATAAGTTCATCAGAACTATTTTATATGTACACTGTACTGTAAAATGTAAAACGATAAGATATCAGAAATGCTGAAATATATCTTCATTTAACTCTATTGCCCCTGGTGTGTAGCATACACACATCTAAAACAGAGGCAGTTTTAGAATATAATAGTTTTGTATTAATTTACCAATTGGATGCAATATGATTTATTTCCATTGACTACATCCCAAGTTATCTCAGGCTCAGTTCAGCTCAGCTCAGCCAAATTGACAGACATAAAAAGTATAGAATATAGAGTGTAATACTCATTGTAATACTCATTGATATAATTTAAAACCTTGATGGAAGCTTGAAATTAAGACCCCATTCACACTCCCAATAAGAGCAAAAAAAACTAAGACCTGTCATGTTTTACAAGTATGAATGGAGTATTATTAAAATACTAACCTTGAGACAAAGATGACTTATTGAAGAGGACTCCATCTACATAAACATCAAAGTCTGTTCCAATATCATTCAACTCCATCTCAACCTAAAGAAGATAAACACACCAAGAAAAAAAAGAAGAATTATAAAGACAGAAGTTGATCCGCCATGTGTCATACAAATAGACAAAGACAAAAATGTATAAACAAACATCGCATACAGGTCCAGACAATGATACAAATGTATCTGCTTGAAAGCAGAACCTGAAAGAAGAATCAATGATATTTGATCAAATCATTTACAAATTTTGGAACATGACTACAAAATTGAATTCCCTATGTTTACAAACAATGCATATATCCTCTCTCACTTTTTATTTGATGTTCCATCCTATATTCAAATCAATCCTCTTTTTCAAAACTTTTGCTTACAAGAGTAGAGTTGGCGGCCTGAGCAGCGAAGGCAACAAAGAAGGTAGCATTCGTCAAATCCTGGGTCTCTGTATCTAGCGCCCTCATTGTTCGTCCTTGGAGAGTGAAGAGATTGCTGGTACTGGTGTCATCTGGTATGGTGACCATCGTGTATTCCCCTAGACCATTAAAGGTGTAGATGTAGCCATCGAGGGTGGTGATGTGAGGGTCACCAAGCATCCAACCTAGCAGGAGATGTTCATATAACAAAAATGAATGAAAGTGGATGCTTCCACAACCTTTTAGGAGTTTCAACAGCAAAAATAAACTAGATTAAATATGGAACGAGAGAGGATTTAGCCACAGGCTGTTTGGAAGTCACCTACATGCATGCATATGTTGCATCCAGTTTAACAAGATGTTTCACATGGAAAACATAATAAGGATCAGATTCGGAATGAGAAAGGTCAGACTAAGTGACAAGAGTGGCATTAATGTAAGGTAAAATAAATGTAACTGCTCAGAGATTCACGTGCTAAAAATATATTGATTAAATTTGGAATGAGAAGCAAGGTAGGATTGCTTTGGCAAAGGTACATGTAGATTTCATGACAATAAATAGATAAAAATAGATTACCTGAATTTGGTGGCAGATATCCAGTGCATGTACCAGCTGGCCGTTTCTCAGTATACAGATCACAGAAGGCCTCATCATTAGAGGCTCCACAGCAGTAGTGACGAGGTGAAAAATCATACACTGACGCACAGGAATATTGGAGGAGAGATAAAAGTAAAATATTAAACAGGTTTCAATATTTCATAATCTTAAAGATGGCGCATTTTTAAATTTTAAATTTCAATTCAATTTCAATTTATTTATGTTTCCAACAAAACATTACAAATCAATTATAAACATTTACATCTAACTTCTAGAACTTGTATTGGTTTTCCTAATTGATTTCATTAAATAAAGATTGAAATATGTATTCAAAATAGAAATGAATTGATATTGTATCCATGTATTCTGTACAGTATCATTATAGCAAGAGAGGACACGCAATTAACTACATCACATTATCATCTCTAATCAAAAAGAAATTCCTTACCTAGCCAGTTTAGATAGGCAACAAAGTCGAAGGATCCACCAAGATTGAACTGGTATCGCTCTTCAAAACTGCTTGTAAGATCCCCTCCATAGCCTTCTATGAGTGATTGATCACCGCGGTAACAACAGTACATACCAGCTCCATTGTCACCAGGGGATATGCTGGTCTGAAGACAAAATGGCTCCCCTTTTCAATAGAATAAAAAATAAACAATCATTTGATTACATAATTTATATTATTCTTGCTTTCTTTCCTGCTTTAGCCAGAAGTTATGTAATTGTAATATGCAAAAAGAAAAGCTATCCAATTTCATGTATAAAAATTCAGAAGTTTTAAATCCATCTAAATCTATAAATATGTAAATAGACTCAAATGGCACTTGTAGGTATTTGAAAAAGAACACTTTCATCCATAATACATACATTCAACTCTTTTTACAACATTTGTTGTATTGTATGTGAGTTGGTCGGGAGGTCACATCCCTGCTTAGCCAGTACAATGAATAGGTTTATACCCTAACTCATATCTCTTGGAAGGCGATGTTAAAAGTCAGTTCCCAGATGTAACTATCAAATCTGATTGATACATCTTTGCATAAACTTCAAACCAAACGCACACACAGTGAACCTCTCATTGCTTCTACTAAGGTACATAAATTCCAAACTGGTAATATACATGTAAACTACTAGTACATGTACTCTTTCCAATTTACAAAAGTTCTTCCAGCACAAGAAATTCTGAGCAAGGAAAATGATCTTACCCTCAAGGATATTGATCTCCTCAATGAGTGCCTGATCCAAGGCACGCGATGACGACATAGTGGTCGATGACCTCCTACTGCGACGTCCAGAACTGTATGCTCCATCCTCGCCACCCTGAGTGAAAGAGCAGGGGCAGGTGCCCAGGTAGCGGTCCCAGGTGTTCGGAGCTGGTTCTAAGTTGTACCAGTCCAAGCAGAACTGTTTGGCGTTGATGGTATCCACCGTGTTGTTCTCAAGTCGGTAGATCCAACGCCCCTTCAGGCCAGTGTTGCCAACATATCTGAGGAAAGATTTAGTGGTTGTGTCTAAAGTTTGGCAAAATGTTGTAGACAGGTAGTCTTAATGTTGATCGAGTCCACTAGCTTCCATATAGCATATAGCACTTTTTACAATATACATGCCATGATTCACTATGCAAAGTTCATATACAATGTATAACAAATATCTTTTGCTGAAAGCCAAAAGTGCATTTTAACCTCATTGTTACTTTCTGCCAAGAGGAGTTTACAGATTGACTACCATGCAGGATTTGTTTGCTTCTTGTAAGCAATTGTTTTCAAACTTTTGGCTCCAAGTAAACGATTAAACGATATAACTTTAAAATGTTAATGTCTATCATCGAATACATCTACAATGATATGTTTGACTCACTGATCTGGTCTGAAGCGCTCATCTACTCCAGCAAATGGAGGATCATCAAGATGCATGTTGACATACTGGCCATTACCCAAGTTATAGCCCATGATGAGGTTGGTGCTGGCTAGGGTCACAGGGTCCCAGTTCATGTCCTTCTCCTGGTAGTTGAAGAGCACAAAGCTGTAGCGGGAATCGGTTACCAACGCCGCTTGGAAGGTGTTGGTCTGTGGGAGACAACATGATCCATTTATGTAATATCTACATGTATACATATTTTCAGCCTGTTAAGTATAATTCGTGGGCAGAAGATGTTGGCCTACTATTAGTATCAAATGGAACTGATTAGATAAAACTGCACTGAACTAGAATGGGCCTCGATCAAATGGTATGGTTCAGATTATATTAATTTTAACTACACTGGTTCCACACCTGGATCAAGTGGTACAGTTCAATTAAATAGAACTAGACTAGACTGGGCTTGGATCTATATTGATGCAGTTAAAATCATATGGAACTAGGTTCAACAGGCTCTAGATCAGATGAAACATAAACTAGACAGTGCCTGGATAAAATGGAATGAATCAGATCAAGCCTGGACCAGGGACCTGTTTCATAAAACTTGTTAGCAATACAAGTTACAATAAATGTTGTAAGCGACTGGAATCGTGGCATCTGATTGGTTCAGAGCCATTGGTCATTGAAATTTAGCATTAGTTATTGATAATAAGTTTTTATAGGGCCCAGAATCATACTGGACTACATGAACTCTGGACCTGATAGACTGTACGTGGCACTTACATTACTGGAGATGAATGATGGGAGGTCATTCCAGGTCACCACCAGCATCCACGTAGCATTGAACCCTGACATGTCAGGTTCAAAGGCTCTGATCCTGTAGCTGGCATCATCAAGTACGGCAGTCTGGTTGGCATTGTTGGAGTATGACCTCTCATATATCTGTATGAATGCAAGAAAAAAGAAAGATGGGCTAGTACATGTTGTTCAAAGTTATAAGGTATGTAAATGTATGTGGCAATGTATCAAGCTTAAGCTTGTCATAGTTCTGATCCTAGCTGTTACTGGCATGTCATCAAGCACTAGCACTTCATGTACTACTACTACCATTACTACTACTACCATCACCACCAACTCCACTACCACCACCACCACCACCACCACCACCACCACTACCACTACCACTACCACCACCACTAACACTACCATTACCACTACTACTGCTATACTAACACCATCACCAGCACCGCCACCAACACCAATACTTTCATACAACTACCATAATTGCTACAGTTCCATACTAAACTGACCTGATAAAAGACTTCTCCTTCGCCATCACTAATGTCAGCATCGGCCCAGAAGGGAGCCACTAGAGGCAGACGAGTGTCATTGGAGAAACCGTTAGGGTATGGATTGGGGAATCCATACTTCTCATCATTTTCGTTGATGAATATTATTAGCCCATTATCCATGAACTGTTGGAACAGAAACGAATATTTTTGTTATATGGAAGTTTATACATATATGAAATGTTCATCAAATAATCTGAAAATGAAAGAAAGCAATCATAACTGAACATATCTAGGGGAGGCATACATTTATAAGACATCTTACAAACAAAGCATGAGACATGAAATACACACACATATCTGTGACTTGAAAGTATGTATAGCTGTGAAAAAAATGCATTCATCATCCAGTATTTATATAACTGTAAACTATATCCATACCACTTTCTAATTAGGTTCCTTTACTGTTTTTTGTTATTATTTATTACAAGTTTAATTAATTAATTATCATAACAATGCATTTATCAAAAAGTAAGGAAAATATGTGAATCATATGGCTTGTTATGTTGGAACTATTTGAGAAATTCCAATATATTTCTCTTCAACCGTTACGATTGCTAAAGTGAAACTTAATGAACTTGAAAAGACACACATTTCAATTTCCCTATATTGACATTACTTTCTACTATAATGTATCACTGCTTACATAGAGACTGTAGTAGAATGTATCCCCGAATGGGAACCCAGTCGGTGGTCTGATGGTGGGGGAGATCTCCTCTTGTGTTGGGTTCCTGCTCCCATCCGAGGTGGCAGACTCTGAGGTGAGCGATAGCTGGCTATCTCCGTTAGATGTAGCGAATGGGAATAGGATCATCTCTGGATTGGTGACAAGGAGAAAAATGAAGGCAAAGGTGAAGGAGGATCTTATAAATGCCCTTAAAGCCCCTCTAAAATGTTAGGAGCCCCCCAAAAAATTGATGGCAAAATTTTACTTAAATTGTATAATAATGCGAAAGAGGATATTATTTGACACATTTCAAAACAAATGTGTTTACAGTCGAATATTCATGAAAGAATACAAAATTTAGGTTTTCTGCATACAACAGAAAACCCAAATCTTCTTTTATCAATATTTGTCTTCAAACACATTTTTTTTTTTGGGGGGGGGGGGGATCTTTGCAGAAGTGTGTCTTAAATGACATCCTCTTTCACATTATTAAAGGTATTACAAAGTTTTGGGGGATTTTTGATAATTGCTGGATAGTGATTCTTTACAATTTTGAAATATTTGGATGCCCCTGTGGATGTATGATTAGCACTAAAAACTTTAGCCCCTTAAACACTTCTGCTTTCGAGAAAAATCGAATATCAAAATTTACCGGTGCTCCCAGTAAATCTTGATAATCTTCAAATAGCGCCTACGGCCATACAATGGTAGCTGTGACCCTGAAAATCTCAGAATATGTAGTTGTGATATATAATATCCAATGGGAATAGCCAATCGGTCGATTTGAGTCAAGAAACATTGTTTTATAGCTTAATTAATATCTTGACCTTGCGAGGGAGCTATACAACGAAAAGAGTTTATAATTTACAATTTCATCACTTTAGACTCGATTTCGACCGCGACAACGATCACTGAATAATGTAGGATCGCATATGCTTCCAATATGTTTATTTGAACCAAATTCATGACCCCATACCAAAACTTTGTAATACCTTTAAGAATTTAGGTGAAATTTTGCTATCAAATTTTTGGCAAACTTGGGGCTCCCAACACTCTGGAGGGGCTTTAACAAGTACAGTTAAAATCCTCTTTTGTGGATAATTTGAAGTGTTGGATAGCAACAAAACAAACACCAAAATAGCCTGTGATCTGTATTTAGAAAAAAGATTCATAGAAAACTTACCTATGCATGTTATACCATCACCAACAAAGCCTTCATCACACGTGCATATATAGCTCCCATTGGTGTTAGTACAGGTAGCATTCAGACCACAGTCATTTAGGCTAGAGCTGCTGCATTCGTTGATATCTACATGAGGTGTACACAAAAAAGGTATATATATATGTATAATTCAAGAAATCAAGTTGTGTTTCCTGTATTGGTTATTTTAACGATAAGGTAAAAAATGGGAAAATCACTACAACTATGGATGCATGACCATATAGGAAAAAAAGATATATCATAACTAACTTCATGAATAGGTCTACCAGATTATTTGTATACAAACACAAAAGAAATAAATGCAAGAGAAAAATAAATTGTTCATTCAAACTTGTTGGGGACTACATGAAGCTAAAGATCTACTGGTTTGAGTAGGGCAGTACAATGAATCTGTTCCACCACACACCTGTGACTGATATTTTACTTCTCATCAAACTCAAATTTTGGTGGAGTTTACTAGCAGAGTTTTACTTTAAGCATCCAATAAACTCTAATATGATTTAGCTCATAGTATAGTTGTAGAGTAAATACATGTCATTGCTACATTACAACAACTCATTAATAAAGTGGTGTAGTTTTCTAGTTTTCTTGATCTACTTTATTTTAAACTTAAAATATGAAAATACAATTCATCTCTATATAGTCATTATAATACATTTTAGCGAACTTTTCGAAAGTAGCTAAAACAGGTTATTCCCAATCTGAACGAAGAAGTGCGAACCGAGCCGTAGACCACACGCCGCGTGGTCAAGGGAGGGGGGTCGTGAAAGACTTTATTGGCGTCAGCAATAAAACCAGAAAGGTTCGCGCCATACTCCGCGTGCTCTCGGCTCGCTTCATTCTTTCTATGGTCTTCATGAGAGATGGTCAGATTCGTGAACAAACTTTTTAGAGAAATTGGCGGCATTCTTGCGAATTTGGACGCCTATAATCGCTTATACAAGAAATATATTGTTGTGGTAATGTAAATCTAGAGCAAGCGGTCTGTTAGGAAGGGGAGACAAAATTTGATGTTATTAGAGGATTGTTTTATTGCCGTATTTATACAATTTTACGAGCCCGACTTGTCCGTAAGCTGGGAATACAATTAGTATTGCCCAGGGAAGTCGTTTGTGCTCACCACGTTTTTGGTTGGGGTATAGGGGGGGTGAGCGGGTTCCTGTCCGTTGAAGCTGAGATTGCCTGGCTTATGCCGTGTGTAACGCTCAGGGTGTCCGGCTGGAAGTCATCTTCGCTCACCCATGCCTCTTGTCTATGCAAAAAGCCAGCAAGAGATGGGGGAAGCCCGTTCGCATGGCCAGGCGAATGGAAGAATTGTTACGGCTAGTCAAGAGATATTACTTTGTCGCCCGACCGGGCCCCCTATTGGTTCCTTACAGATCGCTCTCGACATATCATAATGCTCGAAGTAATGATTTGCATTCATTGTTGTTTGTTATGTTTTCACTATAATTCCTTTGCTGACCAGTTTGATTGAAACGAGTTAATTATGGTAATCAACTCTCAATAAAGACCATGGTCAATCACACTTACAAAATACAAATTTGTTGACTTCTTCATTTGACTCAGAGTGGGAATAATCTATAGGTACTAACATATCATTTATTAATTCCATTATCCCCATGAGAAAGGCCCGTTTCGGTTTCAAACAAAATGACTTAACAAGCCTTACCCTGTTCACAGTTTGTTCCAGTCCATCCAGTTGAACACTCGCATCGATACTGATTGATCTCATTGAAGCATGTGCCATTGTTTTGGCATGGTAGGCTTGAACACTCATTAATATCTGACAGATGAGCAAAAACATAGAGGAGACATGTTTACATTATTAATTCAAAATGTGCTGTAGGATAGAATGTTATTTCTTTTTTTCACTATCAAACCATCTTAATCGTATACAAGTATATCTTTATATCATACCATTACCATAATCATCATGATAATTATCATCATCACCATCAACATTATCATCATCATCATCATCATCATCATCATCTTCATCATCAACATTATCATTCTCAATATATTGCAAGCACAATAATCAAATCTACATTATCATCATCATTTTCATCATCATCATCTTCATCTTCATCTTCTTCAACATCATCATCATCATCATCATCATCATCCTCATCATCATCATCATCATCATCATCATCATCGTCATCTTCATCTTCATCTTCTTCATCTTCATCTTCTTCATCATCATCATCATCATCATCACCACAACCACCACCACCACCACCACCACCACCACCACTACCGCCATCATAATCATCATCTTCATCATCTTCCTAACCTGTGCATATAGGAATAGTCCCCACGACAGTCCCGTTGTCACATCTCACATAAGCCCCCTCTGGGCTCATCTGGTAGCCATTGTTACAGGTAAAACCAATAACGTCACTGTGGGTGAAAGCGGACCCATTGAGACCACCATTGTTAGGCTCTCTTGGTAAGATGCAACTTCCTGTCAATCAAAATAAATTGTCCAAAATCTTAGTAATAATTTCAAATGGTGAAACAGAACTGTAATATCAAAGATCATGTTCATTCCTATTTTATATCCATCCTATAAATGGTTGGAACAACTTTCTCCGCACATTCTTTATACATGAGCAGTTGATCAAAGCATTTTTTACTAACTTTTTAAGCATTTGCAATAGCTGCTCTCATGTAGCATAGTTTGGTTTAAGGTAATACAATTAACTTTTTTTTAATTTAAAAAAAAATGGTGTGCAGCATGCAATTCCATATAAATATAAATGCATAATTGAAATAACATAAACACTCATTTAAAATTGTAATAAAGATAAAATTAGGCAAAAATCCCCCCCTCCCCCCTCCCTCCCCCCCCCCCCAAAAAAAAAATAAGAAGGATAAAATAAAATTTAAAAAATGTTTCTTAATACAGCACCTAATATGATAATGAACATTAAAAACCTTATATTTACACTCATAACAAAAGACACACAGAACTTACCATAACACTGTGGTAACTCCAAATTGAAAGCCCCTTCGATACATGTGTCACTTGTTTCCCCAATCAGAACATAGCCCTCATTACAGGTATACTCCACCGTTGATCCGTTGGTGTAAACGGTCTGGTAAGGTGAGATGGACCCCTGAGATGGGATGCCAGGGTTAGGGCAGAGACCTGGTAGGCAAGTAGGAAAAGAAATGTAAGACAAAGGGACTTCATTTTTCTAATTGTAGACTGTATCAAGTTGAATATCTATTATAAAATTCATGTCCAAAAGGTTTGAACTATCCAATCCAAGCCAATCAAATCAAATCAAATCAAGGAATTTGTAGAATGCTAATATCTAGTTGCTTAATCAAAGGCGCTGATGAGACAGAAAAACTACTGAAAATGCTTTTCATGATTAACCTGAAAATTTGTACTTATTGGATCTTGTTCCCAATAAAAAAAATCACGTGAAAATCACGTCAATATCAAGGTATCGACTTGAGGAGAGTTACGTTCTTCAAACACCTGACATTTACGTAAATGTGTTAATACGTTTATTGCACTAGGTCACTTAAAACACACGTACACTAAATCACGCAATTTTCACTGCAATATCACCATTATATTAACGTGATTATCCCTACCTTCACAGCTTAGATTATTAATCAATTTTAGCCACGTGATCATCACCAAGAAAGATATGGCAACTTTGAGTACCATTTAAAAAGGTGTTTTAAGACACCTAATAATAACTAATTTTTCACACCTAAATATCACGAATTCACAGCTTAGATTAGTAATCAGTTTTAGCCACGTGATCATCACCAAGAAAGTTATGGTAACCTTGAAACCATTTAAAAGGGCGTTTTAGACACCTAAGAATTACTAATTTTTCACACCTGGAAATCACGGATGCCTAGCTTATATCAATAATCTGCTTGAGTCACAAGATCATCACCATGGAACCTATGGCAATTTTGACTACCATTTAAAAAGGTGTTTTAAGACACCTAATAGTAACTAATTTTACACACCTAAATATCACGGATTCACAGCTTAAATTAGTAATCTGTTTTAGCCGCGTGATCATCACCAAGAAAGTTATGGTAACTTTGAAACCATTTAAAAAGGTGTTTTAAGACACCTAATAATGACTAATTTTTCACACCTAAAAATCACTGATTCACAGCTTAGATTAGTAATCAGCTTGAGCCACGTGATCATCACCAAGAAAGTTATGGAAACTTTGAAACCATTCAAAAGAAGTGTGTAAGACACCTCAGAATTACTAATTTAATACAACCAGAGATATACGGACAGAACAATAAAACGATTAGCCGGTGTAAGTAACGTGATTATTACCATCAACCTTGGATAACCTGTGAAACCAATCGATAAAGGTGCTTAAAAGACCAAATAATTACTTATTTATCACCACCGATCGGTTAACGGTTAAAAAACTTGTTGCTTGGTCAAGTGGTTATTTGGTCATAAACACTTCAGTTGATTTACAGAGGTAAGTGGAATCACGTTATTCCAGTCGCGTGATAAATTGGTGGTTTTTAGGTTAGATGAAAACGTGAACAGAAGTACCTTTTTTGTTTAAATGAAGGCACGTGTCGATAACATTTAAACCTAGTTCAAAAGGCACCATACTTTAAAATCACTTAAAATACACTCCCAAAAGAGGTTATTTTTTCATAGTAGTGTTCTGTTTATTCGGTTATCAACAAGATATACCAACAAGGACAAGAATAAAACTGTACGTGTTATATCCTTGATTTAGGAGAAAAAATACAGTCATACCTGCTTGAGTGACCACCTGTATAGAAAGACCACCTGTCTATAAAGAGCACATTTTTTATTTCCCTTGAATAATGTTTCTCATTGAAAGCTGTACTAAAGGAACCTGTACATACAGACCATCTGCCTCTCAAGACCACTTTTCATGTTTCCCTTTATTATTGAATCCACTTCAAAATGGTTAGAAGTAGGATATACATGGATAAACATTTAACAGGAAAACATAATGTACATTAACTACAAAATCGCAACGACTCAGCCGACCGCTGAATAACCGGGGGGGGGGGGTAAGAGGACACTTTTTTTTTTTTTTTTTGGTCTCGAAATTTGGAAATTTGACATTTTGCTCCGTTGGGTGGGGGGGTAAGGTCACCTTTTTTAGGTCGGCCATGGGAATAATTTTTTTTTTTTTTTTTTTTTAATAATTAAAAAAAAAAAAAAAAAAAAATCCAAAAGGGGGGGGGGGGGTTTTAGGTTTTTTTTAGGGGGGTTTACACACAAAAAATTTCCAAAGGGGGGGGTTTAACCCCCCAAACCCCCCCCCCTGCGTACGCGCCTGCTTATAATCAATATATTCAAACTTGGACAGATTTTTTATCAAATGAAACTTCACCTTGTTTTATTTCTTTTTCAACAATAATTCCTCAATTTACACAGAAAATCTAACAATTTTAACAACAATAAAATCTTTTGTGGCTTCTCTATTAATACATTCTCCTGTTGTACAACTAATAATATGAATTCTTTTGTGGCTTCTCCAATGATACAATTGTATTCAGAAGATGTCAACATACCTGTACAGAGTTCTGGAGATTCATCGTAATTATCCAGACAGTCGTAGGGCCAGTCATCACAGACGTAAGTAAATGGAATGTACACTCCATCTGGGCAACGGAAATGGTTTGGCTTGGGGCAGAAAGCCGTCACATTCCTGATGTCTGGAAAAAAAGAGAAAACGTTTATAGAACTAATTCCTTTCTTTACAAACCAACATGCAGGCGTGTATGCAGGGAAAACCCTGACCAAAAAAATAAATAGAACGAAACGAAATATCCATCGGCCAAATTTTCAAATTTTGGGACACAAAAAAAAAATATATGTTACATACGCGCCTGCCAACATGTATGTATCTCTTTGTTTATCCTGGTCCCTATCTTCTACTGACTTGAGATTGATCTAAATCAATCGCAAGTCCTCCAATCAATCGCAAGTTTGCAGTCTCCTATCTCTTATATACATTGCGATTGATATCAATCACAAATAAGTTATGATTAATATCAACTCTTTATAAGACAGGGCCCAGGAGTGTACAATGTAATTCTGTTAGGTTTTTCGGATTAGGGCCATCGTTTTTATGAAAGCAGATAAAAGCGAGTGAAACGAATCCAAGCACCACACAGAAACTTGTGTTTTAGAGTTAAGCATTTAACCTTAAGACAAACTTTATATTCACCTACTAAAATTCACCTGTAGATCTTCATACTTGTAAACATATGTATCTATACGAATGATTTTAGAACATAGTTATAAAACTTCTCTGAACTTCTAGGAATGGATATCATGTGCTCCTTTGGTTCGTGCCCCTCGCACTCCACTCACACTTTCTCTCTTTCTCATCCTCACACTTTCCTTCCTATATGTATTTTTGCCGAAGAATGTTTCTATACCATATCTAAAACAAACACATATGTCAGATTAGGAAACAAAATATACATGTAGATAAACAGTACAAAAGTACAATTCAAAAAATTGTCAAGCACACAATAAATAATGATAGTGTCTTAAATCAAATAAACAACTTACTACAACACAGCTCTTCAGAGTCATCATAGTTATTGAGGCAGTCTCCTGGGTACTCATCACACACATAGAGCTCTGGAATACATGTTCCTTCAGGACATCGGAAGTAATCCTCCTGACATTGCACTGCAGGCAATATTATGATGATGAAAATAAGCTTGTTTGACACTATACATTGAATTATATATTATTATCATTTTGAATTAATTTACACATATTTACTCTTGCACAACAATATCAGACTTTACATCAATAAAGCTAAACAAAGTTTTGATGACCCCTAACAACTATCATTTATCAAATTTTGTTTAATGACAGTAGTTGATAGAAACCAAGATGTGAATAATTTTAAGCTAACAAAAATATGACCGTGACTCTTGCCTTTAAACCATTCAATGTGACACAATATTCTGTTCCTTTCTTCATTCATATGACTCTTTTTATATCATATATGCATGTTTATGTTTGTTTTATATATGTCATCTTTAAGTAGTTTTTCCTATGTAGTTATATTCAATTTGGTGTCTATATGATCTGTTTTATGTTTGTAACATGGACTTGCTGATGTGAGTTTTACCGTGATCAAATAAATTAAATTCAATTTAATTCTAATGACATTTACATCACTCTACATGTATGTCATAAATTGTAACATCATGCAGAACGAAACCAAAACAGACACCAAAGGAAAAGAATGAGCTCAAAAGATGGACTTACAGAGGCAGTTGACTCCATCTCCTTCATAGCCTTCTCTGCAGGAGCAGTCCAGGGCACCACCCCTGATCTCACAGGTAGAGTACTCACTGCAGGAGAGTGCAACACAGACCGTAGTGCCATTTGAGGAGCAGGTGCATTCCTCTATACATCCCGAGGTCAACCATGTCTCACCAACCTGAGATGGTGAGAATGATGATAATGGTGATGGTAATAACAAGAAGAAACATGAGAAGTAATAGTTGTAGATGCTGAAGAAGAAGAGGAAGAAGAAGAAGAAGAAGAAGAAGAAGAAGAAGAAGAGGAAGAAGAAGAAGAAGAAGAAGAAGAAGAGGAAGTGGAAGAAGAAGAAGAAGAGGAAGAAGAAGAAGAAGAATGCCCAATTGAATATATTGGATAAAACAAGTTACATGTATGGACAGCACATCTTCAGGAATGTATTTGTAAGTAACCTAATCTTCTCTTACCATATGATAAAATCCATTTGAGACACATCCACAGGACTCTGAAGGAACGCAGCCATTCCCTTCCAGAACAAAGCCAGGATCACAGAAACATCCCTCAATGCAGGAGGCATCAGAACACTGGAGATCATCCCCGGTGTTACGCACGCTGTAGCATGTGGTGGGGCAGGCAGGCCCACAGTAGCTGAAGCTGGAGTTGGCATCGCATTGGACAGCTGAGGAAGAACCACAATACCTTGTAAATCAAACTAATAATTGCAAGGCATAATAATATGATTGCAGGGCCCTCAGGGAGAACAGTATGAATACTGATGAGGCTACCCTGGGTAAACAAGACATATCATTATTACTATTATTGTTGTTGTTGTTGTTGTTATCATTATTATTATTATTATTATACTTAACCTGTTGACTACTATCTCATTCCCAAAGGCTTAATACAGATATAACCCGGTTATCATAGGTGATGGGTTAAATCCATATATGTTACAAAATGTCAAGCTGAGCTTAAGCTGAGCTTAACCAATCAGAGATGGAGTCCCACATACAGAATCACACATGTTTTTCAGAAAGATTAATATCACTGCACCTCTGTACAATCCATGCATCCACTTAACACAGGATGTATCCACAGGAAAATAAGTATTAGCATTTAAAAGGGGCATTACAAGTCAAAGTAAAAGACAAAAAATTGTTTTCTTTTTCAACACAAATTGGCAATCTCAGAAATGGGCATCGATAACAAAACTAAGTAACGTCTTAATCTGTACATTAAACGCCTATAACATTTGTTCCCTCTCTAACATGGTTCATTCGTTCGTGTCTCCTTAGATCAAGATAGTTATGTAAAGTTCCTTAATCAAAATTAAATAGGGCCAGGTCTTCATCTGTGCAACCCGTTCAGCCGCACTGCAAGATGTGGTCCATCGTCTAACACAGTAATTTCAGCATATCTAACGAGATGTTTGAACTTACGACACAGATCTGCAGAGCGCCATCCTTGGACTACGTAACCACGTATTCTGCATTCACGAGCAGCAGTTGAGAAGACATCACAGATGCCTTCACCAACAGGATAGGTTGCACAGAAGTCGTAGAGACAACTCTGGTAAAATGCAGAGATGGTGCTTACACGCCCGATGCACTCGCCGAATGGTCCTATACAACAACAAATGAGTATGAGTACACAGATTGAGAACACTATTCCAACAAAAGAAGGTATTATTTAATTGGATATGCCAAACAAAAGTTACAGTTTACAGAAAACAGCTAGCACTATAAGCACCTTGTTATGATATATACAATTATACTAAATAGTCTTGTCAACAACAAAATGAATATAGAAAATAATGAAACTAATAAGACAGTTAGTTAATATCTTACTTAGATACATGTAGGCATATGACACAATGCAATAGGCTAAAGTACGGATACATAAGTACAGTATAATAAGATTATTCTATATGGTATTTATTATACAGGAAACCAATTGATTTCACCCATTTAATCTAGAAAGAGAACCACATTGTGGTTCAAGCCACAAATTTAAATAATCATTTTAATTCTAAGATTACACAGCTACATGTATATCACAGATAATCATAAAAGAACACAAATACAAAATATGCATCACAAGTTGAGATATAAAGACAAAATTTACGAAATCATAATAATGATACCTGATAGATTCACCAACATATCGCAGACAGAGGATGCACTAGCAATGACTGATGCATTCTGGGTAGCGCAAGGGTCATCTGGAGGAGGCACATAGGCTGGGCAGTCCTCAGGGTTCTCCACATAACTGTTTGTGAATTGCATCAGGGATGCCTGCACACACAAAGAACACAGTGAATAGTACAGATAGATGAACATGGTAATGATCGATGTTCCAGCAAAGATACATGTAACTAATCCACTACTACAAACTACAGTTACTTTCCAAAGGATGCTAGAAATAAATGAATGAAAATGGAATCTGTCTAAGCTATCTAATACATAGATACATTACTGTGTTATAACATTTGCTTCTTCAACAATTGCTCCAGGCTTTATTTTGTCAAAATTATACAGATTGAGTTGGGGTTGCAATTAGGTCTTAGGGTAAGTTCAAGGTTAGGTGTGGTGTTGGGTCCGAGGTCCAAGTTAAGAATTTGGTCAGTTTAGAAAACAACCATGAAGTAATTGTCGCAGGAGCAAGTTTCCCGCAATTGTTGATGCATACCACAGTCCCAGTGGCAGTGCGTGTGTCATCCTCGGGGTTGCCGTTGTAGTCACCTGCTAATCCACACATCACATTGGCAAAGGTTGAGTTGAGGATGAGAGTGAGAGATGACGTTATTCCCCACTCCACATTGAAACCAAAGTCACTTGATATTGCCTGTGGGGAAAGATATTTGGTATAAGAATTTTCAAAGGTGTTTTTGAATATATGTTAACATGACTGAAGGCTTTCAATTCAATGTTTCTAAGATTTTCTTGTCTGGGTGTGAGGATACATTGTATCATCCTACATGTACATTGTAACAACTTGAAATGTAATTTTTTTAAAAGAGTCCAGACTTCAACCATTTCACTCAAAGCAAGAGAAACCTAATAAAAGCTGGGGTCTTTGAGAAATATGTCTTATACTAAAATCAGATATGATTGTCCACCAAATATTGTTTCCTTTGCAACTTCACAATGCACATATATGCACGCTCTGTTTCAGGAAGTAAGAATTACGTATAGATATTCTTGGACTGAACATGCAAATTAGTACAGCCTTTACAATCTTGGACTGAACATGCAAATTAGTACAGCCTTTACGATCTTGGGCAGAATTCAATGCCTATGACATCAATAGTGTTACTAGTAATTCTGCAAGAGCAACAAAATATATTTGAATTGAACTCACTATAGTTGAGCCTGTATTCCAGACGGTGAGACCAATAGACGGCTGCACTGGGAGGGTAACACTGATCCCATCTACTGATACACTGCTTCCTATCATTGAAATAAGCTGTAAAACAAATAGACAACAAAATATATGCATGTATAGAACATGATTATGACAGTGTAATGTTTATTTACAGTACTGATAAACTTGTGAATTTCTCAACATTAATATTTGTTCTATTAGAATACAAGAACTACATCATATCAAAAGAACCAATCTGCACAAATTCATAATGATTATGCCATGAAAATCTATGTTGTGCAGTAAAAACCCATCTACCAACTAAGTTCTCTGTTATCGTTATCAAGCTGTTGAAAGCTGAAGTAATTAGGGTGCTAAAAAAGTGCTCCCCTTCCGGCTCTAAACAGAATATATAAATGTTTAAACTTTTTAATGAAGAAATTTATTTGAAGAGTCGATTCAGTACATCTGGGTAAAGACAAATATAGAATGCCTTGGAAAAGTAATTATATAGACCACACTACACCACAAACTTCCACCTCTGTTTCTTGATCTATTTATGCAAAATGATATCAACAAGTTGGATATCAATAACTTGATCAAATATTGGAATGATTAGCTAATACAATGCAGGAAACATACTTACTATATCATCTACAGTCACATCGACACCCGCAACCTGTGCATAGTCAGGGAAGGTAGTTGATTTATCGTTGTTTATGACAACTTGGAAACGTGATGAGTCAGCCAGGCAGTCTGAAGCCAGCAGATATTCACACTCTCCCTGGAAGTTGTATGATCTTGTGTCAAAGGTCAAGAAATGCGGGTCACCGTAAGCATGTGCAGTCACACCTGGTTTTGATACACATATTATATGGAGAAAATAAAATAAAAAGAAATAATGTATTTTTATTAACATAGCATGATTCCGAATATGAAAATGGGGATACTTGTGCATCAGAATGACTTGCAAATCTAAATTTATTCAAAGCATATGTAATATAATGTTACCTATATAGCAACATTAGATCTGTACATAGGCTGCACTGACTAACTTTTGTTTTATTGGTTCTGGAATTACATATGCACAGTTTCATACATTGAGGTAACACATGGTATAATCATTGTAAATGAAAGAAATACACTTTTAATTGCAGCTTGTCTTGTAGTAATGTCAATGTGAATAACCGAAATCAGTGATATGCAGCTTGTTTTCGAATTTCACTGTTTAGGAGTGTATATTTCTGTCTTTGTTAATTCACAAATAAAGATCAAAGAGAAATGTAACAAAAGTTTAGATTTACCTGTTAGAATGGCTCAAATTTCATAAAGCATACACTTTGATGGGTTTAATCTATTTCAAAGGGTTTATTTCCTGACAAACATTTGGTGACCAATACTAAACAGTATGAATGATTACCTGAAAATGTAGAAGTTGGTTGAGTAGTGACTTCATCTGTTGTGACCACTGAATCCCTGGTAGACCCAGAGGGTGTTGTAGGTGTCATGGTTGTTACTTCACCGATAGTTGTCAGGATGACTGTTGAAGCTTCTACCGTTACTGATGTAAAAACCTGCGTTGTCACATCTACTGTTATAGGAAGTGTTGAAACAGTTGGGGTCGTATCATTTCCAGTCGTTGCACCAGCAGTAGATGCTACTGTTGAAGATATTACAGACGTGACAACATCATCTGTTGTTACATCAGTGGAGGCCATCTGTGTTGAAGAAGTTGTTGACACAAATGAAGTTGTTGTTTCAAATTCTGTTGACACTGTTATTGCATCCGAAGTAAGCGCAGACGGGGTTGTAGCCTTTCCTGTGGTTACATCAACAGTAGAAGCTTGTGCTGTAGTTTCTTCTGGACCAATTGTGGTAATAGCTTGTTCAGTGGATGCAGCTTCTATGGTTGTTGACTCGAATAAGGTGGTGCCTTGGCGAGTTGACATTGCATCAGTGGTAGAAAGCCCACTCTTGGTTGTCAAAGCTTGTGTAGTAGACTGAGCCTTTTCCTCAGTAGTTTTCTCAGTGATTGTTGGGGTAGTTTGTATTCTAGTAGTCCTGTCATCTTCAGTAGTCACACTGGTACTGTGTACACTTGTAGATTCTGTTATAGTTGATATCTCAGTGGATGGCATCATTCCTGGTGTACTTGCATCTTTGGTTGTCACCACGTCATCTGTCAGACTCTTTGTTGATGCTTGAGCAGTTGTCTCTTCTGCAGTAGTAACTGATGATGTTGCGAATGGTGATGACATGCTTCCTGAAGTTAAAAGATCTGATGTTAAGGGATCAGTTGGTGTTATCTCTGATGTTGATATATCTGAAGATGTTGTTCTACTTGTTGTTACCTGAGAAGTAAATCCAACAGTACTTAGGAATTCTGTTGATTCTGGCTGTGTAATAGGAGCCTCTGTTGACATTTCTGATGTCAAAGGACCAGTTGATGTTACCTCTGATGTTGATCTATCAGTAGAAGTTGTTCTACTTGATGTTACTTGAGAAGTGGATCCTGTTGTTGGTTGGGTTGATGTGACATCAGCTGTAAACCCTGCTGTAGTTTGAGATTCTGTTGATTCTGGCTGTCTACTTGGAGCCTCTGTTGACATTTCTGATGTCAAAGGACCAGTTGATGTTACCTCTGATGTTGATCTATAAGTAGAAGTTGTTCTACTTGATGTTACTTGAGAAGTGGATCCTGTTGTTGGTTGGGTTGCTGTGACATCAGCTGTAAACCCTGCTGTAGTTTGAGATTCTGTTGATTCTGGCTGTGTACTTGGAGCCTCTGTTGACATTTCTGATGTCAAAGGACCAGTTGATGTTACCTCTGATGTTGATCTATCAGTAGAAGTTGTTCTACTTGATGTTACTTGAGAAGTGGATCCTGTTGTTGGTTGGGTTGCTGTGACATCAGCTGTAAACCCTGCTGTAGTTTGAGATTCTGTTGATTCTGGCTGTGTACTTGGAGCCTCTGTTGACATTTCTGATGTCAAAGGACCAGTTGATGTTACCTGTGATGTTGATCTATCAGTAGAAGTTGTTCTACTTGATGTTACTTGAGAAGTGGATCCTGTTGTTGGTTGGGTTGCTGTGACATCAGCTGTAAACCCTGCTGTAGTTTGAGATTCTGTTGATTCTGGCTGTGTACTTGGAGCCTCTGTTGACATTTCTGATGTCAAAGGACCAGTTGATGTTACCTCTGATGTTGATCTATCAGTAGAAGTTGTTCTACTTGATGTTACTTGAGAAGTGGATCCTGTTGTTGGTTGGGTTGTTGTGACATCAGCTGTAAACCCTGCTGTAGTTTGAGATTCTGTTGATTCTGGCTGTGTACTTGGAGGCTCTGTTGACATTTCTGATGTCAAAGGACCAGTTGATGTTACCTGTGATGTTGATCTATCAGTAGAAGTTGTTCTACTTGATGTGACTTGAGAAGTGGATCCTGTTGTTGGTTGGGTTGTTGTGACATCAGCTGTAAACCCTGCTGTAGTTTGAGATTCTGTTGATTCTGGCTGTGTACTTGGAGCCTCTGTTGACATTTCTGATGTCAAAGGACCAGTTGATGTTACCTGTGATGTTGATCTATCAGTAGAAGTTGTTCTACTTGATGTTACTTGAAAAGTGGATCCTGTTGTTGGTTGGGTTGTTGTGACATCAGCTGTAAACCCTGCTGTAGTTTGAGATTCTGTTGATTCTGGCTGTGTACTTGGAGCCTCTGTTGACATTTCTGATGTCAAAGGACCAGTTGATGTTACCTGTGATGTTGATCTATCAGTAGAAGTTGTTCTACTTGATGTTACTTGAGAAGTGGATCCTGTTGTTGGTTGGGTTGCTGTGACATCAGCTGTAAACCCTGCTGTAGTTTGAGATTCTGTTGATTCTGGCCGTGTACTTGGAGCCTCTGTTGACATTTCTGATGTCAAAGGACCAGTTGATGTTACCTCTGATGTTGATCTATCAGTAGAAGTTGTTCTACTTGATGTTACTTGAGAAGTGGATCCTGTTGTTGGTTGGGTTGTTGTGACATCAGCTGTAAACCCTGCTGTAGTTTGAGATTCTGTTGATTCTGGCTGTGTACTTGGAGGCTCTGTTGACATTTCTGATGTCAAAGGACCAGTTGATGTTACCTGTGATGTTGATCTATCAGTAGAAGTTGTTCTACTTGATGTGACTTGAGAAGTGGATCCTGTTGTTGGTTGGGTTGTTGTGACATCAGCTGTAAACCCTGCTGTAGTTTGAGATTCTGTTGATTCTGGCTGTGTACTTGGAGCCTCTGTTGACAATTCTGATGTCAAAGGACCAGTTGATGTTACCTGTGATGTTGATCTATCAGTAGAAGTTGTTCTACTTGATGTTACTTGAAAAGTGGATCCTGTTGTTGGTTGGGTTGTTGTGACATCAGCTGTAAACCCTGCTGTAGTTTGAGATTCTGTTGATTCTGGCTGTGTACTTAAAGCCTCTGTGGAAGCCTCTGATGTCGAGAGATCAGCTGATGTTATCAGAGTACTAGAAAATTCTGTTGTTGAAGGAGCATTTGATGTGATCTCAGAAGTAAATCCTTCTGTAGTTTGGGGTTCTGTTAATTCAGATCTTGTACTCAATGCCTCTGTTGAAACATCTGATGTTACAGGGCCAGCGGACGTCACATCTGATGTGAACCCTGCAGTGGTCTTTGATTCTGTTGATTCTGACTTGGTAGTCGGAGCCTCTGTTGAAACATCCGATGTGAAAGGAGCAGTTGTAGGTTGGGTTGAAGTAACTTCTGCTGTAAATCCCACAGTAGTTCGAGATTCAGGCTCAGTACTCAGAAGATTTGTTGATGCCCCAGGTGTTGATGAAGCAGTCATTGTTATCGCAGATGTAAATTGTATCTCTCTGGTTGTGGTGAACTCAGATGTCAAAGGAGAAGCTGTTGAAACTTTTGAAGTAAATATTTTAGTTGTTGTTGATTCTTGGGATTTTAGATCAGTAGTCAATCTGCTGGTCATTAAAACTGATGTAGAAGGGGTAATGGCTGAAGTGAGTCCAGTTGTTACCGATTCAGTCAATTCTGCACCAGTAGTCATACCACTTGTGAAAGTTGAAGCAGTTCTTGATTCAGTTGACTCCACCTCAGTAGTCAAACCATTGGTAGTGATAAGTGTTGTTGACGGAGCAGATGATGTAACATCTGAGGTGAATCCCTCAGTTGTTCCTGATTCAGTTGATTCTAATCTTGTAGTCGGACCATTTGTTGTAATAGCTGATGTTGGCGGAACAGTTGAAGTAATGACTGAAGTGAATCCTTCTGTTGTTCCTGATTCAGTTGTCTCCTCCTCGGTAGATAGACCATTGGTGGTGATATCTGATGTTGAAGGCCCAGTTGATGTTACATCTGAGATGACCCTCTCAGTTGTTCCCGATTCAGTTGTCTCCCCCTGGGAAGTCAGACCATTGGTGGTGATATCTGAAGTTGGTAGGGCAGTAGATGTCATTTCTGAGGTGAATCCCTCAGTTGTTCCTGATTCAGTTGACTCCTCTTCGGTAGTCAGACCATTGGTCGTGATATCTGATGTTGGCGGAACAGTTGCAGTAATAACTGAGGTGAATCCTTCTGTTGTTCCTGATTCAGTTGTCTCCTCCTCGGTAGATAGACCATTGGTTTTGGTGGTGATATCTGATGTTAAAGGCCCAATTGATGTAACATCTGAGATGACCCCCTCAGTTGTTCCTAATACAGTTGTCTCCTCCTCGGTAGTCAGACCATTGGTGGTGATATCTGATGTTGAAGGCCCAGTTGATGTAACATCTGAGGTGACCCCCTCAGTTGTTTCTAATCTTGTAGTCGGACCATTTGTTGTTATAGCTGATGTTGGCGGAACAGTTGAAGTAATAACTGAAGTGAATCCTTCTGTTGTTCCTGATTCAGTTGTCTCCTCCTCGGTAGATAGACCATTGGTGGTGGTATCTGATGTTGACAGCCCAGCTGAAGTTATATCTGAAGTAAATCCTTCTGTTGTTCCTGATTCAGTTGTCTCCTCCTCTGTAGTTAGACCATTGGTGGTGATATCTGATGTTGACAGCCCAGTTGAAGTAATATCTGAAGTAAATCCTTCTGTTGTTCCTGATTCAGTTGATTCTAGTCCAGTAGTCAGACCATTTGTTGTTATAGTTGATGTTAACGGACCATTTGATGTAACATCTGAGGTAAATCCCTCAGTTGTTCTTGATTCAGTTGATTCTAGTCCAGTAGTTGGACCGTTTGTTGTTATAGTTGATGTTGGTGGAACAGTTGAAGTAATGTCTGAGGTAAATCCTTCTGTTGTTCCTGATTCAGTTGTCTCCTCCTCGGTAGATAGACCATTGGTGGTGGTATCTGATGTTGACAGCCCAGCTGATGTTATATCTGAAGTAAATCCTTCTGTTGTTCCGGATTCAGTTGCATCCTCCTCGGTAGTCATACCATTGGTGGTGATATCCGATGTTGACAGCCCAGTTGATGTAATGTCTGAAGTGAATCCTTTTGTTGTTCTTGATTCAGTTGTCTCCACCTTGGTAGTCTGACCATTGGTGGTGATATCTGATGTTGACGGCAGAGTTGATGTAACATCTGAGGTGAATCCTTCAGTTGTTCCTGATTCAGTTGTCTCCTCCTCGGTAGTCAGACCATTGGTGGGGATATCTGATGTTGGCAGAGCAGTAGATGTCATATCTGAGGTGATTCCCTCAGTTGTTCCCGATTCCGTTGTCTCCTCAGTAGTTAGACCATTGGTGGTGATATCTGATGTTGGTAGAGAAGTAGATGTCATATCTGAGGTGAATCCCTCAGTTGTTCCCGATTCCGTTGTCTCCTCCTCAGTAGTTAGACCATTGGTGGTGATATCTGATGTTGGTACAGCAGTAGATGTCATATCTGAGATGAATCCCTCATTTGTTCCTGAATCAGTTGTCTCATCCTCAGTAGTTAGACCATTGGTGGTGATATCTGAGGTTGAAGGCCCAGTTGATGTCATATCTGAGGTGAATCCCTCAGTTGTTCCTGATTCAGTTGTCTCCTCCTCAGTAGTTAGAGCATTGGTGGTGATATCCGATGTTGACAGCCCAGTTGATGTAATGTCTGAAGTGAATCCTTTTGTTGTTCTTGATTCAGTTGTCTCCACCTTGGTAGTCAGACCATTTGTGGTGATATCTGATGTTGACGGCAGAGTTGATGTAACATCTGAGGTGAATCCTTCAGTTGTTCCTGATTCAGTTGTCTCCTCCTCGGTAGTCATACCATTGGTGGTATCTGATGTAGGTAGAGCAGTAGATGTCATATCTGACGTGAATCGCTCAGTCGTTCCTGATTCAGTTGTCTCCTCCACAGTAGTCAGACCATTGGTGGTGATATCTGATGTTGGCAGAGCAGTAGATGTCATATCTGAGGTGATTCCCTCAGTTGTTCCCGATTCCGTTGTCTCCTCCTCAGTAGTTAGACCATTGGTGGTGATATCTGATGTTGGTAGAGAAGTAGATGTCATATCTGAGGTGAATCCCTCAGTTGTTCCCGATTCTGTTGTCTCCTCCTCAGTAGTTAGAACATTGGTGGTGATATCTGATGTTGGTAGAGCAGTAGATGTCATATCTGAGGTGATTCCCTCAGTTGTTCCCGATTCCGTTGTCTCCTCCTCAGTAGTTAGACCATTGGTGGTGATATCTGATGTTGGTACAGCAGTAGATGTCATATCTGAGATGAATCCCTCAGTTGTTCCTGAATCAGTTGTCTCATCCTCAGTAGTTAGACCATTGGTGGTGATATCTGAGGTTGAAGGCCCAGTTGATGTCATATCTGAGGTGAATCGCTCAGTCGTTCCTGATTCAGTTGTCTCCTCCTCAGTAGTCAGACCATTGGTGGTGATATCTGATGTTGGCAGAGCAGTAGATGTCATATCTGAGGTGATTCCCTCAGTTGTTCCCGATTCCGTTGTCTCCTCCTCAGTAGTCAGACCATTGGTGGGGATATCTGATGTTGGCAGAGCAGTAGATGTCATATCTGAGGTGATTCCCTCAGTTGTTCCCGATTCCGTTGTCTCCTCCTCAGTAGTTAGACCATTGGTGGTGATATCTGATGTTGGTAGAGAAGTAGATGTCATATCTGAGGTGAATCCCTCAGTTGTTCCCGATTCCGTTGTCTCCTCCTCAGTAGTTAGACCATTGGTTGTGATATCTGATGTTGGTACAGCAGTAGATGTCAAATCTGAGGTGAATCCCTCTGTTGTTCCTGATTCAGTTGTCTCCTCCTCAGTAGTAAGACCATTGGTGGTGATATCTGATGTTGGTAGAGCAGTAGATGTCATATCTGAGGTGAATCCCTCAGTTGTTCCTGATTCAGTTGTCTCCTCCTCAGTAGTTAGACCATTGGTGGTGATATCTGATGTTGGTAGAGCAGTAGATGTCATATCTGAGGTGAATCCCTCAGTTGTTCCTGATTCAGTTGTCTCCTCCTCAGTAGTTAGACCATTAGTTGTGATATCTGATGCTGAAGGCCCAGTTGATGTAACATCTGAAGTGAATCCCTCAGTTGTTCCTAATTCAGTTGTCTCCTCCTCGGTAGTCATACCATTGGTTGTGATATCTGATGTTGGTAGAGAAGTAGATGTCATATCTGAGGTGAATCCCTCAGTTGTTCCTGATTCAGTTGTCTCCTCCTCAGTAGTGAGACCATTGGTGGTGATATCTGATGTTGGTAGAGCGGTAGATGTCATATCTGAGGTAAATCCGTCTGTTGTTCCTGATTCAGTTGTCTCCTCCTCAGTAGTAAGACCATTGGTGGTGATATCTGATGTTGGTAGAGCAGTAGATGTCATATCTGAGGTGATTCCCTCAGTTGTTCCCGATTCCGTTGTCTCCTCCTCAGTAATTAGACCATTGGTGGTGATATCTGAGGTCGGTAGAGCAGTAGATGTCATATCTGAGGTGATTCCCTCAGTTGTTCCTAATTCAGTTGTCTCCTCCTCAGTAGTTAAACCATTAGTTGTGATATCTGATGCTGACGGCCCAGTTGATGTAACATCTGAAGTGAATCCCTCAGTTGTTCCTGATTCAGTTGTCTCCTCCTCGGTAGTCATACCATTGGTTGTGATATCTGATGTTGGTAGAGAAGTAGATGTCATATCTGAGGTGAATCCCTCAGTTGTTCCTGATTCAGTTGTCTCCTCCTCAGTAGTTAGACCATTGGTGGTGATATCCGAGGTTGACGGCCCAGTTGATGTCATATCTGAGGTGAATCCCTCAGTTGTTTCCGATTCTGTTGTCTCCTTCTCAGTAGTTAGACCATTAGTTGTAATATCTGATGTTGGTAGAGCAGTTGATGTCATATCTGAGGTAAATCTGTCTGTTGTTCCTGATTCAGTTGTCTCCTCCTCAGTAGTCAGACCATTGGTGGTGATATCTGTTGTTAAGGGTGCAGTTGATGTAATATCTGAGGTGATTCCCTCAGTTGTTCCTGATTCAGTTGTCTCCTCCTCAGTAGTTAGACCATTGGTGGTGATATCTGATGTTGGTACAGCAGTAGATGTCATATCTGAGGTGAATCCCTCAGTTGTTCCTAATTCAGTTGTCTCCTCCTCAGTAGTCAGACCATTGGTGGTGATATCTGTTGTTAAGGGTGCAGTTGATGTAACATCTGAGGTGATTCCCTCTGTTGTTCCCGATTCCGTTGTCTCCTCCTCAGTAGTCATACCATTGGTTGTGATATCTGATGTTGGTAGAGCAGTAGATGTCATATCTGAGATGAATCCCTCAGTTGTTCCTGAATCAGTTGTCTCATCCTTAGTAGTTAGACCATTGGTGGTGATATCTGAGGTTAAAGGCCCAGTTGATGTCATATCTGAGGTGAATCCCTCAGTTGTTCCTGATTCAGTTGTCTCCTCCTCAGTAGTTAGACCATTGGTGGTGATATCTGATGTTGGTAGAGAAGTAGATGTCATATCTGAGGTGAATCCCTCAGTTGTTCCTGATTCAGTTGTCTCCTCCTCAGTAGTTAGACCATTGGTGGTGATATCCGAGGTTGACGGCCCAGTTGATGTCATATCTGAGGTGAATCCCTCAGTTGTTTCCAATTCTGTTGTCTCCTTCTCAGTAGTTAGACCATTAGTTGTAATATCTAATGTTGGTAGAGCAGTTGATGTCATATCTGAGGTAAATCTGTCTGTTGTTCCTGATTCAGTTGTCTCCTCCTCAGTAGTCAGACCATTGGTGGTGATATCTGTTGTTAAGGGTGCAGTTGATGTAATATCTGAGGTGATTCCCTCAGTTGTTCCTGATTCAGTTGTCTCCTCCTCAGTAGTTAGACCATTGGTGGTGATATCTGATGTTGGTACAGCAGTAGATGTCATATCTGAGGTGAATCCCTCAGTTGTTCCTAATTCAGTTGTCTCCTCCTCAGTAGTTAGACCATTAGTTGTGATATCTGATGCTGACGGCCCAGTTGATGTAACATCTGAAGTGAATCCCTCAGTTGTTCCTGATTCAGTTGTCTCCTCCTCGGTAGTCATACCATTGGTTGTGATATCTGATGTTGGTAGAGCAGTAGATGTCGTATCTGAGATGAATCCCTCAGTTGTTCCTGAATCAGTTGTCTCATCCTCAGAAGTTAGACCATTGGTGGTGATATCTGAGGTTGAAGGCCCAGTTGATGTCATATCTGAGGTGAATCCCTCAGTTGTTCCTGATTCAGTTGTCTCCTCCTCAGTAGTTAGACCATTGGTGGTGATATCTGATGTTGGTAGAGCAGTAGATGTCATATCTGAGGTGAATCCCTCAGTTGTTCCTGATTCAGTTATCTCCTCCTCAGTAGTTAGACCATTGGTTGTGATATCTGATGTTGGTAGAGCAGTAGATGTCATATCTTTGGTGATTCCCTCAGTTGTTCCCGATGCTGTTGTCTCCTCCTCAGTAGTTAGACCATTGGTTGTTATATCTGATGTTGGTAGAGCAGTAGATGTCATATCTGAGGTAAATCCGTCTGTTGTTCCTGATTCAGTTGTCTCCTCCTCAGTAGTCAGACCATTGGTGGTGATATCTGTTGTTAAGGGTGCAGTTGATGTAACATCTGAGGTGATTCCCCCTGTTGTTCCCGATTCCGTTGTCTCCTCCTCAGTAGTTAGACCATTGGTTGTGATATCTGATGTTGGTTCAGCAGTAGATGTCAAATCTGAGGTGAATCCCTCTGTTGTTCCTGATTCAGTTGTCTCCTCCTCAGTAGTAAGACCATTGGTGGTGATATCTGATGTTGGTAGAGCAGTAGATGTCATATCTGAGGTGAATCCCTCAGTTGTTCCTGATTCAGTTGTTTCCTCCTCAGTAGTTAGACCATTAGTTGTGATATCTGATGCTGAAGGCCCAGTTGATGTAACATCTGAAGTGAATCCCTCAGTTGTTCCTAATTCAGTTGTCTCCTCCTCGGTAGTCATACCATTTGTTGTGATATCTGATGTTGGTAGAGAAGTAGATGTCATATCTGAGGTGAATCCCTCAGTTGTTCCTGATTCAGTTGTCTCCTCCTCAGTAGTTAAACCATTGGTGGTGATATCTGATGTTGGTAGAGCAGTAGATGTCATATCTGAGGTGAATCCCTCAGTTGTTCCTGATTCAGTTGTCTCCTCCTCAGTAGTTAAACCATTGGTTGTTATATCTGATGTTGGTAGAGCGGTAGATGTCATATCTGAGGTAAATCCGTCTGTTGTTCCTGATTCAGTTGTCTCCTCCTCAGTAGTAAGACCATTGGTGGTGATATCTGATGTTGGTAGAGCAGTAGATGTCATATCTGAGGTGATTCCCTCAGTTGTTCCCGATTCCGTTGTCTCCTCCTCAGTAGTTAGACCATTGGTGGTGATATCTGATGTCGGTAGAGCAGTAGATGTCATATCTGAGGTGATTCCCTCAGTGGTTCCTAATTCAGTTGTCTCCTCCTCAGTAGTTAAACCATTAGTTGTGATATCTGATGCTGACGGCCCAGTTGATGTAACATCTGAAGTGAATCCCTCAGTTGTTCCTGATTCAGTTGTCTCCTCCTCGGTAGTCATACCATTGGTTGTGATATCTGATGTTGGTAGAGCAGTAGATGTCATATCTGAGGTGATTCCCTCAGTTGTTCCTGATTCAGTTGTCTCCTCCTCAGTAGTTAGACCATTGGTGGTGATATCCGAGGTTGATGGCCCAGTTGATGTCATATCTGAGGTGAATCCCTCAGTTGTTTCCAATTCTGTTGTCTCCTCCTCAGTAGTTAGACCATTAGTTGTAATATCTGATGTTGGTAGAGCAGTTGATGTCATATCTGAGGTAAATCTGTCTGTTGTTCCTGATTCAGTTGTCTCCTCCTCAGTAGTCAGACCATTGGTGGTGATATCTGTTGTTAAGGGTGCAGTTGATGTAATATCTGAGGTGATTCCCTCAGTTGTTCCTGATTCAGTTGTCTCCTCCTCAGTAGTTAGACCATTGGTGGTGATATCTGATGTTGGTACAGCAGTAGATGTCATATCTGAGGTGAATCCCTCAGTTGTTCCTAATTCAGTTGTCTCCTCCTCAGTAGTTAGACCATTAGTTGTGATATCTGATGCTGACGGCCCAGTTGATGTAACATCTGAAGTGAATCCCTCAGTTGTTCCTGATTCAGTTGTCTCCTCCTCGGTAGTCATACCATTGGTTGTGATATCTGATGTTGGTAGAGCAGTAGATGTCATATCTGAGATGAATCCCTCAGTTGTTCCTGAATCAGTTGTCTCATCCTCAGTAGTTAGACCATTGGTGGTGATATCTGAGGTTAAAGGCCCAGTTGATGTCATATCTGAGGTGAATCCCTCAGTTGTTCCTGATTCAGTTGTCTCCTCCTCAGTAGTTAGACCATTGGTGGTGATATCTGATGTTGGTAGAGAAGTAGATGTCATATATGAGGTGAATCCCTCAGTTGTTCCTGATTCAGTTGTCTCCTCCTCAGTAGTTAGACCATTGGTGGTGATATCCGAGGTTGACGGCCCAGTTGATGTCATATCTAAGGTGAATCCCTCAGTTGTTTCCAATTCTGTTGTCTCCTTCTCAGTAGTTAGACCATTAGTTGTAATATCTGATGTTGGTAGAGCAGTTGATGTCATATCTGAGGTAAATCTGTCTGTTGTTCCTGATTCAGTTGTCTCCTCCTCAGTAGTCAGACCATTGGTGGTGATATCTGTTGTTAAGGGTGCAGTTGATGTAATATCTGAGGTGATTCCCTCAGTTGTTCCTGATTCAGTTGTCTCCTCCTCAGTAGTTAGACCATTGGTGGTGATATCTGATGTTGGTACAGCAGTAGATGTCATATCTGAGGTGAATCCCTCAGTTGTTCCTAATTCAGTTGTCTCCTCCTCAGTAGTTAGACCATTAGTTGTGATATCTGATGCTGACGGCCCAGTTGATGTAACATCTGAAGTGAATCCCTCAGTTGTTCCTGATTCAGTTGTCTCCTCCTCGGTAGTCATACCATTGGTTGTGATATCTGATGTTGGTAGAGCAGTAGATGTCATATCTGAGATGAATCCCTCAGTTGTTCCTGAATCAGTTGTCTCATCCTCAGTAGTTAGACCATTGGTGGTGATATCTGAGGTTGAAGGCCCAGTTGATGTCATATCTGAGGTGAATCCCTCAGTTGTTCCTGATTCAGTTGTCTCCTCCTCAGTAGTTAGACCATTGGTGGTGATATCTGATGTTGGTAGAGCAGTAGATGTCATATCTGAGGTGAATCCCTCAGTTGTTCCTGATTCAGTTATCTCCTCCTCAGTAGTCAGACCATTGGTGGTGATATCTGTTGTTAAGGGTGCAGTTGATGTAACATCTGAGGTGATTCCCTCTGTTGTTCCCGATTCCGTTGTCTCCTCCTCAGTAGTTAGACCATTGGTTGTGATATCTGATGTTGGTTCAGCAGTAGATGTCAAATCTGAGGTGAATCCCTCTGTTGTTCCTGATTCAGTTGTCTCCTCCTGAGTAGTAAGACCATTGGTGGTGATATCTGATGTTGGTAGAGCAGTAGATGTTATATCTGATGTGAATCCCTCAGTCGTTCCTGATTCAGTTGTCTCCTCCTCAGTAGTCATACCATTGGTTATGATATCTGATGTTGGTAGAGCAGTAGATGTCATATCTGAGGTGATTCCCTCAGATGTTCCCGATTCCGTTGTTTCCTCCTCAGTAGTTAGACCATTGGTGGTGATATCTGATGTTGGTAGAGCAGTAGATGTTATATCTGACGTGAATCCCTCAGTCGTTCCTGATTCCGTTGTTTCCTCCTCAGTAGTTAGACCATTGGTGGCGATATCTGATGTTGGTAGAGCAGTAGATGTTATATCTGACATGAATCCCTCAGTCGTTCCTGATTCAGTTGTCTCCTCCTCAGTAGTTAGACCATTGGTGGTGATATATGACGTTGGTAGAGCAGTAGATGTTATATCTGAGGTGAATCCCTCAGTCGTTCCTGATTCAGTTGTCTCCTCCTCAGTAGTTAGACCATTGGTGGTGATATCTGATGTTGGTAGAGCAGTAGATGTCATATCTGAGGTGAATCCCTCAGTTGTTCCTGATTCAGTTATCTCCTCCTCAGTAGTTAGACCATTGGTTGTGATATCTGATGTTGACAGCGAAGTTGATGTAACATCTGAAGTGAATCCTTCAGTTGTCTCCTCCTCTGTAGTCATACCATTGGTGGTGATATCTGTTGTTAAGGGTGCAGTTGATGTAACATCTGAGGTGATTCCCTCAGTTGTTCCTGATTCCGTTGTCTCTTCCTCAGTAGTTAGACCATTGGTGGTGATATCTGATGTTGGTAGAAGAGTAGATGTCATATCTGAGGTGAATCCCTCAGTTGTTCCTGATTCAGTTGTCTCCTCCTCGGTAGTCATGCCATTGGTTGTGATATCTGATGTTGGTAGAGAAGTAGATGTCATATCTGAGGTAAATCCCTCAGTTGTTCCTGATTCAGTTGTCTCCTCCTCAGTAGTTAGACCATCGGTGGTGATATCCGAGGTTGACGGCCCAGTTGATGTCATATCTGAGGTGAATCCCTCAGTTGTTTCCATTTCTGTTGTCTCCTTCTCAGTAGTTAGACCATTAGTTGTGATATCTGATGTTGGTAGAGCAGTTGATGTAATATCTGAGGTAAATCCGTCTGTTGTTCCTGATTCAGTTGTCTCCTCCTCAGTAGTCAGACCATTGGTGGTGATATCTGATGTTGGTAGAGCGGTAGATGTCATATCTGAGGTGAATCCCTCAGTTGTTCCTGATTCCGTAGTCTCATCCTCAGTAGTTAGACCATTGGTGGTGATATCTGAGGTTGAAGGCCCAGTTGATGTCATATCTGAGGTGAATCCCTCAGTTGTTCCTGATTCAGTTGTCTCCTCCTCAGTAGTTAGACCATTGGTGGTGATATCTGATGTTGGTAGAGCAGTAGATGTCATATCGAGGTGAATCCCCCAGTTGTTCCTGATTCAGTTGTCTCCTCCTCAGTAGTTAGACCATCGGTTGTGATATCTGATGTTGGTACAGCAGTAGATGTCATATCTGAGGTGAATTCCTCAGTTGTTCCTGATTCAGTTGTCTCTTCCTCAGTAGTTAGACCATTGGTTGTGATATCTGAGGTTGACGGCCCACTTGATGTAACATCTGAAGTGAATCCCTCAGTTGTTCCTGATTCAGTTGTCTCCTCCTCAGTAGTCATACCATTGGTTGTGATATCTGAGGTTGACGGCCCAGTTGATGTAACATCTGAGGTGAATCCCTCAGTTGTTCCTGATTCAGTTGTCTCCTCCTCAGTAGTCATACCATTGGTTGTGATATCTGATGTTGGAAGAGAAGTAGATGTCATATCTGAGGTGAATCCCTCAGTTGTTCCTGATTCAGTTGTCTCCTCCTCAGTAGTTAGACCATTGGTGGTGACATCTGAGGTTGACGGCCCAGTTGATGTTATATCTGATGTGAATCCCTCAGTTGTTCCTGATACAGTTGTCTCCTTCTCAGTAGTTAAACCATTGGTTGTTATATCTGATGTTGGTAGAGCAGTAGATGTCATATCTGAGGTAAATCCGTCTGTTGTTCCTGATTCAGTTGTCTCCTCCTTAGTAGTCAGACCATTAGTTGTGATATCTGATGTTGGTAGAGCAGTAGATGTGATATCTGAGGTAAATTCGTCTGTTGTTCCTGATTCAGTTGTCTCCTCCTTAGTAGTCAGACCATTGGTGGTGATATCTGTTGTAAAGGGTGCAGTTGATGTCATATCTGAGGTGAATCCCTCAGTTGTTCCCGATTCTGTTGTCTCCTCCTCAGTAGTCATACCATTTGTGGTGATATCTGATGTTGGTAGGGCAGTAGATGTCATATCTGAGGTGATTCCCTCAGTTGTTCCCGATTCTGTTGTCTCCTCCTCAGTAGTTAGACCATTTGTGGTGATATCTGATGTTGGTAGGGCAGTAGATGTCATATCTGAGGTGAATCCCTCAGTTGTTCCTAATTCAGTTGTCTCCTCCTCAGTAGTTAAACCATTGATGGTGATATCTGATGTTGACGGCCCAGTTGAAGTAATATCTGAGGTGAATCCCTTAGTTGTTCCTGATTCCGTTGTCTCCTTCTCAGTAATTAGACCATTGGTTGTGATATCTGATGTTGACAGCGAAGTTGATGTAACAGCTGAGGTGAATCCTTCAGTTGTCTCCTCCTCTGTAGTCATACCATTGGTGGTGATATCTGTTGTTAAGGGTGCAGTTGATGTAACATCTGAGGTGATTCCCTCAGTTGTTCCTGATTCCGTTGTCTCTTCCTCAGTAGTTAGACCATTGGTGGTGATATCTGATGTTGGTAGAGCAGTAGATGTTATATCTAAGGTGAATCCCTCAGTTGTTCCTAATTCAGTTGTCTCCTCCTCAGTAGTTAGACCATTGGTTGTGATATCTGATGTTGATACAGCAGTAGATGTCATATCTGAGGTGAATCCCTCAGTTGTTCCTGATTCAGTTGTCTCCTCCTCAGTAGTTAGACCATTGGTGGTGATATCTGATGTTGGTAGAGCAGTAGATGTCATATCTGAGGTGAATCCCCCAGTTGTTCCTGATTCAGTTGTCTCCTCCTCAGTAGTTAAACCATTGATGGTGATATCTGATGTTGACGGCCCAGTTGAAGTAATATCTGAGGTGAATCCCTTAGTTGTTCCTGATTCCGTTGTCTCCTTCTTAGTAATTAGACCATTGGTTGTGATATCTGATGTTGACAGCGAAGTTGATGTAACAGCTGAGGTGAATCCTTCAGTTGTCTCCTCATCTGTAGTCATACCATTGGTGGTGATATCTGTTGTTAAGGGTGCAGTTGATGTTATATCTGAGGTGATTCCCTCAGTTGTTCCTGATTCAGTTGTCTCCTCCTCAGTAGTTAGACCATTGGTGGTGATATCTGATGTTGGTAGAGCGGTAGATGTCATATCTGAGGTAAATCCCTCAGTTGTTCCTGATTCCGTAGTCTCATCCTCAGTAGTTAGACCATTGGTGGTGATATCTGATGTTGAAGGCCCAGTTGATGTCATATCTGAGGTGAATCCCTCAGTTGTTCCTGATTCAGTTGTCTCCTCCTCAGTAGTCATACCATTGGTGGTGATATCTGTTGTTAAGGGTGCAGTTGATGTAACATCTGAGGTGATTCCCTCAGTTGTTCCTGATTCAGTTGTCTCCTCCTCAGTAGTTAGACCATTGGTGGTGATATCTGATGTTGGTAGAGCAGTAGATGTTATATCTGAGGTGAATCCCTCAGTTGTTCCTAATTCAGTTGTCTCCTCCTCAGTAGTTAGACCATTGGTTGTGATATCTGATGTTGATACAGCAGTAGATGTCATATCTGAGGTGAATCCCTCAGTTGTTCCGGATTCAGTTGTCTCCTCCTCAGTAGTTAGACCATTGGTGGTGATATCTGATGTTGGTAGAGCAGTAGATGTCATATCTGAGGTGAATCCCCCAGTTGTTCCTGATTCAGTTGTCTCCTCCTCAGTAGTTAAACCATTGATGGTGATATCTGATGTTGACGGCCCAGTTGAAGTAATATCTGAGGTGAATCCCTTAGTTGTTCCTGATTCCGTTGTCTCCTTCTCAGTAATTAGACCATTGGTTGTGATATCTGATGTTGACAGCGAAGTTGATGTAACAGCTGAGGTGAATCCTTCAGTTGTCTCCTCATCTGTAGTCATACCATTGGTGGTGATATCTGTTGTTAAGGGTGCAGTTGATGTTATATCTGAGGTGATTCCCTCAGTTGTTCCTGATTCAGTTGTCTCCTCCTCAGTAGTTAGACCATTGGTGGTGATATCTGATGTTGGTAGAGCAGTAGATGTCATATCTGAGGTAAATCCCTCAGTTGTTCCTGATTCCGTAGTCTCATCCTCAGTAGTTAGACCATTGGTGGTGATATCTGAGGTTGAAGGCCCAGTTGATGTCATATCTGAGGTGAATCCCTCAGTTGTTCCTGATTCAGTTGTCTCCTCCTCAGTAGTTAGACCATTTGTGGTGATATCTGATGTTGGTAGAGCAGTAGATGTCATATCTGAGGTGAATCCCCCAGTTGTTCCTGATTCAGTTGTCTCCTCCTCAGTAGTTGGACCATCGGTTGTGATATCTGATGTTGGTACAGCAGTAGATGTCATATCTGAGGTGAATTCCTCAGTTGTTCCTGATTCAGTTGTCTCTTCCTCAGTATTTAGACCATTGGTGGTGATATCTGATGTTGGTAGAGCAGTAGATGTTATATCTAAGGTGAATCCCTCAGTTGTTCCTAATTCAGTTGTCTCCTCCTCAGTAGTTAGACCATTGGTTGTGATATCTGATGTTGATACAGCAGTAGATGTCATATCTGAGGTGAATCCCTCAGTTGTTCCTGATTCAGTTGTCTCCTCCTCAGTAGTTAGACCATTGGTGGTGATATCTGATGTTGGTAGAGCAGTAGATGTCATATCTGAGGTGAATCCCCCAGTTGTTCCTGATTCAGTTGTCTCCTCCTCAGTAGTTAGACCATCTGTTGTGATATCTGATGTTGGTACAGCAGTAGAAGTCATATCTGAGGTGAATTCCTCAGTTGTTCCTGATTCAGTTGTCTCTTCCTCAGTAGTTAGACCATTGGTTGTGATATCTGAGGTTGACGGCCCACTTGATGTAACATCTGAAGTGAATCCCTCAGTTGTTCCTGATTCAGTTGTCTCCTTCTCAGTAGTTAAACCATTGGTTGTTATATCTGATGTTGGTAGAGCAGTAGATGTCATATCTGAGGTAAATCCGTCTGTTGTTCCTGATTCAGTTGTCTCCTCCTTAGTAGTCAGACCATTAGTTGTGATATCTGATGTTGGTAGAGCAGTAGATGTGATATCTGAGGTAAATTCGTCTGTTGTTCCTGATTTAGTTGTCTCCTCCTTAGTAGTCAGACCATTGGTGGTGATATCTGTTGTAAAGGGTGCAGTTGATGTCATATCTGAGGTGAATCCCTCAGTTGTTCCTGATTCAGTTGTCTCCTCCTCAGTAGTTAGACCATTGGTTGTGATATCTGATGCTGGTAGAGTAGTAGATGTCATATCTTTGGTGCTTCCCTCAGTTGTTCCCGATTCTGTTGTCTCCTCCTCAGTAGTCATACCATTTGTGGTAATATCTGATGCTGGTAGGGCAGTAGATGTCATATCTGAGGTGATTCCCTCAGTTGTTCCCGATTCTGTTGTCTCCTCCTCAGTAGTTAGACCATTTGTGGTGATATCTGATGTTGGTAGGGCAGTAGATGTCATATCTGAGGTGAATCCCTCAGTTGTTCCTAATTCAGTTGTCTCCTCCTCAGTAGTTAAACCATTGATGGTGATATCTGATGTTGACGGCCCAGTTGAAGTAATATCTGAGGTGAATCCCTTAGTTGTTCCTGATTCCGTTGTCTCCTTCTCAGTAATTAGACCATTGGTTGTGATATCTGATGTTGACAGCGAAGTTGATGTAACAGCTGAGGTGAATCCTTCAGTTGTCTCCTCCTCTGTAGTCATACCATTGGTGGTGATATCTGTTGTTAAGGGTGCAGTTGATGTTATATCTGAGGTGATTCCCTCAGTTGTTCCTGATTCAGTTGTCTCCTCCTCAGTAGTTAGACCATTGGTGGTGATATCTGATGTTGGTAGAGCGGTAGATGTCATATCTGAGGTGAATCCCTCAGTTGTTCCTGATTCCGTAGTCTCATCCTCAGTAGTTAGACCATTGGTGGTGATATCTGAGGTTGAAGGCCCAGTTGATGTCATATCTGAGGTGAATCCCTCAGTTGTTCCTGATTCAGTTGTCTCCTCCTCAGTAGTTAGACCATTTGTGGTGATATCTGATGTTGGTAGAGCAGTAGATGTCATATCTGAGGTGAATCCCCCAGTTGTTCCTGATTCAGTTGTCTCCTCCTCAGTAGTTGGACCATCGGTTGTGATATCTGATGTTGGTACAGCAGTAGATGTCATATCTGAGGTGAATTCCTCAGTTGTTCCTGATTCAGTTGTCTCTTCCTCAGTAGTTAGACCATTGGTTGTGATATCTGATGTTGATACAGCAGTAGATGTCATATCTGAGGTGAATCCCTCAGTTGTTCCTGATTCAGTTGTCTCCTCCTCAGTAGTTAGACCATTGGTGGTGATATCTGATGTTGGTAGAGCAGTAGATGTCATATCTGAGGTGAATCCCCCAGTTGTTCCTGATTCAGTTGTCTCCTCCTCAGTAGTTAGACCATAGGTTGTGATATCTGATGTTGGTACAGCAGTAGAAGTCATATCTGAGGTGAATTCCTCAGTTGTTCCTGATTCAGTTGTCTCTTCCTCAGTAGTTAGACCATTGGTTGTGATATCTGAGGTTGACGGCCCACTTGATGTAACATCTGAAGTGAATCCCTCAGTTGTTCCTGATTCAGTTGTCTCCTTCTCAGTAGTTAAACCATTGGTTGTTATATCTGATGTTGGTAGAGCAGTAGATGTCATATCTGAGGTAAATCCGTCTGTTGTTCCTGATTCAGTTGTCTCCTCCTTAGTAGTCAGACCATTAGTTGTGATATCTGATGTTGGTAGAGCAGTAGATGTGATATCTGAGGTAAATTCGTCTGTTGTTCCTGATTCAGTTGTCTCCTCCTGAGTAGTCAGACCATTGGTGGTGATATCTGTTGTAAAGGGTGTAGTTGATGTCATATCTGAGGTGAATCCCTCAGTTGTTCCTGATTCAGTTGTCTCCTCCTCAGTAGTTAGACCATTGGTTGTGATATCTGATGCTGGTAGAGCAGTAGATGTCATATCTTTGGTGCTTCCCTCAGTTGTTCCTGATTCTGTTGTCTCCTCCTCAGTAGTCATACCATTTGTGGTGATATCTGATGTTGGTAGGGCAGTAGATGTCATATCTGAGGTGATTCCCTCAGTTGTTCCCGATTCTGTTGTCTCCTCCTCAGTAGTTAGACCATTGATGGTAATATCTGATGTTGACGGCCCAGTTGAAGTAATATCTGAGGTGAATCCCTCAGTTGTTCCTGATTCAGTTGTCTCCTTCTCAGTAATTAGACCATTGGTTGTGATATCTGATGTTGACAGCGAAGTTGATGTAACAGCTGAGGTGAATCCTTCAGTTGTCTCCTCCTCTGTAGTCATACCATTGGTGGTGATATCTGTTGTTAAGGGTGCAGTTGATGTTATATCTGAGGTGATTCCCTCAGTTGTTCCTGATTCAGTTGTCTCCTCCTCAGTAGTGAGACCATTGGTGGTGATATCTGATGTTGGTAGAGCGGTAGATGTCATATCTGAGGTGAATCCCTCAGTTGTTCCTGATTCCGTAGTCTCATCCTCAGTAGTTAGACCATTGGTGGTGATATCTGAGGTTGAAGGCCCAGTTGATGTCATATCTGAGGTGAATCCCTCAGTTGTTCCTGATTCAGTTGTCTCCTCCTCAGTAGTTAGACCATTGGTGGTGATATCTGATGTTGGTAGAGCAGTAGATGTCATATCTGAGGTGAATCCCCCAGTTGTTCCTGATTCAGTTGTCTCCTCCTCAGTAGTTAGACCATCGGTTGTGATATCTGATGTTGGTACAGCAGTAGATGTCATATCTGAGGTGAATTCCTCAGTTGTTCCTGATTCAGTTGTCTCTTCCTCAGTAGTTAGACCATTGGTTGTGATATCTGATGTTGGTAGAGCAGTAGATGTTATATCTAAGGTGAATCCCTCAGTTGTTCCTAATTCAGTTGTCTCCTCCTCAGTAGTTAGACCATTGGTTGTGATATCTGATGTTGGTAGAGCAGTAGATGTCATATCTGATGTGAATCCCTCAGTCGTTCCTGATTCAGTTGTCTCCTCCTCAGTAGTTAGACCATTGGTGGTGATATCTAATGTTGGTAGAGCAGTAGATGTCATATCTGAGGTGATTCCCTCAGTTGTTCCCGATTCTGTGGTCTCCTCCTCAGTAGTTGGACCATTGGTTGTGATATCTGATGTTGGTAGAGCAGTAGATGTTATATCTGAGGTGAATCCCTCAGTTGTTCCTAATTCAGTTGTCTCCTCCTCAGTAGTTAGACCATTGGTTGTGATATCTGATGTTGGTACAGCAGTAGATGTCAAATCTGAGGTGAATCCCTCTGTTGTTCCTGATTCAGTTGATTCCTCCTCAGTAGTCCTTGTTCCTGGCTCTGTTGTTTCTGCACCAGTACTCAGCCCAAAGCTTGTCAATCCTTCAGTTGTGGCTTGCTCTGTTGATTCTGCACTTGTGCCCAACCCAGAGGTTGAGATTTCTGTTGTAGGAGCTTCTGGCTCTGTTGTTTCTACACCAGTATTTAAACCAGAGGTTGTGAATCCTGAAGTGGAAAAAGCTTTTGATGATACATCAGAGGTCAATCCTCCAGTTGTGGTTGAACCTTGAACACTTGTGGTAGTATCCTCAATAAATTGGACAGTTGATTCAGGGTCAGTTACAGAATTCTCAGAAGTTACATCAATCATGGTAGACGAAAGAATAACAGTCCCAGTTGAGAGCTCTGAGGAAGTACTCATCTGAGTGGTATATTCCCCAGGGGTTGATGTTACAAATGGTAAGTTATTGGTGGTTTGAATTTGTGAGGTCACTGACTTATCTGTAGTCAAGACCTGACTTGCCATAGAAAATGCAGAAGTTTCTAGAGGAACAGCTGTAGTTACACTGCTTAATGATGAGCCAGCACCATCTGAAGTGTAGAGATCTGGAAAAGGACAGAATGAAAAGAGGAAAACAGCATTACAATTTGTTGCAAGATTCATTATGCAAACATGACGTAAGTATTAATCTATCAATGGGTAAGCTAGAATGTAATAAGAAAGTGGGGATCAATTGAAAAACTAATCTTGAATAAGCAATATAAGTACTGAAATGAAAATGTTGTGGTCGAGTGCATATGTCACCGGACTGCGGATCACAATGTCTGCGGTTCGAGTCCCGCCGCTGCGCTAATGTCCTTTGGCAAGACATTAATCTACATTTGCCACACTCAACCCGGGTGTGGTAAATAGGTACCGAGTAGAAATATTCCTTGACATGCACTGTGCGCTGATAATGGAGCTAAAGCTAGGGTAATCATTTCCAGAGCACTTTGGAAGTGCATAGGGACGTGATAATGCGATATCTTCTATACAAGAACGGAATATTATTATTATTATCTTTATTTTCTCTAGATACAAATGGATCACCTTTTTATGACTGAAGTAATAAAGGAATCATCCATTAAAATGTGTACATTTGAGAAATATGATTTCTATATCAAATCACCACTGGTGTTTGTTAGAGGGGTGGAAACATAAAATCAAAGCCATACTAAATAATAGTTCATTGTTATAAGTGTCTACTATTGATTTGGACTGCTAGCTCAATAATAACAGCTGCTTTGTAAAGAGAGACTTGAAAGCACTACCTTGTGATAAGTTTGACTTTACCTTGGGTAGTGGCTCCAGAGGAAGCAATTTCAACATTGGTAGTAACAGCCTGGACAGTTGTCTCTTCAGCTCCAGTAGTTGTCACTACATTCACGGCTGATGTTGATGTTGACTCTGGCATGGTCTGTGTGGTCTCAGCTGCAGTCCCTGTTGGACTTGAAGGTTCATTTGTTTGTGTTAGGATTTGTTGGCTAGTTTGACTCGGTGCGATACTTTCTGTCACAGATGCCTGATCAGATGTGCTTTCTGCCAGAGGTGTTGCATCTGAAAAGACAGTTTCGGTTGTCACTCTTGTTGTTTCAGGCAAAGAACTTGCTCCAGTTGTACCCATATTTAGAGTTGTAACTTTAGAAGAAATGTCAGCTTGACTTGTAGCATCTGAACTGACAGCTTCTGTAGACACACTTGTTGTCTCAGTTAAAGTTGCTATTTCACTTGTGCTCATATCTGAAGAAATCCCAACTGTAGACTGAACTTGTATTGTTGAAGAATCAAAAGTTGTTTCTATATCCTCAGATATTGCATTGGTTGTTCTAGAAAGAGTTGTAGCTTCCTCTGTAAAAGAACCTGTCAGTTCATCTGAACTGCTTTCTTGACTTGCTTCAGTCGTAGGCACAGTACTTCCTGTAGTATCGGTAGTGCTTATATCTGATGTTAAGATAAGTGTTGTGTCCATTTGAACTGAGGTTTCTACAAATGTTGTGTCTGCATTTTCAGATATTACACCTGTTGTTACTGACAATGTTGTTGCTTCAACTGTGGATGCAAAATCTGTGCTTTCCTCGCTACTTGTTCCCATCTGGCTGGTAAAGACCAACGTTGTAGCTTCATTTTCAGTCGTCTCTGAATCAGTCTGCATTGCACTTGTTCCCCCATCTGTGGTGGCTTCAAATGTTGCACTAATAGAGACATTGGTAGATTCAGACGATACTACTTGGGCTGTTGTCTCTGCAGCTGTTGAGTGACCCTCTGTAATGTCTATTTGGACAGTGGTTTCAGCTGCCGTTATTTCAGAGACTGAACTGTCACTTGAGCTAGTTTTTTCTGTTGTTTCACTATTTATGGTACTTTCAACATATGTTGTTGCTTCCTCGAAAGTTGTGGACTCTACAGTAGTTTCTGCCACACTTTGCTGGAGTTTTCTTCCTACATGAAAAACCTCATCTGAACATTCTGGAATTAAGCAAACAGAAAGGAGAAGAATTATTAAAGGCCAACAAATTTGATAACTTTTCCAGCAATATAATCAATACAATTGAATACATGGTAACAAAGAAATGTATTAAACAGAATATTTGTTTCTGGCTAACTTGTGATACATGTTAAAGGGATTGGGTAACTTTGTCTCAGATTCTGAAACAAAATCCTGGATTTAGCTCATGCTGTAAAGTAATTATAAACCTTTAGGTCAGTCAGGAACCCCATGACTTTTATAAGCCGATCTCCTATCTGATTATCAAGATATTAATGATTGGAAATCAAAATCAAATTTTGCGTTTTCCTAACGGTTTTCATAACACTACAGTCTATTGGGGACATTGAGTATGGTAAAACCGGTCACTCAAAGATTTTAACTTTTTTGAGGCACTTCATAATCATTTTGAACCACAATTTTTTTTAGGGCTTCAATATTACACCATATCACAAACACTGATAACACTTAGGGCCATGCATCTCAGATTTAACATTGTTAAACGATGCCTTTAACATCTATTCAATTTGAAATGGATGTGTTTGCAGAATATCTGGTAGCTCTATTCAGATATGGGTTAAATAGTACTCAAAGTTTTGCCTTCGAACACAATCTGTTAAAAAATTTGGCCTGCCATAATAAAAATCAAACATGTCTCCCACTGTATACACAATCATCATCGTCAATAGTGATCTGTCACTTTATGAAAGATTCAGTGACCCAATCAGAATTCTACATCAAGTGTCTCTCCAAGTACCTCGGTCTTGAGCCATCACTAAATTTTCCCTAAATCATTTTAAATGCAGGAACAAACAAACTTGAGTACAAAGATATCATATTTGGAGGTGCACAAATATTTATATATTTCCAGACATGTTTGCAGAGCATGGTGCCATCACTATTTCATAAGAGGTTAGTCTATTTATCATTTGAAAGAAAACTGATTTTTGTTCAAACAGTTTGTTAATCGTCTTAACCTGTCACAATAAAATATCAAACTCAAACACGTCTTGCACTGTTTAACCAGAATATTTTTGTTCAATTATCTCCCATGAATCAGAAATCTAACACTTTGCAGACCATGTGCATACAGTATATTCCTTGACGAATTTGAAGAGCATGAATCACTTCTTTTCTTTGTTCATGTTAACAATCATTGAAAAAGAGGATAACAAGTTTACTTACCGTATGCAATCTAAAACTGCTTTAACTCAGCAGTCTTATTAGATAATGTTTCTTGGTTAATGTTATAATGCATTCGTATGATTATCTGAGCTGTCTCTCAAGGATTTGCCACCATTTTTGCGCTATAAGCACTAAACTTTTGACGAAATGACTTGTGGATCACCTTCCAATACGCCAAATAATTCTTAATGCATACCTTGAACAAGAGCAGTTATATTTTAAATTATTGCAGAACAAGTCCTCTTTTATAATCTGAAAATTCTGTAATCTGAAAATTTGAAATTCAAAGTATGAGAATCACATTTTACCCCATAGAATCCTGCATGTAGAAATATACATGCACCAGGTCTGAGACATGTTGGGAAATGCATGTTACACCAAATAAAATGAAGAGTCAAATTATTTAAACGACGTGTGATAATTACAACTGTACTACTAACCTGTGCTAACTTCAATGTATACTGAAGTCTCCTTTCCTCTGCTATCTCTTGATATGATGATAATGTGATATAGAGAGCCCTCTTGTAAGCCGCCAAGGACAGTGTGACCTTTTCCGTTCGCTGTCGTCTTGAAGGTTATTACGTTGTCCTCCACATTTGTGCAGGACAGTTGGACATGGACTTGGGATGGAAGAGAGTGCCATCTCACATCTATTGCAGTAGTGTTTAGGGATTGTGCTGTGAGCCATAGACCGTCTGCGGATTTGAACCAAAATAAAATGATGAATTAAGTTATGCTTCACTTTGAACCATTGAACAATAAAAAAAAAATAGTGAAACCAATCTGACCTTGCTTTATTGATATAAGCGAGATTTCATGTGCAGTTCCTACAGCTTTCCATTTCATTGGGATACAACAGAGAGATTACATGAATATTCATGTACTCTTCATGTAAGACTTGAAGATGAAAGCAATGTGTGTTTAATGTATCCAAAGGATTTTTTTAAAGCACTTATCAATACCATTACGAGCAAAATGAATTTGATCAAAATTACTTTGTTTTTTTCTTGTTTTTTTTGTAACTGACAAATTTCTGAAGTCTAATGTTGGCATATTTACAATACAAAACAAAAAAATATGCAACAAGTTTATAAAAATGTCTTTAACATAATAATACTTCACCAATTTTTGTTTGTTTAGGTAGATGACTTTGTTAATGAAAAAGGTAATGAATTACAAGTACCAACAGTGCACGAATAGGAGTATGCTCTTCAGTATGAAGCAAATCAGAAATGTGTGTTGAACAGCCTAAAGGATATTAAGGAATCGAACTTCAAGCAACTTCAGGCATCGTTTAACAATGTCAAATCTGTCATTTCTGGACACTAAACAAAAGTAGAGCTATCATGTTTGCCCTTAGCTTTTGGAAAAATAAGCATTAATCATAATATTTGTCCTCATTAAAACTGTCCAACAGAAGTCTCAATAGACCTTTGATACATTGCTTATTTGTAACTTCTTCAATTTCGGATATAGTAATAATAACGTTTTATTTACCCAGGGTAGCCACTTCAGTTATGAAACTGCTCTTCCAGCGGGCCCTGCATAACATAATATTTTATTACTACCCTTCTCCAATCTAATATCCCAATCAGCAAGAAAAATACCATTAGGAGATCCTCTACCAGTATTTCTCTCCATCTTGTGTTGTGAATGTAACACAAACAAATGATAAGCACTGTTTATGTCACAAGTAACAGCCTCAGTAAAACTCTCTTTCTGTAAAAAAAAAAAATTAAAAAGACGGAAATAAAGTCGATTTGGATACATCTCCAGTGAGATACAGGAGATGAACGATGAGACAGTGATCTTGATGCAATCATGTCTACCAATTTTCATGAAAGACATAACACGTCACGTGTCTAAACAGATTGGTTATCCGGGCATGGCGGCTCAGTGGTAAGAGCGCCCGCCTCATGAACGGGAGGTCGTTGGTTCGAACCCCGGCCGAGCTATACCAAAGACTTATAACAATGGGACCTTCTGCCTTCTAGCTAGGCGCTCAACATACTAGCCTAGACCGAAGATTCTGTCTCTTTCGTTTGTTAGCCTCTGATTTAGGTAGGGTCGACCGGCTCTTCTAAAGAGAAGAAGAAGAAGAAGAAGAAGAAGAATAGGACACAGTCCACCTAAGGACACCTGTCCGGGCCGGACACAGGTCTGGGTATACTATAGATCTAGACCTAGAATAGATCTAGTTAAGTTAGATGATGATCATGATGGGTCTACAAATAAAGCTCTTTGTTGCTCAGTTTAATGTTCACAAGTTGAAGTTCTGTGCTTACTTTGAGTAATTTCAAACATTTGAGTGGACACATGCTTCAAGTTCAAAGAGACTAGAAACTAATCTAGAGAATATATGTGTCTACGTTCTAAGCGGCTCCGAATGCTTAATTCGTAGCGCCGTAGCGCCGAAGCTTAGGCGCTACGCACATGCTTAGATGCTACCCATGTGTGGCGGGCGTCATGCATGCCGTTCCAGATCCACGTTCATCCACGTTTCAGGCACGGGTTTTCAAAACATGAGCACAAAAAATACAATAACCACGCATATCATCAGTCTCATCCTTTAATTCCATCAGGCTAGACAGAACAAAACAGATACTGACCTCATAATGATAATGTTGTTAAATTTCAACACGTGGAGTTGTGATACTTAGGTCTAGTCTAGTCTTGGCCAGGCAGACAGTTCTGATTACATAAATAGGACGCGCCTGCTGCTCGTTGTTATGGTTTGACATCAAAGAGATTCGATCATACACAGTAACTATGTCCTCCGTAGTAGGGAAACCCCCGGCTGCGCCTCCGGCCCTGCCCACTTCGACCACGCCCACCCTGCCCTAGCAGCCATGACGGTGCCAGGTAAAAATGTCAGAGGAAAAAATGTCAGAGGGAAAAATGTCAGAGGTAAAAATGTCAGAGGTAAAAATGTCAGAGGTAAAAATGTCAGAGGTAAAAATGTCAGAGGTAAAAATGTCAGAGGAAAAAATGTCAGAGGTAAAAATGTCAGAGGAAAAAATGTCAGAGGAAAAAATGTCAGAGGTAAAAATGTCAGAGGTAAAAATGTCAGAGGTAAAAATGTCAGAGGAAAAAATGTCAGAGGTAAAAATGTCAGAGGTACAAGCAAAACAAATGAGTGCCGTCATAATATCTCAGCACTTTATCACTCAGAATGTCAAGACGTACAGCTACTGCATGGGCTAGTCTATTATATTCCTTTCTAAATGGATGTGTTGTATATCGTACATGTCCTGAAGATAATATAATGTGGAAAATAGGTTTTGAAAATTTTTTTTGGGGGGGAAGCAATCAGAGAAGGTTAATCATCTAGCATAATCATGTAAGTATTGGTGTGTAGTGCAAGGTTTTGGAGTCATCAAAATGATAAAAAATTTGGCCCAGTCTTGGTAAAGTAACAAGCACTGTAAACAGAAAGATATTGATATGGGACTACACAAACATATGGCATACAAATCGGGCAGGCATACAAAGATGTTACTTGTTATATCTGGGATATGAAGTCATTTGAAATAGATTTTCAGGGAATAACTTTTTTCTTTGATGTTCTATTACACTTGCATTGAACGCTCACAAATAATTTTTTTTTTACCTTTCCCCAGAACTCAACCTTCTCTTTAATTGATGTAACATGGGCGGCTTTCTGCTTTGTATCGGAGTAACAAAGCTGCTTATTGATTTTCTCCCAGACTATTTTATACCGCAATAGTAATCGACAATATTTTATTGCAACGCGCGCACTTCGGGAATGTGATGGTGCGGTTAGCATTGATAACATGGCTTTCTGCTTGTTTCAGAGTATCAAAATACCAAGCCCTCAAGAAAGTGGAATTGTCGGAAATATGCATTTATTGGAAATTACATATAATAGTAGACATTGCCACGCAGTTAAAATGTCCAACAATCTTCAAATACGAAGGAGAAGTAGGAGGGGGAAGGTTCATAGATATCTGATCCTATTTTGGGGGCTGTACTGACTTTTCTTTTTATTTAATGATTACACCATGGAGCGACAACTCAGCCTATAAAACATGGCCAAACTTCTCGATTTTAGAAATCGTTTTCCCCAGAAGTTTGCTCAGTGTACCAGTACCATTTGCTTATACAAAAACATAATATACTGGTATATAAATATTGAATAAGGCAGACTAATGGGACGTGGATGGTGTACTCCGAGTTTCAAGCCTTGCAAGCGGTCATCAGACAACTGATAGCATTCTTCAAAGTACATGATTCCTCTACAACCAGGGCTCAAATTAATTTTTTGGGGCTCAAATTAATTTTTTGTCCACGGGGGTTCTTCCCCCCCAAAAAGAGCCCCCGTGAGCCTTCTCACGGGGGCTCTTTTAGTACTGACGGGGGCTCTCTGTTATACAAATATCCATTGAATTGGTACCTATGATACTCCTCAATTATTTGCTATTTCATCATTATCATTTCAATCAGCATTTTCCCTCTTACAAATTTACAAGCTACATAGCTGTTACTGGCCTGTGTATATACGCATACAACACTGATCTTTATGATGTCTTTAACGTGACATATCTTCTTCTACCCTTGCAAACGAGAAAGAAAACAAGTTCATTAAAAGGGATTAAGCGACAAATAATGATTGTGATTCAAATTGATGCGAATATTTGGTTGAATAAGCACTGCTATTCACCCGAATCTTCTTTGTAAAAACAACTTTTACAATTCTCAGCCATGCTTACTGAGTTGAGACGTTCCATTCAATGTAAAATACTCATTACAGAATACACTTCTCCTAATCTGAAAGTGATCTTACAACACAGTGGCAGATTTGCATGGCTGAGATTTGTAAAAGTCGTTTTTACAAAGAAGATTCTGGTGAAAAGCATTGCTTATTCAAAAAAATCCTTGCATCAATTTGAATCACAATGATTATTTGTCGCATGATCCTTTTATTAAATAACCTTGTTTTCTTTTTTTCTAATGATTACACCATGGAGCGACAACTCAGCCTATAAAACATGGCCAAACTTATCGATTTTAGAAATCTTTTTCCCTAGAAGTTTGCTTAGTGTACCAGTACCATTTGCTTATACAAAAACATAATATACCGGTATATAAATATTTAATAAGGCAGACTAATGGGACATGGATGGTGTACTCCGAGTTTCACGCCTTGCAAGCGGTCATCAGACAACTGATAGCATTCTTCAAAGTACATGATTCCTCTACAAGTTACAACCTTGGTATACGCTCAAAATAAGACTTAACTAATACAATACAATAAGACAGCGGTGAAATAACGACTGCAGAATATCCCTCGCTGTTCTTTTTCGATAAGCCTGATATATAGCCCGGGTGTAAACATAACAATCTTGTCACATGCTTTTGTTTTTATTTTAAACTCTGACATTTTTACCTCTGACATTTTTTCCTCTGACATTTTTACCTCTGACATTTTAAACTCTGACATTTTTACCTCTGACATTTTTACCTCTGACATTTTTACCTCTGACATTTTTTCCTCTGACATTTTTACCTCTGACATTTTTACCTCTGACATTTTACCTCTGACATTTTTACCTCTGACATTTTTTCCTCTGACATTTTTACCTCTGACATTTTTACCTCTGACATTTTTACCTCTGACATTTTTACCTCTGACATTTTTTCCACTGACATTTTTACACCGCATGACACCGAAAGA